CCCGTTTACCCCATCCCCCATCCCCATCCCCTTCCCCATTCCCCATTCCGCCTTGCCCCTTCCCATTATATTCACATCCCCGTGACCCCTGACCCTTGACCCAACTTAAAGCCCACTGACTGGCATCATCGACGCATCGTCAAAAGTTGCTGGCGGGTGACAGCAGCAACAACAACAACAACAGCAACAACAACAACAACAACAGCAGCAGCAATATCACAGCACGGCAGCAACATCAGCGGCAGGAATAGCAACAAATGCCGCAAGGGCGACCGCACTTTCACCCACTCCCACTTCTGGCCACCTCGTGACCTTCAGAGAATGAGAACAACGCGTGCACTGGGAGAAAATATGCAAAACATGTAAGTAGGTCTGTTGTCAATATCGAATACGATTTGTAACTTAGTGTGTACTTTTTGGTTTAACAGTCAATTTATATTAATGTTGTACTTCATCAACATTCATACCTAAGGAAATGAATTTTCTTACAGTGTAGCTACGTAAAACCAACAGTGATGACCGTTCACTTTTTGGCGTGTCACGAACTGGTATTCACATAATGCAAACCTATAAATACGACTATATATTCACGGGTATTGATATGTTCATGAATAATCCGTGAATCAATGGGCGTTTGCATTATGCTGCCTTTCATGACTGGAGTTGATTCATCTGGCCAAAGTCCGTAGTCATCTTGGCCATCGGAGACCAAAGGGTGGATGGACTCATCATCATCTCCGCCAACCGAAGGCTTCATTCACTTTGCGTCACAAGATTTGTTTACTCATCAATCACTCTATTTCAATATGTTTCATTAGTTACTACTTAGTTAGTAACTCAGCAGTTTCGAAGAAAATGCAAGCTAGAAACTTTAAAACTAGTCTAAGGAATTTTTAAATAGAAAACAGTGAGATTAAGGTGTGTGCTATTCCCTTTGCAATTCAAGCTTTTTCGCATTCCATTGACTAATTTGTCACATACGCTTTCTTGATTTGCACTTCACTAACTAACTTTAACTAATTTGTCAACGAAAGCTATTTTCGTGTCCCATTAGTATCGATTTCGGTTTAATTGAGCCAAAATGCCTTTTTGCTTTTCATCTCTAGTTGGTCTCTTCAGGTGAGAGTCCCTGAAACCCCCGAAATCCATAAAACCCGTGGAACCCATGGAACCCATGGAACCCATCAGCTCATTTGACCCCTCATCCTGTCCTCGTTTTTTGCCCTGCCGCCTGTCGCTGCGTTTGATGCGTGTCTGACACATGCCAACACATTAGTCGCCCACCGCCCGCCCGGCCACGCCCCCCGTGCCGCCACCACCACCACCACCACCAGCAACAGCACCACCGCCTCCAAAACTCCTCTATGGGGTCTTGTGTCCTGTTTCTCTTTTTTTTTTTTTGTCGGCCAGCGCAACTAATTTCATTTGGTGCCCAGCAAAAAGTCCAAAAAGGCAAATTAGGCAAAGCATCAAATTTACATACGAAATCGAAGCTGCAGATCGGCATGGGCTGCACTGAGAGAAATTATTGCGATTACAACTGACATTTTTAGAGGCGTCAATTAATAGAAACCTTGCAGGTGCTATCAAAACTTGCCTTTCATTAACTTTAACTAAACAGTTCAATTCATGTGCATTTATTCCTATTATTATTATTTCTGAATTACTAAAATATATGGGTTTGAACTACGCAACAATAAACTTTTATATTTAATACTTAAAACTTCTCCCAATTTTTTTGAAGTGTCCGCTTGGTTTGAGAACCAGGTGTGTTCCACAATTTGGCGCTGTGATTTGGCGATGGCCGTGCAAAAAATCAAAAATCAACTTTCGACCAAATGTTGCAGCGTGTGGCGTGCGTGCCGCCAGGCCTGACAGCATAATGATGCCCCGACCCTTTGCCACTCTAACGATCTATATATCTATATGGATTTTGTGGGTTAGAGACCCCTGATCGCAGGGGTAGCTTCAAAGCCCGACTCGACATTACTCATACGCGGCGTGTGCCGGCTACGTCACGATGACGTAGAAGGGGAAAGCCCCAGTCGTCTGGTTAAATCCAAATCGCAAATTAGCTGAATAAACCGTTCATAAACACTAACTGGGCTAACAGAGCTCAACTTGCTAACAAAACTTTTCGAGACGTTTGTGCTAGGACAAGGTCAGCGAATTAAAACGATATTATATATAGAAATATAGCATCGCAGTTCGGTACGGTCAAAAACCCAAAGATCCATGAATCACTTAACGCAGTTCCGCTGACAAAAAGAAGAGGCTAAAAGAGAAACGCTGAATGTGGTTAAAGAGACTTGGCTGAAAAGAGAGCTGATAACTGAATGCGCTGAATCTGGAATAATTTATTTAAAAACTGTCAATGCTGTTATTTAAATAAGTTGATAAAAAATAAACAATTCTATTAACCTACAAAAACTAATGAATAAAATGGTAAATTTACTGAACATAGTTATAAAGTTATAAAATAATACATTAAACAAGAATTGTTCATCTCGAATGTTTACTTCTCAAAGAATAATGAGATTTTTCTCTTTTTGTCATCTCGAACTCGCTCTTACTTTAAAAGCTTACTCTTGCTTTGTTGGGGCTCTCTCTTTTTTGTGGGTGGTACCAATACTGCCTTCGCTTACTTTTTTTTGTTCGTGTTTTTCACTTGTGCTTTCCTTTTTTTGTTCAGTTGAGTGTTTTTTCTTCGATTTTCGTGTGTTTTGCGCACACTTGTGGGTGGCGCTTAACAGCTCGTTTGCCTTTTGTAGTTGTTGCTCTCCGGTTCGTTCCGCTCCGTTTGATTTTGTTGTTGCGGATTTCATTTTGGTTTATTTGTGGAAAACACGCACCCCGAACAGCAAACACAAAAAAAATACAACTTAATTTCGACTCGCTTTGTAGTGTAGTGAAATTCACATTGAAAGTAGCACAGTTACCTTTACATTTCCATTTACATTTACCGTTACACTTTTGGCATAAAGCGTGTCAGAGCGAGACGGCAAACGTTGTTGTTTTGTTAATTTTTTACCATTATTTGAATAAGGGAAAGAGGAGAGCAGCTTTTTAGTTGGTTCTTCTTTGTGCCATTCTTTTAGGCCATGTCAAAGCTAATGAATAAAGTCCCAAAAAGGATAAAAGAGAGTAAGAGGAAGAGGGAGACGGAACGATGGCGAAAAACATCGCCTTTCTCTGCGATTCTCAAAGAACGCAGCTGTGCTGCAATTGATTTTTGTAATCCCCATGCGTAATATTCCGTAAGATGAATCACTAATCATTTGACTTCCTAATTTAAAGCCAGTTAGCGAAATCTGGTTGATGATATCATATTAGTGATAAAGCATAATTTCCACGGAACGTTGCAAAACATATGTGGGTTTTTTAATAGCTTTTTGCCATTACACATTTTTATGATATGACTTATACAAAAACTCTAATTCAGTGAGGTCACTGTAGTGCTTCTTTAAGTGGGTCAAAATCCCTCACCCACAACGTGTTCTATCTTTAGCCAACTTGGCTTTGCTGCAATCGATTCATAAGCCGATCCATTCATGAACAGAGTTCAAAGCTGGACAGGACCACCCAGGATCTCCATCCACACGGTAGCCTGTAATATGGGTTTTACATCTGCTGGATGTTTTGGTGCTGGAACTCGGAGTTAATTAGCCCAGGCTTCAGCTTCCTCCACTCGGCGGTAATTCAAGTCGCCCATCATAAACTGCTGACAAAGTTACTAGTCCCCTTTGTTCTGGGCCACCGCAAGATCTTGCCGTGGATCACTTACTATAGCTGGAGCTATATAGTCGGGGGGGAACTGAGAGGGTGTCCCATCGCAGATGAGACGTGTGTCGGGCTTCTGCCCCAAGAGAACTCTAGACATTCAAGGGGGTTCAGAATCAAGGGGGAAAAGAGAGGATTTCTTTAACGCTTGTCTGGATTTGGCTTCTACACTGGAAGACTATTAATTAAAAAAAACGGAAATCCTTTAAAACACTTGAAATGGTTATACTACATAAAAGTGTGTAAATATCATAAAATATTTTAAATAGTTTCCTTAACATACCAATGAGTTTAAAAATCCTAAAAATGTATTTAAATATCTTGTATTACCTTCAGAACTATTCCGATTTAGTGGATCAATCAATCATTCAATTACTCGCAGTGGATAGGCCATAGGGTATGGATTATCGGTAGACCCACCTCGGCTCGGGTCTTGAGTCTAGGGTTTCCGTTTCGCAATTGCCGACAATGGAAATGTCTTTTGCAATTTAACACTTGAGTGCCCCGTCTTGATTTGCCTGCCAAAGCAACAATGGCGGCACCCAAAGGCGGTGCAAAGAGGGGGGGTTTCTAGTGGGGGTTTCTCGCGGGGATTGGGGGGTATTGGTGGGTATTGGTGGGTGGGGAATGGGGAGTGGGGCAGGGGCAACCCACTGCTGCCGCTTCTCCAATTTATGTGTGCCACGGAGGAGCGACCGCAGAAGAGGCGAAAATGAAAATGGAACTAGAGCTGCCAGAGATCGGAGATCCGAGATTCGAGATCGGGGATTGGGGACTGGGGATTGGGGATCCTCCACGGGAAACGCGACGCGGAGATGATGGGCCTGTGCACACTTTGTGGTTCTGTTTGGCAATAACTTTTAATTTATTATTTACACACGCGCATTTTTAAGGCTTCGCACTCAAAAATGCACAGCTTTTCGCAATTGTTGCAAGCGCGTTTTTTTTTTTTTTTTTGCGCCATTGTTGCTTCTAATCTTAAATATGCGCATAATTAATTATCCGCTGGCGTTTCTGCATTTCTGTATTTCGCTTGTGGTCAGCGAACAATTTTTGCACAGGTTTCTCTTTCCCTCGGAAAACAACGAATTCCATGTTGCAGCTTGTATTTACAAATTAGACAAAAAAATTAACGTTACTTACAAGCTAATTTTATTAAATATCTTCTTACCTTTTTCTATATTTCACACTCAATTGAAAAATCCCTTTTAAATAAATACGATAACTTTATTTATAGTCTTCTCATCATCGTTTAGCTCTTCAATTCGAATCCTTGGGCAGATTCACTCGCAAAGTAACAGAAAAAAAATGTATACATAGGTATTTCCATATTTATAGATAGTTGTGCGGCTTTATCGAGTATCTTTATCTAGTCTTAGGTCTAGTAAAAAAAAGGTTCTCTACGGTTCGTGTTCGCAGGGATGGGTGCTCACTAGGCTATGGTTCGTGGTAAGATCCTTTCGAATTCAGTGTTTACGTTCCATCTTAACTTTAGACTCTATTATTTACAGCTGGTTTAGTTTATCTTGTTATGTGCTTACTTCTTTTACTAGTTTTATTATTTTATGTTTTGTTATTAGCAGGCAGACTAACTTCTGGAACTCAAAACTCTTGTAAAACAGTTTAAATAATTAGTTTGGAAAGGTAGGGTTATTTTTGGATGACATTTAACAAATTCTAGTACAGCTTTTTCTTTAATATTTGTTGAATTTCAAGTTCTGGAAATCACTCTGCCTTACATCTATCTCCTATTTTTATTCATTATTTATGTACAGCTTTCTGATGCCTTGGGATTAGTGTTTTAATACATACGTTATTGGCTAAGAAAAAAAAAAAAAAAAAAAGATTGTACAGTTCTTGTGGTGATCCTGCTGCTCTCCTAGTTCAGTTCGATGTGCAGGTGCAGCGGTGGGTGGGCCAGCGGATGTGGGTGGGAGTTCTGTTGCGGATGCGGATGTGAGCGGAGGTGGATATTGGCTGGCATCGGCCGTTGGAGGATCCGATTGGGTCAATAGGGTCGCCACACCTGCGTGAGATCGCCGACGTCCTCATCGCGAGCGGACTCCACATTATTGCTACCCCCTGCACCACCACCACCACCACCAGCTCCTCCTCCACCACCACCACCCACTACTTCTCCGGCGGACTCCACCTGATGTTGCTGCTGTGGGTGGTGCACCTGCTGCTGCTGCTGCTGCTGCTGTGGGTGGTGCACCTGCTGCTGGTACTGCTCCTGGACGATCTCGATGCTCGAGCGACTGCTGCCCGTCAGGGAGCCAATGGTCAGGTGCTCCGCCCCCGTGGCGGTGCCCAGATACTGCTCCAGCTTCTCGGAGCTGTGCAGGTGCAGGTGGATCTGGTTCTGGTTGAGCGTCGAGTACACTTGCGGGCACAGCACCACCGGCGGCGGGGGCGGCGGCTGGGGGGCGGGGCCGCCTGCGGACCATACTGAGCGGTGGCCAAGCAACTGCCATACTGATAGTTCTGGTACCCGTTCGACCACGCCTGATTGTAGCCACCGCCGTAGTCCAGCTCCGACTTGGAGCCACCTCCTCCGCCGCCGGAGTTCCCGCCCCCGTAGCCCGCCGTTTGGTACGGATCCGCGGCGAATCCGTGTCCGTGCATCTCGGGCAGCACCGTCGGCAGGTGGGGGGCGTACTGGCCCGCCTCCAGCGAGTTGGCCGAGTCGTAGCCGCCGCCGTAGTGGTTCATCCCCATGCCCATGCCCACGCCCACTCCCACGCCCACGCCCATGCTCGATCCGTTTGCCACGCCCACTGAAACGGGAGCGGCAGCGGGGGGAGGCGGCGGAGGCGGCAAGGCCATCTGGTGCTGCAGGTGGGCGTGCGCATGGGCGTAATGGGCGTGCGGGTGGTGGGCGTGGCTGTGGTAGTAGGCCGCCGCCGAGCTGGAGGATCCCGTCCACTCGCCGGCGCCCATCATGTCGGCTCCTGGAAAGAGAATTAGATCGAGCAAATGGTTACAAGAGAAATATAGTGACAATCCGCAAAAAGATAAGCCATTGAAAATATATATTTCCAAAAGAAGCTATTTAAAAAGAGGGTTTGTACTATATTCTAGATTTACAAAAAAATATGATGTTAAAAAGCAAAATAAATAAAGTTTGCGAAGTATTTCAAACATCTTCGAAATGAAATCAGTGATAAATCGTATAAATATAAAGATTACTTGCAAAAGTTCTTTGCATAAGAAAAACATTCAATTTATATTTCTTAAGGACTGAAACTTTTTTAAGGAAATATCCTTACTATATAGATAGCAATTTTAAACAAGAAACAAGTTAGACGGAAAGTAAATTAAAAATGTGCGTAAGAGAACCGGCAAATGAGTGCCAGCTGGGGTCCCAATTAACCCTTGATTTGCCCCACCCGCTCAATTAACCCCCGAGTGAAGTTCGCCAGGTTGTCAGTCGCAAGCGTGGGCGTGGCCGAAGGGATAATTGAAAACATCATTTCATATGCATGGCAACAAGAAGAAGAAAAAGCAGAAGGAGGAGGCGGAGGAGGAGGCATGTGTGTAGTACCACCCACAACCCACAACCCACCGCCCACAAGTCAGACCCCACCTTAACCCCACTGCGGACTCCGGTGCATGCCAATGGGTTAAGACGAAAGACGAAAAGGACGAAAGAAAATTCCAAGACATCGGAACCCAGTTTCCCAAGCAACCAGCGGGACATCCGTCTCCTTATCCCCCTCCGAGAAATCTCGCATATTTTGATTAATTACGCAATCCAATCTTCCCTCAGCTGCCCGAAAAAGCAGCGACAAAAATGTCGCATAATTAATCAAATTCATTAGAAGCGATAAAAGAAAAATAGCGAGCGAATCAAAAGCATAAGCCAAATGAGGCAAGGTAAATTTGTTTTCAGGTAGCAAAGCATCATTTTGAAGGACTATTTCAGAGCCCGAAACCCTTTAAAATTATTCCGGGGAAGTGTACAAATAAATAATCTCAATTGGAAAATAGTTTTCAAGAGGGTTTGTCTAAGCAATCTTTACAGTTCTGTAAAATATAGAATTATTATGCAGTTTGTTAGAGAATAAAATTAGCAATTTTTAGAGGAATGCCGCTTGTAAATCGGATTTAAATTATAACAGTTATGGAATTGGACTGAAAAACCATTTCCATTTTTATTAATCCTGACTATAGGATGTATATAAAATACCTTACCAAATATTTAATTTAAATTTCTAAATATCTTTGTACTAAATTAAGACTTGATATATCGAGCTGTGTAATTTTCGTGTCATTGGGCAAAGACAATAAAATTGACAGCCAAAGGGGAATATTTGCTACGCACTATTGCAGGTAATAAGCGCAAGGCAGAAATGCCAGCTACGCACGTACTCATTTAACCCCCCTTTTGGAAATAGGGGCGGCGACTAATGAAAGGCTGGAAAATTGCAAGTTGCATGCAACTTTTCACCCGGCACTTATCACATTTTAATGTTTCAATTAAGGCGCAAATTGCGTTGCAGCAGCAACAACAACAACAACGGGCTAAATTGAAGCCCAAGACATGGGCGGCGGTGCAAGGGGGAGTGGTGGGATTGAGGTGGGGCAAGGGTGGACCACCGCAAACTTAGGCAAATGAGGTTGCAATGAAGCGAAGCGAACAGGATGAAAGCCAAGTTAGTGAAGTTGGCCAATTGAAAGGGGCTTCAGAAGGGGGAAGAACGGGGATCCAGGGGCGGGGATGAAAAGCAGCGAAAAGAGGGAGAGGACACTCGATTGGTCGTAGCTTGTAATTTGCTGTCAGCACGTGGAACTATGCGAAAATTCTCTCCCTCAAATTGCGTATACGCAGCGTATTCAAATAAAGATATATAAACTCCAGCCGGGAAAGGCCAAGCTTTTTTCTCTCTCTGGAAACAACTAAGTTTCTTGCGCTGCCAATCGATCCCACGGCTTCAACCGGATATCTTCGATTTTGGCCATATATCCGCTCAGCAAAAAAGGGTCAAGAGGGGGGGGTAAGAAGCGGATGCAGTCCGATCGGTCTTAAAAGAACAGAAACCACAAGCTGTGCGGATAAGTCAGGTGCCTTCAAGTGGCAGCTTCTTCAAAAGCTGGCCAAAAATTTAAGAAGGCGAACGGAAGGGGCAGACATTTGGGCAGAAACCTTCCGCCTTCTAAGTTAACTTATTACAAGCTCTCATTGATTTGATTTATGAAATATATACATATATGTTTCTTGTTTCTTCATTTTAATTTTGGGGATAATAACTACTACAAGCTCTCATTGATTTCATTTATGAAATATGTATATACATTTGTGTTTCTTATTTCTTCATTTAAATATCTTTCTAGAGGGGTACTAGTATTTCATTTTTCTTACTGTGCAAAAGTTGATGGCTTTCGGGACTCGAAGTAATTTTAATTAAAGTGCGTCTGAGTGGAGTTGTTATTGTGTTAGTGGCAGTTGCTTTTATTGGTGTGAATGGAGTTCTCTGCTTTTTTACATCATTTTTTATAGGTGCTCCCCTTTTTACTTCTTTTGGCCGGCAAAATGGCGGCAGAAGTGGAAAAAAGCCAAGTACTTGTACGTTAACAACAACAACAACAACAAGAACAACAACAACGATGCGAAACGGAAGTGAGTTTGCGGTTTTTTGGGTCTCGGGATTGGGTTTTTTTCCGAAGAGAAGGGGGGAGGGGGGTGATGAGCAGGGAAGTGACTGCGGCCATTGGTAGTAAAAAAAAAAATAAAAAAAAATTATACCAAACCGAAGTGAAGTGAAGTTGGCTCGCCACAGTTGGCCGTTTTATGGGCCAAAAAGATTCCATTTCAATATGTGTGACATTGTTGTCACTCTTAACCCCCCGGCGGGTCCCTTAACCCACCGATGGTCTGCATCTTGCAGCCTGCATCTCCAACAGCAAACTGCAAACTGCAAACTGCTAACTGAAAACTGCAAACTGAAGCTGCAACAGCTGCGCAACCGCATTTGGATTGATTTGTGGCCAAAAGTGGGAACCCGCAACGAAACCAAAAAAAAAAGAATTCCAATACCAATACCAAACTAACCCCAAGCCCCCCGATTCTGTGGCCAAATTTGCATATTTCCCCCGTTTAATGAAGGCAAACACGAAGGCGTGAGTTTCGGATTCGGGCTCAAACCAGATGCCCAAATGCACCGAAATGCGGCCCAGCAAGAATAATGACGAGGATGCTCTGCATTCCCAACTGCCACAGGTGTTTGAACCACACAACAATTAGAAGGAAGGGAGACCAGGATAAACCAGTTGTAAGTGTAATGTTTTCTTTTAATATTTTGCAGTATTTTAATAGGTAATAAAGTGATCAAAAAATGAATAAGCAATCTAATAAAATATCTATGTGATTTAACTGACATTTCTATGATTTAGTAAACCCAATCAAATTTTGTGTGTGTGTCTTAGCAACTTTGCACAGCATTTCGTTAATTAATAACCATACATTCTAATTAGAAGGAAGGGAGACCAGGATAAACCAATTGTAAGTGTAATCTTTTCTTTTCATATTTTGCAGTATTTTAATAGGTAATAAAGTGATCAAAAAATGAATAAGCAATCTAATAAAATATCTATGTGATTTAACTGACATTTCTATGATTTAATAAAACCCAATCAAATTCTGTGTGTGTGTCTTAGCAACTTTGCACAGCATTTCGTTAATTAATAACCTTACATTCTTGTCTAGCTCTTCACTTAACATCAATTATCATTATGAGCTTAGCTACTTCGGAACCGTTTGCTCCACTTTTTCCCCAACTTACATTTATATTGATAAAGAGTGTTCCCTTTTTCTTTTTTTGCTATAATCTCAACCCAATTTCTTTGAATTTTGCAACGATTTCCGCTGAATTCCCGCCCGACTGCCTTTGTCGTTTCTTTATATTGTGTAAATTAACAGCTTAAGCGCCACATTTAAATATTTATGACTTAACAGCAACAACAAAAGCGCCTCGAGTTTTTTCCCCATAGAGGCTTCGATTCCGATTCAGATTCAGATTCCGATTCAGATTCAGACGTGGATTTCTCGCTTCGATTCGGGCATTTCCGGTTCCAGCACTCAAAAAAAAAGTAAATAAAAAACGAGAAAAAAAACCAAAACATATCGCATTTGTTGCTATTATTGTTGCTGCTGTTGGTCGCTTTTGCTTTTGGCTAATTGAAAGACGACGACCAAGTCAACGATGTGTCATTCCCCATTGACAATACGTTTACGCGTTTATTTCAACTTCAACTGCCCCCGCCTCTGAATTAAAACCCCAAAAAAAAGCAGGAGAGAGTTGAGACCTTAAATACCCTAGGAAATTGAGAAAAGAGTTTAAAACAAATAGAAAAAAAATAGTGGTGAAGATTGGTTGTTAACTAGTTACTTTTAATTACCATTTAAATAAGAGAATTGATTCCATTTTAGAAATAAAACTATTTAACACCATGTAAACATGAACTGTAAATTGTATATTGGTCTACTTGGTATGCACTTAATTACTAACAAATTCACTATCCAACTTAAGTGTATTATAATAATATTAAAATTCTTCCTATTAACCTGTCATATTATCCCCACCAAAATCCAGAGACCCCCTCCCGAAGAAAGTGTGCGAAGAAGAAACATTTATAAATTAATTAGCATAAGCAAAGCGCTTAAGTCCGAACTTAACACGGCGATTTGTGGCTCAGATTCGTCTAGTTCCAAACTGGCCACTGACTCATCGGCGACTTCCGTGACTCAGTGGCCGGTTCGAGTGACTCTTGCTATATGTCCGAAATCCCCCACCAAATCCCCCAATACGCATCGCAATTTTTTGATAAGCCGTTGCGTTGCAGAGCACTAAAAATTCAATTAAAAGTTAAAACAATGAAACAGTTACAAGTGAAATTTTCCACTGTCTGCGAGGTGTTCTCCTGGCAACCCAAAAATAGCAATATACGTAGCTATATGGCCGCAGACCCACATGATAATAGATCGGCGGTATATAGCGCAGATGGTGCGGTGCTAACTGGTTATAGCCGCGTCAAGCGCGTGCTCTCAAAAAGCCAAGCCTCTGAAGCGGCTCAAATTAGTTGGGGTCTTGGGATCGGGTTCTGCGGATCGGAATTGGATCGTATCGCTAAGAAAGGGGTTAGCTTTTGCGGAGGATCGCCACCGCCGACATATCCCACATAAAGTCTCTCGCATGCGGTTGCCAAAAGGGGGCGTGGCATGCGGTTTAACTTGGGTGCAGAAAAAGCCAAGTCTGCCAAGATTTCCTGGGCATAAAATATTATTAGCTCGCAGGTCTGTCGTTATTCGAAAATTAAGTTCATTCTGTGGTCCCAGATATGTAAACAATATTAGCATGGGTTTACATACAATATTAATGGAGTGATCTTTATAACGTTTTCCATATATTTTTAGAATTATAATTCTAAATTTGTTGACATTCTGTTTCGATTTATTTTACAAACTAAGTATGTTTATATTACAATTGCATTCTATCTCACGGGAGTTTTCTCTGCTTCAGATTTCTGCCTTTATTATATCAAGTTAGGAATGTGAAAATCAGACTTTCTGATATATATATAACATATCAATATATATGTGTGATCCGTCTGAGGCCAGCGACAACGGCTCCGAACTATTTTTAAGCTGGGCGTTGGGAAAATAAATAAATTAGCGAGCGGCTGCCAAAAACAAAGCGAGCCATAAAAATACCAAAAATAAATCAAGATGGGGGCTGGGGTGTATGGTGTGTGTTGTGTGGTGTATGGTGTATGGATATATGGTGTATGGCAGGTTGATTAACTCAATTAAAACGTTTAGGCCGCCTGGTGCCAGTCAACGAAGCTCCACAGACATCACACATAAATTCCCAAGCGTGGCCGGCTTTCATCACTAACAACTTCATTGAAAGGGTTAAATGAAAAGCGGGAAGGGAAGGGGGAATTGAACTACACTTTGCGAAATTATTGGGGAGTAATCTAAAGAGTTCCAAACAGCTAAGCTTTTATTAAATAAAAACCCTAAACATGGTTTTAAAATGCATAACAGTTTGCTCCTCAAAATAAGATTTTATAAGTTAACTTTATATGTTTCATTAGAAAATAAAATAAATAAAATTCCAAATAAATTCCCAGTGAAAGCCTATACTCAATTCTTTATCCAAACTTAATTGTAAGATTTTTTGTAACAGTGCACTCGACTTACCTTGAATGTGCGGTGCATTCGGCTTGTAGACCTGGCAGTCCGAGTTGATTGTACTATTCGGCGATGAGTAATTGCTGCTCAATTGTTGCACCAGACCAGCGCCCGCTCCGCCGGCCACGCCCCCAGATCCAGCGCCTCCAGTGGGCGTGACCGCCACCGCGGCTGCGGCCGCTGCCACCGCACTTTGGGCCGCCGTTGTTGCCGCGGCCGCCGCCGCCGTCGTCACCGCTGCCACTTTGGCGGAGCGGCGCAGCGTCTCCAGCTCCTGGAACGCCTTCGTGGGGAAGCCGTCGATGTAGGGCCGCTGCCCCAAGCCCAGTGCCCGGTAGTGCGGACCGCCCGTCGGACCTGGAATCGAGAATGTATATCCCCTTCAGTGAGTACAAAATATTGAGTGACCACCCGACTTACTTCATCAGCAAATCCCACAATTGCTAAATGAATTCATATATTTCTATATTACAAATTATTTATATTATATAATTTATTAAGTATTGAAACAAATTCATATGAAGGCAGCCAAGGTGATGGATGGCGATAACTTTCAGCCTGGATTGTACTTAAGGATTAAACTAATTACATTTAATTTGTTTCTTTTTCAGGTTTTGGCAGTGTTTGTGAAGTGGTTCCTGCTGAAAAATCTTCATTGGAATATGGAATATGAATGAAGGATTTCACCAAGGATTTTACTGAGTGAGTACACTTTCCAGAAAATATTAATTAGCTAAAACTACGCATTAAGGTATCCTAAGTATTTGTAAGGAGAATCAAACGTTAACTAAGTAACTTATATTTAGTGATTTTCCTTAATATTAGTCCTAGTTTAAGCTAAAACACTCAAGAACTGACTCCATTTTGCACAGTTGCCCTTATAGTTTCAAGCTTTGTTCAACTCAAGGTAAACTCAAGCTGCACTTAACATACTCAATATATATATATTGTATATATGTACGTATATATAGTATTACCTTCCCTACATGCGATTATCGCTGCAGAGAAGACTTAAAAATGCATTAACGAAATATCAAGAGGAAAAAATTAATTCATATATGCATTACACGAACTAAAAACTCGAGGCAAAAACAAAGAGAGAACGAAAAAAAAACAACAAAAACAAAAAAAAAAGGTTTTCTTTGCAAACCGCAAAATTTTCAGAAACCGTAAGAAGCAGAAGCGTTGCCCCCTTCCCCTTTCCCCCTCCCCTTCCCCTTCCCTGTTACTCTTCTTCTTCTTCTTCCCCCTTGAAGTCAGTTAAAACCGGCTGCACTTTTCAAACACCTTCCCGAATGACAGGACTTGGACAAAATGGCGATCATCGGATGTCGATGCGATCCTCGATCCTCGATCCTTGATCCTCGACAGAAGGAGAAAGGATCTCAAGTGCGGAGAAGAACAGAAAGGTACACGAGAAACAAAATTTGAAGTTTTTCCATAATCAGCAAAATAAAAACAATTTAGATTACTTAGAGAACTATACTGGATACTGGTTAGTTCTAATATGTTTAAACTACTGGATAGTTCTAATTTGTTTTAATTAATATTTTTCCCTACCATACAAAGTATACAATAATCATAAATATGAAATCTTCTCTATAAATGTCTAAAAGTATCTATAATATTTTGACTTATCAGTAACCGAAATCCTGTTCTTCAATGCGCTAAAAACAGGGCAAGGAACCGCCTGTTCGACTTGAGTATTAGGGTATTGGGGATTAGGGATCAAGACTGATTATGGCCAATTGAGCAGATCGGCTTAACTGTTGGCCCGGCTTAAGCACTTGTCTAAATGCTGGCCAAGTGACGGAATAAGGTTACTCGTTGCGGCGGGAAAAACGGACACATGTTGCAATGCGAAACCCAAAACGCAGCGGGACGGCTTTCCACGACTTTCCCCGCTTTTCCTTTGTTGTGCATAGTTTTTGTGGCAAGTGATAATTGCTAATTGGCAAAACAATGTAGCCACTTATGTTTCACGTAATATTCTTTGTTTGAGAAGGGTGTTACACGGAGGAAAAGAAAACTATTGTAACTATTGTTTTGTATATACTAGAACTCTTTAAAAAGATTATAGTTCCTAAATAAATTATCTATTTAAAAGAAATTAAAGGCAGAAATTAAAGCCGGTATATTATTTTGAAGAACCTATTATAAACCAACTAACTTTCTTATAATATATCTTTCTAATGACACCATGATCTCTGCGGCAACTCTTTCGATTTAAGCTTAAGCACCTCACACTTTTAATAACTAATATTATTCCGGGCTCCCGGGTAATAACTCCGGGATTATACGATCTGCGGCACTTACTTGTCTTGGAGCGGGGCTCTCGGGGTCCGTCGACGGTCACCTTGATGGCTTTGGCGTAGGTTGCCACCTGTGGCGGACTCGTGGCCACCGTGATGGTCAGCGTGAAGCTCTTCCCTGCAACAAAAATCAGAGATCAGAGATCAGAAGCGGCAAGGCATTAGAGGACGCTAAAAACGCTGAAAACGGTGCAAATGCGGCAATTGAGTCGTAAATGTCCGCCGAGAATTTATGCGACGACCTCACTGGGCTACCGAATCAATTTGCCAGTCGGAAATTACCAAAAACCGAGCCCAAGGAACACGCGTCGCCTTTCGTCCGTTCGTCCGTTCGCCCGTCGTTCGTGTGTCTGCGGGCTTACCCCTTTTAATGGCTGCACTTCTTATGGTTTTTGGGCGAAAGTGTGAGCTTGTGGTCTGAGTGAACTCGGTAACCCCTTGAGCTACTATTATGAATTTTGGTATAGAGCATGGGGTGTACCTTTAGATTGGAAATATATAGGGTACTAGTTTATTGGCAGAATGCATGCCATGGAAAATGACCTTACTTGATGTACTTCATATTGCAATTGTTATGGTTTTAAAAGAAAAGAGTTGGGTTGTGGTTATACAAGATTTTTGGTGCTCTTTCATTACCTCCTTTGTTCATATTAAAATTATTAAAATAAAAATAATTTTGAATCGAATATCAAGGGTATACCCAAAGATTCCTGATTTCTTTGCCGGCGGTGCAATTTGTTCGAACTCTTGGCATAAATTTGGTTTATCCCGCCTTAATGGCTGCCGCCAAAGTCATTTTCGAAGTGCACATAAAATGAGGAAACGTTGCAACCTGTCTTCCGCCCGGCCACGCCCCTCATTTCACTGCCGACGCCCTAAATTCCTTCATAAACGGCAACATTGTGGCCAGAATAAGTTTGCATATTTTTTTGTATTTTTTTTTGTGTTTATTTTTTTTCTGGGCTTGACCAAATGTTTACACTATTTATGGCCATTAAACTAGACACCGTTTGAAGCAGCAGCAAAATAAAACTGAAAGCCAACGGCAGCTTTTATCGATTTCGGAAATGTGAAATGAAATTCGGTTTTTTATTTCGATATTTTAACAGTCTGTCTGTCTGACTGACTGAATGACTGAATGACTGAATGACTGACTGACTGGCCAGTGAAACTGCATTCGCAGGTGCACACAAACACATCTGCATTCACAGATGTACATATAATTAAACACCCACAAAAGAGACATTGTTGTTGTTGTTGTTGGAGGAGCAGAGGACGAGGTCCCAAAACCGGAGACAGAGACCCATCCAAGCTGACCGCAGAAACCTCAGTCGCATCCCCCCAAACCCATGTATTTTAAATGCCCCGAGGATTCTACACAGGTGGGTGGTGGGCGGTGGGCGGTTTAAGGTGGAAGGTGGTCGGGTGAGGAGTGGCCACATGACCAGACATTCGGAGCGAGTCCTACTTGATGGAAATTGCATTTAACTTTTAATTAAGAACTCTGAATGCTGCCAGAGGAATTGAAAAACGAGAGAAAGATAGACCAAACATTAGAAGAAAAGGGAGGATGGGGAAAGTATATTTAACAAATACTTTTTAACTTGCAAAATTCAACAATTTGTTGAGAAATAAATGCATGATCACATTTTAAAATATCCTTATGAATAAGTCAATCCGAACCGAAGACTTTGTGAGTCACTCGATAAACATATTTTTAATAATGAAATAAAAAAAACTATGTTATTGCTTAGTATATCCAATTCATAGTTGGGAGAGCCTGTCTCTTATAATTATGAGTCGCCTGCCTTGGGGTCATTGAAATAATGGAAATAATAAAAGTGCAGCCGAGAGCCTCAAACTAGACACAATAAAGGACTGGCCAAGAGATAATTGAAGATTTTGATGGGTTCATTAACCGAAACCACGACTCGAATGGCCATCAGTTAGAAAGCGTTTTGGGTTAGCCCGAAATCTCGAAATGTCTTCATTACGCCACAGAATTGGAATGAATTGGATGATGGCCCCAAAAGCCGAACAACCGTGCGTGTTCGTATTTTGTATTTTGTATTTTCTATTTCGTAGTCCGTATTTCGTATTATTTGGCCCAAAAGAAAGATCCACGAAGGGGTGAACACTCGAATTAATCAAGTGGAGCAGAAGCTGGCGGCAGAGGGAAACTGTTAAATAGGCCTGGCTCCTTTTCGTTGCTCATTTTTCAAATGGCCGCAAAACTGGAGCATCCATCGTATGTAAAAGTTCGTTAGAGTAATTGGAAAACGTTGCGTTACTCGCTCGCTGGCTTTCTTTGTCTTTGGTAAAATATCGGGCAACTAAAGACCCCGAAATGGTAGCGATAATGGCCATAATGGAGATGGAGTTGGAGATGGAGTCTAAAGCTGGAGTTGAAGGGATCCCGCGATTGGGATCTCCACAAATTAGTCATCATCAATGAACAATGAGCATCGGCACACGCACTCGGACATTCAGTCAGTCAGTTATTCAGTCAGCCAGCTTCATCTATAATCTCTTCTTCCAATATGTGCGAGTATATATCCACGTCTAAATATACACCCCAGTGAACCCATGAACATCCATGAGCCATCGCCTTTTGTGAACGATAAAGCCAAACCAGAAGCAAGAAGCCCCATTCGACTTTTGTGGGAACGAACCTCATCGAGCCGAGCTCTCCGGCGATAAACCCTCGACCGATATCACTCGGACTATATGTCTCTATATGGGCATGCCAATGGTACGTTTCGGTTACATCAGGCCCCCCGGAAAGTTGCATAAGTTTTTTGGCTGGGAACGAGCGAACTCAAGATCTTTCGATAAAAGTGCGAAAATACAAACTAAAGAGTTCCCAGACTGATTAGGAATTCAACGTATTCAAAGTGTGTATTTATGAACATGAACACTCTTGAATAAAAAATATACAAATAAAATTGATATGAACTTCAAGGTCTGCTCTGTGATTGAGTTTCTTAAAGGAGCGAAAGTACTTTGGCCCAGTTGTCTGAATACTCCAAACATAATACCATATCCTATTAACCTTTCCCCGGGGAAAACCACCCACTCAACCACTAAGTCGGATCAGGGACCTGTTCAAGTTTATCAGAACACCAGGGTTTCCCCTCTCCAACCCTTTCCCCTCCTTCCTTTTTTTATTGTGCAAACAAATCCTGATACGACTTATGAGTTCCTGGCGGCGCGTGTCCTTCATTTGCTTTGTTTTCGCATTTTAATCCCATCGCCGGCAAAAGTCAAGTCCTTTGATATGATAGATGATGATTATAATGTCGATTGGGTGGATGTACGGTAGCTGTTGATGCTGCTGCTCTGCTGATGTCGGTAATTAAACGGCTCTAATACGGATGGGTTCTCCTGGGCTCTCGTGATGTCCGAATCAGATGGCGATTCCAGTTTAGATTGCGCTTTCACCGCGGACTGAGGGCCAAATTAAAAACATGTCGACGCATGCCAGGGCCAGGATAAAAAAGGCGATAAACTGCCACGCCCCCGCCAACCTCATCTGGCGATTGTCCAGCCATCAAGTGAAGAGAGAAAGAGGGGGTTGCCAATGGGGAGGCAGTTACATTGCTTGATACCCTGCTTCCCGAAATAATAATGCTTTCTCTGGAGAAACATTTCTTATAATTCCCAAATAATAATATTGCGTGATCAATAAGATTTGCTTTGTAATAAGGCACTAAACAATATTATATTTTTTGATCTTAACTTTACTGCTATCCTAGAACTTCCAATCGTTATTAGGCCAACTACCAAACAATTTTAATATTTAACTTCACACCCATTCAAATGGCTCCTCTTGACTGACTTTACTAGCTTGACATTTCATTAGTAACCCATTGATTAACTCAAATTCAATCCAGGGTATTCCCATGGTCTATATCCATTGACTCCACATTCCGTTTGCACTCTGAGCCCCTTGACATGCTGATGGTTTCGCTTCCATCTGTTCTCGTTCGCTTTGTCATCTAATCAGAAATCGCTGCATGATGTCCGCGATTTCATTCCCGCCCAAAAGGTCACTGGGGGCATTAATGGGGGGTGGGGGTGGGTGGTTGGCTCGAGGGGGGCGTGGCCGCTAAGTGGAGTGAACTGTTGCTGCCTGAAGTTGACAATTTGGTCAGCGCTTATGTTCTTACATCATTAGCTTGTTATTTGCATGCCCCTTGCGCCGTTGCAGTAATTATTTTGTGTGCCTTTCGGTATTGTGTTTTTTTTCCTCAGCCATTTTTGGCGGCACGAGCCTTCAATTTCTGAGGAGGAGGAAGGGAGGAAGTGGAGTGGTGGGCCAAAAGGTTGACTTAGGGTCAGAAGCGGCGGCAACAGTTGCAGCTAATTAGCCAACTGCTGCTGCCAATCCTATGCAGCACATAACACATCGCCTGCAAGGCGGCATTAATTGTGGGTTCAAATCGATTACCAGAGCCAAAGGCCCAAGCATTGCGTGATCCTCTCCAGCACATTACCATATACCACATACCATACACCATATATACATATATATATATGTATATGTATACGTATGTAGGTGCAACTGGTAACGGAGAGCCTCGTGTTGCATGTTGCAAGTTGCATGCTGCCCCGAGGACTGCGCCAACTGCAGCCTAATGTGACGACTGCTGTACCATTGATCCTTTTCACAGGAGACATTAGTCACTCGTGTTCGGAGCTCAGAACTCCTGGCTTGTCACTCAATCAATGCACTTCCGACCACTTCTGAATTCTCGGGGATACACAACGAAAAAAAGAAGGAACCAAGAAAAAAAAACCTCACTTTTATTCAAAAGTTTAGGGGCAGGTAATAGAGTTTGAGTTACAAAGCTGAACTCCCTTGGAAATCCCTATTTAATATATTATTTATTATAACACTTGTAAATCTGGGTGAATTATAAACATGTTTCGTGTTTTTTGCAGTGCACTTTGAGGCAAATTTCAAAGGTTTACCCTGCAGCTTCCGCTTATTGATAAGTGAACAGGAAATCGTGGGAAGCTTTCTTTGGGAAACCAATAATCGACATTTGGCAAAGGAAATGCTGATTGCATTACTTGAGGAAGTCACCAATTTCCGCAGTACTTAGTTTACTAACTCCGAACAGTGTGTCAAATTAAATCCTTTCTTTCAAATTTAAATGCAATTTTTTAAGGAATTAAGCTACAAGCTTTTAGAGGGTGCAACCACATTAACATTTGATCATAAATATCCTCCCCATTCCCTGAGCTTATAATTCCCAAGTTGTTTTTCGATGGTCTTACCTCTGCCACTGCGTCCCACGAATCGCAGATCGTTGAACTTGGCGACGTCGTTCTTCATTTGGGCGGTACAGTTGCGCAGCTCCGCGCAGCAGTTCTCGTCGTTTCCCGCCCGGATGGTGACGTAGGTGCCGTCGCCCACCTCCGCCAAGGCGACGACCTTGAAGGCCATCGGCAGCGTCTTGTTGGAGCGCCAATGGGCGGGCAGGGCGGAGCACAGGAAGTACGGATTGCTCGTGCGCACTGCAAAATCGGAAGAAGAAGAAGCGAAAGGGGATTGGGTTAGCCAGGGGTTTCCATTAGCCAGGGGTCCTCTGATTAAAATCGTTTTCACATTTTCACGGCCATCAAATTGTGTAAAAACGCTCAATTATTTATAGTTCGTGTCGGTCCATAAATATCAATCATCGGGTGCCGGGGTCCTTCGACCACTCGCCGCCATCCGGCGGTGCATAATTAATTAATGAGCGGGGAATCGCCAAACGGACGGACAGATGAACGGACGGACGGATGGAAGGGGTTATCGGATGACATTTGACAGTTGACCTGCTGGCGAAAGTGGAGCAAAGTGTGGAGCCTGGCCACCACAAATGATTTCTCTACCCCTGCCAGCCGAATCTAGCGAGTCTTAAATAGACAATCATTAAATTTCAATTACATTCATTACTTTTCCAAACAGGTGTTAAGCTATCCTAAGAATAGGATTCTTTCCATGAATAAAAAATAAATTCATTTCTCAAAACTAGTGAAAAAGATCCTTAGGGAAAACAAAAAAAATATAGTGAGCAACTTTGGGACGTTCTTAGTTAAATAAAGTCAGTGCCATTTGAAAATATTTCTGGTTACCTTAATAAAAGCTACCCAGTGTACTATAGTTCCGAGGAACCAAAATCAACTCCTAAAATCTTTATAAGTTATATGTGAGGCAATTGATATTTGTGTTAATAATACAATTCCATAATTCCATAAACCCATACCATATTCGAGATCCTGAGAGCTGCAACTCGATATGGAGGCGACTCATTCACTTCCCCAGAGGCGAGGAGCCGTCTTCATTGAGCACAAGTTATGAAAGGACACAGGAGGGAAAGGAATACTACCTATATGCAGATCAGGGAACAGGGAATGGGGATTGGTGACTGGGGATTGGGGAATGGGGATTGGAGAGTGGGGAAACCAGTTCGCCAGCTAATTATCCGATCAGATTCGGCTTTCGGCAGGGGGAGCGATGAGCTGAGATTTCATTAGCAGCTTTCGCTCTGGGTCATTGATATCGTCGATGGACGAGGATGAGGATGGGCATAAGGATGAGGATTGGGGATGCAGGGGAAAGTTCAACGGGCAATGAAAATCTGGGGGATAAAGGGGAACGACTCGTGCGTTGATATCAATAACAATTATTGATATCAATTTACGCATATTCCAACGCGGCCTGTCCCCATCATCATTATCATGTTTATTATCATCATGATCATCGTCGTTGATGTCGTTGTCGTTGCGATCATCCCCATGGAATCCGATAAGGCTAAAAACCGATGATCGTGATGATGGGGAAGCCCCAGAAGTGCATTGTGCAAGGATGTGGCAAAGAATGTGCGCTTCACCTTTGCGGATCGGGTTATCGAACAGCCAGCCAATATCTGCGGATCTTCTTCAGCTCAACTTGGACACGAGCTAAAAGCCTCTGTTTTTTCTTTACTAACAACAATTTCTTTTCTTTTTCATGCAAAAAGTATTTCTTAAAAAAGTTCATTGAGAAGTATATGATTTTAAGGATTAAGATAGGCCTTATTGGATTTAATTATTTTATGTGACCCAATTGACAGATGGATACTCTTTCCCAAGAAGTTAACTTCTCCCTTTTCATTACGATCTTAGTTTTTATGGGTAAGGAAATACGGATCCAGTAAATCATAGATCTTAAACATCAATCGTAAACGTTGCAATAAATATTAATATTTATTGTGTAACAATATTTCTTCTAAATCACTGAAGTCTTGTAGTTTATAGGAAATAGTAATAAAAATAAGTATTAACTTAAAACTGAAAAGTAAAAAACGCAAAAACTGATCCTATTTATTTCGTACTCTTGAGTAGATCTACAAATCATAGATCTTAAACCCGAACATCTCCCTTGGATTTATGGAACCCCTAAATCTCCCAAAGTACTTTAAGTAGTATTCCTATTCCCAACTCACCCAATTCTCCGGGATGCTCCTGCTGCCTCTTCAGAACCAATCGCTCCATCCACAGCAGATCCTGGTGCACTGCATTGTTGTTGTTGTTATTGCTGTTGGTGGCACCGTTGTTGTTGTTGTTGCCATTGCTGGCGGTGCTGCTGCTGTGGCCGCCGGTGTGTCCGCTGTGGCCGCTGTGGGCGGTGCCATTGCTGGCGCCACCTGTGGGCGAACTGCTGCCAACACTGGCACTGCTCGAAACGGCGAGCACTTCGCCGGCGGTGGTGGCGCCCGTGGAGGCACCAGTGGCGCCCTGAGTGGCCCCGCCACCACCTCCTACTCCGCCTCCCACGCCGCCGCCGCCTCCTCCTCCTCCAGTTGCCGTGGCCACCGCGGTGATGCCCTTGAAGTCGCCGGTGGTGCTGCCCCAACCGTTGCCCGTCGGCGATGTGGAGGACGAGGTGACCATGGCCGGCGGATGGGCCGCCGATGGGGGTACGCCGGGTACGACGGGTGGTGCGGGTGATGCGGATGGTGCGGGTGGTGCGGATGGTGGTGGTACGGATAGGGAGCGTAGTGGTGGTGCAGGTGGTGATGGTGGCTGCCGCCGCTGCCGTTGATGCTGCGACCCAGGCGGCCGGGACCGGCGACGCTGACGGGCGCCACAGTGGTGCAGTGGTCCGCCACCAAGTCCTGGCCCAATCCCAGTCCCAGTCCGGCTGATCCACCCGCTCCGATTCCGACACCGACTCCAACTCCGCCCACTCCCAGTCCGAATCCCGATCCCGATCCCAATCCCAAGCCCAGGCCCAATTCCAAGTCCGATTCGGATTCTGGTTCGGGCTCCGGTTCCCCAACGCCCGTATGCTCAGATGGAGGCGTCTTGGCTGCCACCAGGAGATGCAAATGCATTCGTCGGTGACCTTTGATCCCCGCTCGCCCGTCCGCTTTTCTCTCAGTGTGCGGGTCGCAGGTCGCTTATCACTCTCCTCGGCGGTGTCTTTTGTTCACTCATCAATAAACTCTAATCTCTAAACGGTTCACAGAAAAAAAACAACAACAACATTGAAATTGGTATTTGTTTTGGCATTTTGTAACATCAAAAAATAATGTAGGATTTTGATCCAAATTAAAAACTGATCGCTCTCGAATTAAAGAACAAATTACTTTGAAATAAAATAAGACATTGATAAGCCCGCAAATAAATATAAACATATTAGTAATAATAATTATTAAAATACGATATTACGCGTAAACTAATAACAAATCGGAACTTGATAAATAAATAAAGCAGATTAATTCAGATGATACATGATTGTTTTTTGGCCCTTTTTTTAACTATTTAATTTTAGATATTGTGTTTAAACATTTTAAATAAAGGATTTTGTAATTTGTAATTTTAATGAAGCGACCACTTTTAATAAAATGTAAATACATTATAGGGAAAATCACAGCGATGAAGTTTTTAGAGTATATTTTAAGGCGTCTTTTGGCGCTTTTTAGTTCGCACTTTGATAAATTAGTCACAATAATTAACATTGAATTTGCTGCTTTTGTTGTTTGCGAGCATGCTTCTGCCAGATGATTTCTGGGATTTATTTGATTCGATTGTTATTGTTATTGTTTGCACTTCACTTGGCTGAATAATATTGTTTTATGTTTGGCGTTCAGTTCGCTGAGGCGGACGGGCCTCCTTTTCCGATTTAAGAGCTTATTATTATTTCTTGGAATTGATGTAACAAAAAATAGTACCAACTCCATCTTAGGTAAACAAAGCTTGTATTTATAAACAACTCATTTTTCCTGCTGTGTTTTAAAGTCATAACTAAATATTGCAAAAATACATCTTTTTTTTATATAAGCAAATATTATTTTTTTATACAGTATCTCATTAATGATTTAATAAAACAATAGAAAACATTATTTATATGCAGTTTAGTTTCTGGTTCAACTTGCACTTAATTGTACTTAAGGTTTAGTTTGTTTAGAAACTGAATATTGATATGTTTGTGGTTTAGTTTATATCATCATGTTCATTGTGTTCAGTTTATGGTGAAATTCGTTGTGTTCAAAGTTATTTATTTTGGCGCGCTTTTTTTAACTTTTTTGTTTCACTTACACAAACTGTTAGTTTATAAGGGAACTTTGTTTTTGCGGCTTAAGCACGAAATAAAAAAAATAACAGCGCGAAAGGGCGGTTAAGCGAGGTGTTTTTCTATTCTTTATTAATTTTTTTTAAATTAAACTGTGGAAACAATAATGCTCGCGCGTCGTTCGCCAAAACGTAACTGAAACTGAACTGTCTTTTGACTTTTGACTGAATCATGGTTGAATAAGCTTAGGTTGTCTTGTCGGGTCCGTCAGTCCTTTAACAATGCCCACAATGAGTGCGAGTGAAAGGGGTTTTTTCCAATAAGTTACTCTACCGTGTCTTGAATTATGCGAGCCGAATGAAAGCAGAGAGCCGAGCTCAGAGTCGAATCAAATGGGTTTTTGCGAGCCAATGGAACAGAGCTCTCGTCGCTTAAAACTCTCTTCAATTGGGGCGTATTTGCCTCTCTTAGAGCGCACACTCGCTGTGTCTCTGTATGTTATTTTTTTATTTAAAAAACTGCAACGGTAATCTTGGTCTTTAAAAATTTAAATTCCCAAAAAAATTTATAGTGAAAAATATCATAAATTTGTAGATTTACTAAATAGACTTTGTCTCGCTTTCTCGCTTGCTCCTGCAGTTGGCCTGCTGTTTAGCTCCGCCCACTGATTCTGATTGGCACAAGATTCCCAAGTGGCGCAGGTGGCACGTGGACATAACGGGAGCCCCGCGCCACGCGATTGGTGGAGCCATTTCATCCACCGCCGAGTGCAGCAAGTTCCAATTAGACTTCAACCTACGAAGAGAGGGTGACTTTCAAAAAGCGCTCTTTTATCAGCAGCGCGCGTTGCCATTTAAGAGAGCAGCTTTTGTAAAATGTAAGTTTTTAATTTAAAAAAAAATAGTCTAATAGTCTATGGTACTTCTTTTATGTATCAAATTCATTTTTACGAAAAAAAATATATCTAAAATATGTTCAATATTACAACCTTGTAATTTTTATCAGTTTTGCTTTATCAGAAGAAATTGTAATTAAAAAGTGTGTTGTTTCTAGCGTAAAGAAAACACGAACTTAAAATGACATGTGTTATTTTAGGGAAAGGCGTGATAAGAGGTTATCACTGAAACTAAATCGTGGCTCAGCCTTGGTTTGTGGTAAAAAAGTGATATCGAATTAAAACAGCCTAGAAGGAGCTGTGTTTATTTAAACGTTTTTTCAAATACCTTAATCTTCTAACGATAAAAAAATGAAAAAACAACTGTTTAGTTATCGCTAAAAACACAGCGTGGGAAAAAGGCAGCTTATCTGTTCAGGCAAAAGTTTCGAGAAATTGAAAATCTAGTAAATCCCTATAAAAGATTTCTTAATTGGTTACTCAATTGACATAATTGGTAATTCATGGTTTTTATAACCTTAAACAAAGATCTACAAGTAAATTTTAGACCAAAAATTAAAAAAAAGAAAACATCTAACAATTTCAGAATCGTTGTTTTTAATAATTGACTCGGCGTTTTGATTTATATTATTGAAAGGATTAATTTTATTTAAGACTTATTTAATTGGAATCAAATTCAATTCTTATTGGATATATTTGGTTGGTCTAACATGAAACCAAACATGCAAAGCTCCCTAACGCATACAACAAATTTATTTTTGGTTAAGTTCTTTGCTACGAGAATAGTCATACCAACCAATATGAAGAATATCGATAGTCGTGACCAACAAGGTATAGTGTCATCGCTGTTATGCCATCTCCAATTGCAGAGCAAAACAGTTTCGCGTCGGAGTTTTTCGCTCTTTGTTTTTTGTGGTTTTTCGCGATAAAAAGTGCGCGTTTGCCGAGTTCTAAACAAAACATCCCGCAAAACTGGAGAAGTGGAAGAGAACGCGCAATTCCACCAAGAAGATGGACCAGCGAGGAGGTGGCGTTGGCGCAGGGGGCGGAGGAGGGGGTGGATCGTCAACGGGCAACAACAAATCAGCTGCTGGAAGTAACGCCGCTGGAAGTACCGCTGCTGCAGCTTCTTCTGCGGCGCCTGTTGATAAGCCAACGATTTTGGAAGGTAAGGCAATCCGAGGGAAAACAAAGAAAACCAAATAGATAAACCTCTAAGACAGCAAGAACCCCAAACAAACACACACACACATGCATGACAAAATTGTTTTGAAATGAGGAATGGGCGTTTTCACCGCCTCTCTCTCATTCCACTTCGGATTAGTGATAAAGCGCAGCCTTTTGTCCTGTTCTAAAAATACAACTACGCATTTAACAAAAACGCACACATGAGCGCTCAAAATAACGGGAATCCTTTGACCTCCTTTTTTTCAGGGGGCGGGGTGAAAGAGATGGTGAGAAAGGGAGAATAATAACTCTATTTGGGGTGTTCGTGTGTGTATGTGTGGGACCTGTTGAGTGTGAAGCCCTAAAAAATCATCTATACAAAGCACAAAAACAATTTATTGGCATGACAAATCAATACAACAACATTTCACAATTGCACCCACAAATTGCATTCAATTCGTTTTTATTTATTGGCTGTAAGTGTGTGTTGTTTTTGCAGCTAATATTGACAGAAAAAACCGTACATTGATAAGTCCTCTCAGATATCAGTTGGAATCCAATCTTATTGGAACGAAAATCTCTGGGATGACGTGTTCCTTGTAGATTATTTTTTTATCATATCTTTAGCAGGTAGCTCATGCACTCAGTTGTTTCGGTTTAAAATATTAAATTTCAGCTCAGAACACTAAAATCATGCAAATATATCAACGCATTTTTGCAGCTTAGCAGCACAGTTGTGTCAAACAAAAATATTTCTGCACATAATTATTGATAAATTAAACATTTTTTGATATATAGGTATATATGCATATATAGCTATGTATGCTTATAAATTTCACAATTTTGTGAAACCCAAACATGCAAAAAAGAAAGTTTACTAAACACAAGTATTTGTATCTGTTATATACTTGAATTGAATTAGCTTGAATTAATTAGCTTGAACTTAGTAATTCGTTAACTCAACCGGTGTAATCATACAAAATTCGTATTCAAACAAAGAACAAATATGCTCTGATAAGGAAAAATATAAAATCCCACCCTGAGCTATTTTTGCAAGTCTTACTGTATGTGTGTGTGTGTGTGTGTATTTGAATAAGTCATTAGTGTAAACTTGACTTTGATCTAGTTACTCATGTTCCCTGAATGATGGCCCTTTGTTTTAGTCGTGAATAGCTCAAACTAATTCCCCCCTGACTGTGCACTGAAAAAAGTAATTAGTAACTAAGTGAATTTTTTTGTGGTAAACACATACATACAAACATATTTTTAAAGCCTTTTTTTAAACAAAAAGGGAACACAAGGTGTTTATAAATCTAAAAATCAAACATGGGGCAGGTTTTAAAATCTTGAATTAAAAAAGGGAATAAAATGGAATCAATGATTATGAAAAGTAAATTTTATTGATAAATAAATAGAAAATTAATTTCTATTCTTCTTGTTTCACCTTAAGTGTAATATCTGATTTTGAATTCCTTTCAGGAGTGCTCCACAACATCTTCGATGGACTCACGGACAAGGACGAGCAGGTGCGGTTGGCCATGCAGCAGGCGATAGTGAAGATCCTGGAAACCCATCCTGAACGGGCAGCGGAGATCCTCAGCGATCACCGATCGCAGCAGCCCAAGATGAGCGACCAAACGGTGGCCATGTTGCTGGAGTGAGTATCTCTGCGGGGATCCCCATCGAAAACATTACTAACTGCTTCATGAATTCCCCTCTCTTAGCTGCGTTCGTCGCGTTGTGGGAGCGGAGACCCCCCTGCCGTCAGCTGCCAATCAGAAACTGATTGCCTTGGCCCTGCAGGAGCTCACCAGAAATCCGGAGCATGTCCCGCTGATACAGAATCCAGCCCAGCGCATCCTGGTGGCCATCGGACGCAGCAGTCCCGAGAGCTGCGAGCAGGTGATGGAGGCTCTCCAGGAGAAGGAAACGAACTCCGAGGGTGTGGCCCACTTCATGCTGATGCAGTGCCTCGGACTGCTGGCCACCGAGAACCCGGCCGGAGTGGTGCCCCACATAAAGTCCATATTGAGTCGAAGTCAGCCGCATCTGGGCGGGATTCGACAGGACCACATCAAGCAGGCACATGCCTACGCCATCGGCAGGTTCAGCGAAGCTCTGCTGGAGGAGGGCGGCAAGGGAAAGGAGGAGGGCAGCTGCTCCACGGAGATTAGTGTGGCCTACGATGTGCTCTTCAACCAGTGGCTTCAGTCCCGGGAGCCCAAGGTCTGCATGGAGATTCTGCAGGCCCTATCCAGCATGTATCCCCTGCTGCCCAAGGATCGGATCAAGGATCAGGCGGCCAGACTGGTGCCCCAGATCCTCTCCCTCTACCGCCGCAGTGTGGACAGGAACGCGGTTACCCAGTTTCTGTGCTCCGTGCTGAAGACAAACCTGACGCTCAATCCCACAGTTCTGGATGGCATAATTGAGCCGCTGGTCACGCACTTGTTCGATCTGGTCTGCGTTTATCCGGACTACGAGAAGCCGCAGACGGTCAAGGGCCACTACGAGGTGCTGCGCTGCTTCCACCTGCTGGCCGGTCATCATCCCTACTCCACCAGGATCATGGACACCCTGCTGATTCACCTGCGGAACAACAGCGAGCGGGAGCGGATGAAGTCCCTGCTGATACTCACCCATCTGCTGAACTCGTGCGCGAGCAACATAGAGAACCGCATTCCGGCCAGCATTGAGTGCCTTAAGCAGCTGATACTGAGCGAGCGAAGCATCAAGATGAAGCTCACCCTGCTGAAGACCATTGTGGCACTCGCCCAAAAGTCGCACATCCGCGACAAGGAGTTCGTGTGGTTCGTGGTGCGGCACAGCTGCCGCTACTCGAAGCCCAGCCAGGAGCACGGCAGCCCGGAGGAGCACTCCAATCTGGTGCTGAGCTGCGAGAACACCCTGTACATGCTCGCCTCCACGGTGGGCACTTTGGACGAGCTGCTCAAGCGGGAGCTGCTGAACTACCTAATCCTACTGGACTACACGGACATTTGCGGTAACCTGGCCAAGTGTCTGGCCAGCTTGTTTGCCAAATCTCCGCACATCGAGTACGACATTGCGGGCGAGGATGCGGCCACCGAGCAGACCACTCCCGATGGAGCCGCTGGCGAGGATCGCAGTGTGATCAAGCGCGGCAAGGTGATGGTTCCGGGAGCGGAGACAATTTACGCGCGGTGTCTGGCACTCCTGGGCAACCAGCAGTGCATCAAACGCTGCTCGAATATCCTCAGTTTCCTGCGCTACTACCATCCCCAGGTGAATCCCGCTCTGGAGGAGCTGTGGGAGCGAAGGATTCCGGATCTCCTGCTGCAAATCAACAGGGAGACCACCTACCGCCAGCTGCTGCACGATTTTGTGCTGGAAACGAACGAGTTCCTGGGCGGACTGGACGAGAACTTCCCCCAGCGGCTGGCCAGTAAGCTGGCGGACCAGATGTACTTGTATCCCATGCAGCTGCCCCACTCCGAGTGGCAGTTGCCCGATTTGAGTGCCGAGCGGGGCATGCTCCTGCAGTCGGTGGCCCTCACCCTGCTCCAGGTGACCGATGTGGCCTGCATCCACACCAAGATCGATCTCATTGTGACGAGTGCGCGGCAGGAGCGACTGGACAAGCATGTGAAGCATGCGGACTACGAGCGGCGAATCGAGCCCTGCGCCAGAGCCCTGGGCTATATATCCCGCCAGCACTTGGGCCATCTGATCAAGAAGCTAACCGAACTGGCGCAAGTTGGCGGCAGGAAGCACTCGACGGGCTTCTTCAGCAACCTGCACTTCATCAAGGACACGCACAAGGAGCTGGAGAACTACAAGAGCAACTTGCTCGTGGTCAAGGCCTTCGGTCGCATCATGGACGAAGCCGATCCGCTGCAGTCGATCCAGCATCTCGACGAAGACGACACCCTGCTGGGCTTCCTCATCCAGCAGCTGGCCATTCACAAGGACCAGACTATCATGTCGGCCATTCTGCAGACGCTGTTGAGCATCTGCAATCAGTTGATCGCCACCAAGGAGCAGCTGCCGGCGCCTCTGCGTCACCGCAAGCAGATCATGGAGACGGTCTTCAACATCCCCATCGAGGCGCCCTTCCACGATCTTCCCCTGCTGCCCACCATCCTTAAGCTGGGCACTGACTTCATCCGCATAGGTAGCTTATATATGGATAGTATTTTAAAACTAAATTATCTTACGAATGGTAACTTTATTACTAGGTGGTCCCGATACCGAGGAGTGTGTGGATGGCGGCGTTATCTTCGAGATCGCCTGCCGCAACTTTTTTGGCTGCGCTCAGCAGCTTAAGATGAAGTTCGACTCGCAGGAGGAGGACGAGCGCAACAGCTTCCTGGCCAAGCACCTGAACGAATCGCTGCCACAACTCAATTCCCTCGTTCGCGCCATCGTTGAATTGGATGCCTCGCCAGCCACTCTGGACTTGATCATCGGCATTCTGGAGGGCTGGACACGGGATCGGAACTCCGAGGTGCGAATCTGCGCCAGCCACGTCTTCAATAACACACTGGAGGTCTACATCAAGGCGATGAAGATTGGCTGCGAAGCGCCGTCGAAATTCAATCAGACGGGTCAAATGCTGGGCAAGATTGTGCCCAGATGCATCGATTCGAATGGAACAGTGCGACAGGTTTCCGTGGAGATTCTGCAGAAGACGCTGGAGATCGCGTGCATCTACGAGACCCTCACCATAGCCAGCATCGACAGCACGGCCGACTGGCTGAAGGAGATCGAGGCCATCAAGGAGCACATCATCACGGATGAACCGAAGCAGATTTATAACCTGGCCGGCGATATTGCTAAGATCATTGCGCTGCGCATCTCCAGCTTCCAGTACCTCCAATTCTGGTGAGAATGTTACTTGGCTGATTGTGGGTTATGTTATCCTAACGTTGTTCTCAATTTTGTTAAAGCAAAACTCTCCTCCAATCGCTTCGTGATCCCGAGCAGAGTTCCACCATCGGCGCCAGTGTTGTGCTTAAGTTCTTCATCCAGCAAAAGGGTTCGGAGCTGTTCCATGCGATTCCCGATCTGGTGCGCGATAGTCTGCTGGCATTGCAAGTGTGCGAGGTGCCAAGGGCCAAGTCTGGTGTGCTGAAAGCACTGGTGGCCCTCACCAAGCACCATCCCAAGTTGGTTTGTGCGGAAATGCTGGCCCAGCCACTGCCCTACGATCCCAATCTGGTGGAGTACTGGCATCTGGTGTGCAATGATCCCGACTTGACGGGCATAACGCTGGACAACTTCCTGCAGCTGCTGAGTGGCGCTTCTCTGCAGGAAGGCGGCCACGATGCCAGCCTATCGGAGCGCCAGAAGCTGGCCAGCGGTCAGCCGTTTGCTATTTTCTGTGCCCTGCACGAGATGCTACCCTGTAAAGATATAAAAGTGGTGAGTTTTTCAGGAGATGCCCTCATGTGTACAAAATTCTTTTGATTGTTTAATTGTTTTTAGCAACTGGAAGCCAGATTTGCGGACATGTTCTGCATGCTGTTAACCTCGCTGAGCAGCTACACCAACCTGGCGCCTCCGAATCCTGTGAATGTTAACCTAAGTCCCAACCAAACGCAGTCGGGCAAAACCAAGTTTGGGTTCGTGCCCAACAAGGATCTGATTAAGCTAAATCCCTGCCAAATAGCACTGGAAACGTTTCAGGTGTGTTTTACCAAAAATATATTTCTATATTTATTTCTATTTAAATGTTCTTTTACATTTTTATTTCCAAAACAAGGCCTTTCTAACCAACTTGGAAATGGAGCAGATCGCCAGCGTACTTACAGTGAACACCCAGTTGGCTAGCAGCACGGATTGGCATAACTACATTGAACTGCTGACACCTATGGCCATTGGATTGGCCCAGCAACTGCAGCTGGGAAGTCCGCAGATGAGACAGCTCGTCAATTCGCTGAGCAAATACGTGGCTTCACCGCACGACGGCCAACGGGTGGCCGCTGTGGGCCTCTTCTCCCGCCTGGTGCCACTGAAACCCACCGGGGAACTGGCTGCTTCCATTCTGCTCCACCTCGGAGCAGCTCTGTCCGATCCGAATGCGGTGGTGCGAGGACTCAGCATCCAGGGCATGGGTTACGTGGGCCAGCTGGGCGAAAAGGAAGCTAAGCGCTACTCGGAAACTGCGATTGGAGCCCTGTTGAAAGGAGTCGACGATCCGGTGGGCGATTGCCTGATCAACATTCCGCTGGAGAGCATGCGCGGCTTGTCCGTAATCCTGCGCGCCCTTCCCAGCGAGCGAGTCGAATCCTTCCACGTCTCCCTGGCAATTCGAATACGTCCGTTCCTCGGCAACTATGCCTTGGAAATGCGCGAGGCGGCCATCCAATTGTTTGGCGATATTTGCGAGGGCAAGCACGATGACGGCAGCAGTTCACCGACTTCCTCGATGGAAGCGCTGAAGGAGCAGCTTATCGCCAATCTCTTCCCGCTGCTCCTTCATCTCAGCGAGAACGAGGCGGCTATTGTGTCCGCCTGCCGAGGAACACTGCAGCGGGTTTGCCGCCTCCTCACCGCTCCGAAGGTCGTCGAGATGGCCCAGCAGCAGTTGGGAGAGGAACGCGGCCACCAGCTCAACTATGGGAGCTTTGTTCTGGAGTTCGTCAAGATGATTGTGAGTCGAAAAACTGGGGATAATGCATTCGCAAGCCTTTATTTGCATGCAAATTGTTGACAATTTATTTCTTCATTTATTTTCAGGCCCTTGAGCTTACGGAGCACATCCAGGATTTCATCGACTCGTGCCTGCCGCAGTTGCGTAGCCAGTGGCCAGAGGTTCGGGGCAGTGCGGCCATCGTTATTGGTGAGTGTGCTGATCACTAAGTTCACTTAAAGCATAACAAATTGACTGTATTGAATTCAACAGGCATCCTGCACAACTTCCTCGGGGAACGAAACGCGCAAACTGAAGCTGTGGCCACCAAGATCGCCGTGCTGCTCAAGGACGAACAGGCGTTGGTGAGGGTGAGGGCGGCCACTGCCCTAGGATACTTCTTTGGCGACATTTAGAACATGTGGGGGACCAACTCGATTAATTATAGTTGCGATTATGTTGTGTGTGTTTGTAAATTATGACTTAGTATTGCTCCAAGTGTGATCCCATTGCCTCAGCAACTGTTCCCCATATTATGTTTGATATTTAACTCTTTGTTTTGTTATGTATTCGAAAGTCACGTTATATACTATTCTATATATATACACATACCATTATTTATATATTTATAATCAAGTTTAATCAGAGCGTTTTCCAGCTTTAAGGCACTTGTGCGAGTGATAAGAAATCGTATTTTACAGAAGACTTGGTTTCGGACAATAATTACTTCAACATACTGAGTCTTTTCAAAATTACCTCGGCTTTTGAGGTTTACAAAAGTATAAAAGATTATTCCACAGCAAATATGTGATTTTACGTTCTTTTGCCTGAAATTTGTCGGTGTTCCATGAAAGAATTCATTTCAAAACAATTAAAAATAAATTCTAATAAATTTAGTCAGGCATTTTAACATGCAACTAACTAATGGACCAATTTTATGAACGGATACAAAATTATTAGGGACTTTCCTCATAACTATTTAATTACCTTAAAGTTGTGAAACGCTTTGTACATTTCAATCGAATGTGGATAAAGATATAATGGTGGAAGTGTGATAAAAGAGATCCAAAAATGTTGCGTTTTGTTGGATTTTCAAAGTCAATTAGCTGCCACATAAAAAAAATGTTGTGTCCCACATCCACCAATAGTGATGGATTCCAAAAAAAAAAGAGGTTTTCCTATTTAACTGTGTATTAACGCTTATAAAAACCAAATCAAATAAAAATATTAAAATGAAAACACGCTTAGTTAACGCCTAATCAAAGGCGTAATATTGTATGCGACCCGACGACCAGGCGATCGTCAATACGGAACGATCGTTATCCTTGTAAAGTGGCTGAAAGCAGATGAAGCTGGGATGCTCCGACGCAGTTTCTCCGCTTAAATAATACGCAGCCGAGATCTGTAGATCGAACTTCTGGATGAAGGTGCGGAACACAGCGATGCAATTGGTCGACTTGAACGTGATCACAAGGTAATTGCCATGCGGATCCCAAGCCAATTGCTGGGCGGGACCACCGATGAGAGTGGAATTCGTATCGATGCTGCACGCATTCAGATCAGCAATGGGAAGGATTTCCTTGTCATCCGCAGAAGCTGCAAGGAGAGGCAAAAACTTTTGTAGTTGGGAAAGACAAAGTAAAAAATTTAAGTATCTTCTGGAATCCTTTGTAGTCAGCATTATACAGACGGTCTGGAAGCTGGAGCAGCCGCCAACCTGTTCCTGACAGCTTTAATCTGGGGCAGCCTCAGACCGCTCTCTTGTATCTTTCCACAACTTCAGGCTAGACACTGGGAACAGACTGCCCGTGAATTATGACCTTTCTTTTCTTTCATACTTACACGAAAGTAGACTTTGTTGCACAAACTGCAGGCGATAGAGGATCGGCTCCGTGCTGCTTACGAAAAGGAGGTAGCGACCGCAGGGTGACCAGCAAGCGGTCTGCACATGTCCTCCAGGACCGCAAACCCACCGCTCGGTGGTCCACTGCTGTTGGCAGTTCCACACGCGAAAAACCCGATCCACCGTGGCCGCAAAAAGCCAGTCGTTATCCGGCGACCACTTGAGCAGCGAGCCCGGCGGTCCCATTCGTTTAAGTGCTTGCATAGTGTTATTGTCCGGCTGCCAGATTATAATAGAACGATCGCCAATGGATGCGGTGGCCAACTGGGTGCCGTCCTTGTTCCAATGCAGCGATGTTATCGGCAGATTGGAGGGACTAAAAAAAAAAATTGTGATCAAATATATATTTACCAAAAGAATAACTTCACTTACTGTTTGAAAACCTTGCTGGGTGCATTTGTGCGTCCCAGATGCAGACTGTTGTCCACTTCCCAGAAACAGAGACCCTGCCGGCAGCCAATTACGATCTCCGCTGCGCAGAGCGGTCGCCAGGCCATGCAGGTGATATGCGTTTGAGTGGGGCTCTAAAGAAATTGTGTTTAATCTAGTGAGCATTGGAACCCTCAGATAAATCTACCCACCTTTAAGACAGTGGCATTGGATCCGCTGGAGTTCTTAGTATAGATGCGCACCACATCGTCAATGCCGGCTACAGCCAAACTAAAGAAGTGACAGTTCCAAGCAAGGAAGCGCACGTCGCTGTTTAACCAATCCCTGCCGAAAACGCCTTAATATGGTAACATGTCGGTGCGGTTTACGGCTTAATTCCACCCACCTGGTCTCCACGAACTGCGCTATCCGTTCCGCACTGAGTTCTTGAGTGTGCGGAAAGACCTTTAGCTTCAATCCAGTGGCCAGACCCAAAAGCCGGGCAATCAGGTCACCCGCCTGTGCAATCAACGGTGCCTGCTCCCGGCTCTTGGCGCTCCTCGCTTCCTCCAGTGATTCCCAGAAGCCGCCATCGAAGAAGGTACGCGTTATCCTTTTGAGGACGCCTTCGTTCACGGACACAAAGCTCTGGCCGCCGTAGTACCGCTGGCCGGCAGAATTGGCCAGGAGTTCGCTGTTCAGGTGTATCTGCGGATAGCGCTCCAGCTCTGGGATGTGATTGTGCCGCAGTGCCAGATCCGGCAGCGTGGAAAACGGTGGACACTGTTTCAGATTGCTTAGAGCCGCCATTCCTCCAGTTTGTTTACATTCAACGGAATAATTTAACAAAAAAGCGGCAAAATTTGCACCGCTGCTATCGATTGCACGATTACTGCTCTCCACATCGATAACAAACACGTGTGCTGATGGTATCGATGTGTTGTATCATTAGTGTGACCTTGTGCCCAATGTTTACCGAAATGGACCAAAGAAAAAGTACATTGCGGTCTTACTGAACCAAAGCAAAACAAGAGGAGCGGAGGTAAACTTAATTAATTAAATTTAATTAAAGTTACTGCAATAATAGCAATTTGGTGGTGTCCCGCCGCCAGCGTGATAAAGGCTTGCAGTTGAATTCGACCTGGGTCGTTAGTTGGCGGACTTGAACTCTCGCAGAGCTTGGAGCGACATGGCCGACAAGCGGAAATACAAGAAGACCGTAGGGTAATATAAATCTTAATCAGTATTGCTCTAATACCCTTGGTTTCCGCAGAAAGAGGAGATCCGGCGGGAGATCGCACGGGAATTTGATCTGCCGGAGCGCAAGTCCAAGATAGCCACTATACTGAAGCAGGAAGATCAGGCGTACTGCATATGCCGCACCTCCGACTGCTCTAGATTTATGATGTGAGTCCTGCCGGGAAAGTCCTTCAGCTGGAATGCAGATGCCCTAACCCGTTCCCTTCACTTTTCAGTGGCTGCGATGGCTGTGAGGAATGGTATCACGGCGACTGCATCGGGATCACCGAGAAGGAGGCCAAGCACATCAAGCAATACTACTGCCGGCGCTGCAAGAAAGAGAATCCCGAGTTGCAGACCATCTTCCGGTTGGTAGCCACCGAACGGGCAGCCGCCTCAAATGCCGCCTCCACGAGTCTAAATTCCCCGGGATCGAGCATCCCAAATGCAGCAGCAACTCCTGGTGTTGCTGCACCTGCCCCGGGAGCCCCAGGAACTGCCAACCTCCAGCCTCCGCAAACGGCGCCCATGAAGCGGAAGAACAGCAACGTGAGGGAACCAAAGGCGGGGAAACGATGTGGAACCTGCGAGGGATGCCGGCGTCCCAATTGCAACCAGTGCGACGCCTGTCGCGTGCGCGTCGGTCACAAGCCTCGTTGCATATTCCGCACCTGCGTGGTCCAGCAGGCGGCGGGCATCAAGGAGACGCCGCATAATCAATCGGGACCGGGGCGAAAGCGAGAGAAGGCCGTCGCCCCGAAGAATCGTGTGGCGAAGGTCGGCCTTCGGGCGGCCAGTCCCGAAGTTTACCTCAACCCGGAGCTGGAGGGTACACGCCAGTGCCACGGACCCGGCTGCTGTTGCCAGGCTAGGCCACAGAGCAAGTACTGCAGCGAAAAGTGCGGCTTCAATCTGGCCACCAATCGGATTTTCCAGGTTTGGATGCCAAGTAAACCCTCTGCTTGAAAACACATTTAAACAGTGATTTTTTGTTAAGGTGCTGCCGCAGCGCCTGCAGGAGTGGAACCTAACGCCCTGCCGCGCCGCCGATGACACGCGTAAACAGTTGGAAAGCATCCGGCAGAAGCAATCCCTGGTGCGTTTCGCCCTCGCTGAGTTGGAGAAGCGATCTGAGGAGCTGAACATGATTGTGGAGCGGGCCAAGCGCAGTTCCATCGACACGATGGGCCCCCACGATACCGCCGACATGGAGGATGAGCAGAGCATGTACTGCATCACGTGCGGCCACGAGATTCACTCGCGGACGGCCATCAAGCACATGGAGAAGTGCTTCAACAAATACGAATCGCAAGCCAGCTTCGGAAGCATATTCCAAACGCGGATGGAGGGCAATAATATGTTTTGTGATTTCTACAATCCAGCTAGTAAAACGTACTGTAAACGATTAAGGGTTCTGTGTCCGGAGCACAGCAAGGATCCAAAGGTGAGTGACGCGGATGTGTGTGGGTCACCGCTAGTGAATCAGGCCTTTACTCCAACGGGCGAATTCTGTCGCGCGCCGAAAAAAACTGTTTCAAGCACTACGCCTGGGAGAAGATCCGGCGGGCGGAGATCGATTTGGAGCGAGTCCGGCAATGGTTGAAAATGGACGATCTGATGGAGCAGGAGCGGATGCTGCGACAACAGCTGACCTCGCGGGCGAACCTGCTCGGGCTGATGCTGCACTCCACCTACAATCACGAGGTGATGGACGAGCTGGTGCGCAAACAGCAGGAGCACTTGGCGGAGTTCGAGAAGCAAAAGCGCCGGCAGGCGCACCAGCAACAAATGCAGGCCCAACAGCAACTTTTCCAGGAGAAGCAGCAACAGCAGCAGCAACTATTACTCCAACAGCAACAACAGCACCAGCAGCAGCAGCAAATCCAACAGCAACAACAGCAGCAGCAGCAAATCCAACAGCAACAACAGCAGCAGCAGCAAATCCAACAGCAACAACAGCAGCAGCAGCAAATCCAACAGCAAGTAATCTATGTGCAGCGAAAGCCATAGATTTCCATTCCTCTCTAGCCGTAGTTAAAACAAACAATAAAGTGACATGCAAGAAACCCTTTTGTACGAGAACCAAGCAATCTATTCACTTTCCCCCCACCATCGCAGGAGGATAAGCATAAAAAAGAGTCCTGGTGTCGCGTTTCTCCGGGCAACCGGAAAACACATTCGCCGGCTGCTAACTTCACGGAAGGAAGGAGGTTGCTACGCGCCGGGATCGGGGCTACACGCCCATGTTTGTTATTGAAAACTAAGCATCAAATATGCATTTATTGATAGCAACCTGCCCACAAAAGGGAAAGGCTAGATTGGGCTAGCTTAGTTAAGGAAATCATTCAAACTGTCTGCAACTATATTTTTACTTACCGATTGCATTTTGTCTAGATAATAAGTCTTTAGGTATTTTTTAAAACACTTGTAGGCTCAAAAACAGCGTAAAAAATGGAAAGTTACAAATTGTGTGAGTTCCATTATTTAATCAACTTTTTCTTTTTTAAATAGAATAATAAATTATTTTTTGTTAAATGTTTTTTAGCAGTAAGATATTATGATTGCGTAGACATCGCTTGTATTTAGGGGCAACTTAAAGATGTACATATTAAAACTGAAAAATATCAATAAATATTTTGCTAAGAGATTTTGAGCCTAACCCTAATTGTTGATATCGGAAACAAGGTTTTTGGGTGAATGATATGCAAGGGTCCACGAAGACGCTTGATAGAAACCAATGGAAACGACAGGACCTCGAAAACGATGGAAACTATTGAATACAATGGGAATGGAGGAACCCAGGACATCGAAGGGATGTCGTCACATTAGAAGGGAGTGCAGTCGAAATTTTTAAACGAGTCGAGTCAAATCGAAACGCTAGTGGACGACCAAGTAGTCGTGGCGATTTGTGGCTGACGCGCCAGACGAACTGTCGAACTGCCAGTTATAGTCCGGAATTTTTCTACTCCACACACGACCCCCGATTCCAAAATAGAAACACACACACATTTTTGTATTCGATTCGATTCTTTTGTTTTGTAAAATCGGAAGCAAAGGGCAAGAGGCGGTTACCATCGCCACATGGACAAGTCTTCGCCCGATTCCGAGTATAGTTAACCACCAACACTTCGCATCTATATATTTTTAAATCCAATCAAATCCGTGCAAATTTAAACGCGCGTGAACCGCGAGTGAAATATTCAAATTCAAATAGCTGATTGAAGATCGTATCGGTGGCAATATCATCTATAAAGACGGAATTAGAGCCCATCTAACCCAGAAAAAAAGTGTACAAAAGCCGAAACGAAACCAGCGAACCAAGTAAATTACCGAACCAAAAGAAAGTCCAGGACTATATCAGGTGGTGATAGTAAATGTCTGAAAGAACGAAGCAGAGAAGATATAGTGTTTGGAAGTCAGAACGGGATCAGATAGAAAAGGATTATCGTGGGGTATTTTTTTCGCTTTTTGTTTTCTGTGTTCCTTGTTCAAGGTCCTGAACTGGTTTCTCGGATAACTTCGAGGACAGCTTACCACATTAACTGCAGGTTCGTTTTAAAAACTAATGTAATGAGATCTTGTAATGCTAACCCTTATCCTCTACAGTTTTGGTTCCAACTTTAGCTTCGCGTTGAGTTCGTTAATATACATATATATTTTTTATCTATATGTGGAAATTGCCAGTTAACTTTCAATCGCATATACGAACATACATTTATCCAGTTGCCTTGGCTCTTTGTCTCCCAGTTAGCCACCATCCAACGTATCCTACGAGTCGTGCCTCCTTTTTTTGGGTAAGTGACGTGCTCCACTTGAAAACTTTTGTGCCAAATTCAATCGCACAGTTGTTGCTGTTGTTTGGGGCATACACTATCTAGCAGAATGTAGATTTGCAAAAAGAACCTACTTAAAGGCTTTAAAAAAGTTAGTTTTGCAAGGGAACAAAAGCTGTTACTTTTTATAGGCTTAGAACACGGTTTCAGTCTTTACATTTTACTTATAGTTTTCTTTTTATATGATAGCATTGTACTTTAAAATACAATGTTGCGCCTGCGCACCATATTTAAACTTAGGATTAAAAGCGGTCCCTTGTGGTTGTTTTTAATTACATATTAAATAAAATTCTAGTTTTTGTTGATCTGTGTTGAACTTTGCCATATGAGTGTACTTGTGCCTATTTATTTGTTAAACAAATTCATTTGCCATGTTTTGTTGGTGATTTTCGTTCAGTCAGATTGCATGCCGTGTATTTCTATTTGATTGTTTTGCGGCGTTTCTTGAAAAACAAAAACAACAACAAAAGCAACAATAACTGAAGTAGGCGAAGTAACAGTAAAACAGTAGACACCCAAAAGAGTAAACAATTCTGATTTTCTTATTTTTGCGAAAGCGGACATTGCTTTTTACAAATCAAAATAAAGAAATTTAGAGCAAATGACTAATAAGCTATTTGTCTAATATGAGCCAGTATTTTGATCCCTTCATTTGTTAAATATTAAACAAACTTCTGACTGAAATTATAATACTTTGCAAGGGTATAAAAAGGATACATTTTAGCTGTTTATGGCCCTTCAAAAACAAATAAGGTTTACAGTTAAAATATATAATGATACCATCTCACTGATTTGGCTTGCCGAGTGCGCACTGTGGCTGGAACGGGAACCGTTACATGACGTTGCCGTGGGCACTTGAGGGTCCATTGTAGGCATTGCCAGGCCATCCAATTTGGGGCTCTCGTTTTCGCTTTCGCCTTCTCCCCGATCGATCTAACAATAATTCAGTTTCAATCAGTTCCGCCTCGCGATTTATATATATTCGTTTTGCTATTTTTTTCTCGCTTTTTATTTGTGCTCCCGTTATGGCCGTTGTTCCGTTTCCGGTGCATTTGCATACAGATAGAGAAAAACAATGATCATAGGCTCTCTTGAAGATCCCAAATTCTCACAAATTTAAGGTTAAATGAGATTTCAAATTAGGCTTATGAAATGTAAATATAGGATCTTTTTTGAGATCTTATTTATAAACACATGATTCCAATTAATACATGTATTAATCAGTGAGAAATAAAAATGAAATCTATAATCAATTTTGATTTTTACTCCTTAAAAAAGTATATTCTTTTTTGTTGCTGTGGAGTTCTCGTTTTGTTTTGACCTGTTTTGTTTTTCTCTCTGTGGAGTTTGGCATTGTTTTTGTTGGCGTTTAATTTTATTTTACATACTTGATGCCGTTTGCATATGGGAGCGAGCACGCGAGGACGAGTTCCCCAGATGCTCCAGTTGGAGCCGCAAAACCACTCGCTCACCACTGCCACGCGCAACAGCAACAGCAACAGCTACAGCTACAGTGGATGCCAGCTAACTGTAACTAAATATCTCTGACTCTATCCCCACATCGAACTCCACAGTGAAGCTGCCTCTGCGTGGATTTTTACAGGCTTTGCCCGGCTGGGTGAATCGCTCGCATTGGCATCAGCTTGGAGAGTGGTCAATGTTTCACGCCTTCCAACTGAAACCAAAATCAGTGCCAATTTCGATCCCAAGTGGGGGCCCTCGGATCCTCGAACCAGCCAGAGAAGCTACAGCATCATAGAGAGCAGGAAACTCACAAGAATAAGGATAAGGAGAAGAACTGGGAGCGAGTCAAGGACAAGTAGGCAAACTACCGACTTAAATGGCCAACCCATCCACTACTCCCGCTCAGGAGCGACGCATCAATGAGCTGGACCAGGACATAGAACGCATCTTTGATGTCCGAAAGGTAAGTTCGAAATCTTATTCTAAAGAGTTCTATCTACCTTTAGTTTATTCTTTAAAAAACATCTTAAAACAATGTTCTCCAAATCTTATCAAATTCGAAAAAAACACTTTAAAATAACCCAAAAAAAATCAAAATAAATAGAAGTGTTATATTATTTGTTTTCAAAACAGCATCCAACTAAGTAGTTGATTACGGACAAATCTTATTATTTTTTAGCGCTTGGGCAAGGGTGCCTATGGCATCGTTTGGAAAGCCACAGACAGGCGCACCAAGGACACGGTGGCCCTGAAGAAGATCTTCGATGCATTCCGGGATGAAACCGATGCCCAGCGCACCTATCGCGAGGTGATATTCCTGCGCGCCTTTCGCCACCACCCCAACATCATCCGACTGATGGATGTCTTCAAGTAAGTCCATCAAACTCGTTTGCATCCTTACCCTTTAGTTGTTTCCCTATTCCTGCAGGGCTGGCAACAACTTGGACTTTTATTTGGTGTTCGAATACATGGAGAGCGACCTGCACAACGTGATAAAGAAGGGCGATGTCCTTAAGGATATTCACAAGCGATTCGTCATGTACCAGCTCATCAATGCCATCAAGTACATGCACTCGGGCAATGTCATCCACAGGGATCTGAAGCCCAGTAACATACTCATTGATAGCAAGTGCAGGTAGGATATCCCAAATAAGTAACATTCATAACGAACCAAATTTAGTACCCCACTATCCTATTATCCCTTGCTAAAAACGCATCATTCTGAACATATCATTATAGTATAACCCTTCTAAAATATTTTTTCTGACTTCTCTTATTTTTTAAGGCTCAAAGTAGCAGATTTTGGCCTGGCTCGCACACTATCCAACAAACGCAATTCCGAATTCGATGACCGGGAGCACGAGGGCATGTTGACGGACTATGTGGCCACGCGGTGGTATCGCGCTCCCGAAATTCTGGTGGCCAGTCGGAAGTAAGTACCATTATCTTCTGAAGATTTTCAAAGCACTTAATAGTTGGTTTTATTTTCCAGATATACGAAAGGCATTGATATGTGGGGACTGGGCTGCATCCTAGGCGAAATGATAAGGCAGAAACCTCTGTTTCAGGGAACCAGTACTGTCAATCAGGTAAAACTTGGCTTCAACCTTCTGCCAAAATACTAATATATAATATACATACTCGTATAATGACCACAATATATTATATGATTAACAATCGTTTCCAATTTCAGATAGAGAAAATCGTGACTGCCTTGCCGGACGTGACCCAGCGGGACATCGAATCGATTGGACCCAGCTTCGGATCTGCATTGTTGAGCAAGAAAATCCATCGCGATCGTCGCCTTTCGCTGGACGAGATGCTGCGCAACTGCTGCGACGACGCCATTTCGCTGGTGAAGTCCCTTTTGGTCCTGGATCCCTACAAGAGGCTGACTGCCAAGGCGGCCATCATGCATCCGTATGTGAGTCGCTTTCGCACCGCCTCCGCGGACATGGAGCTCCGGGTGGACATCCACCCGCCGCTGAAGGACGATGTGCGCTACGGTGTGGACCGCTACCGGAGTAACCTCTACGATATGATTGGGCTGGAGTCGAGGGGCAGTGCGCGAACGGTCAGCAATGCCACGCCGTCCAATAACCGGGAGACCATGATGACGACGACGACGATAACGAAACCCCAGCGATCCGTATCGCGAACCAGGTGAGTTTTGGGATTGGGATTTATTATTTTGTTTCCTTTGTTTTTTTTTTTTTGTTTGGCTTGGCTTTTTGGGGTGTCCTTTGGGGGAGGGCTGTTGGAGCTTCTCTAGCTGCTCGTCCCCTTTTCCAGGTTGCGTCGTCCCTAGCACAGACGTGCCACATCGACGGCCATCGCCACCACCACCACAACCACCACCACTACCACTACCACATCCAAATCGAATCTCCGTCAGCAGGACACCTGTGACTCCACGGAGTCCACTACAGTAGAGCCCCCTGTAAAGGAACGTCCGCATCGTTCCCGGCAAAGACAACCACACTCCAGGCGACTCAATCATGGCCAGAGTCAATAGAATAAATAAATTAATAATATTGTTACTATAAAGCCGATTTCTACATAAGGATTTATACTTTTCTTCATTATTTCCATTTCATTTTATTACGTGTTGCTAGTTTTAAGTAAGGAATATCATAGCATAGTATAAAGTAGATAATAACATACTTTAAACATAACAATTCTTTTTACAAAACTACATACTTTCATTATTATTTTTGCTAAACGCAATTATCATCTTAAGTAATTTTGTAATTTTGAATTGATTGGTTCGAAATAAGATGTAGTAGCTGATTACAACCCAAACCAAATTAATTTGATATCAAAGATTTAAATACCCCTATTTAAGAGAGAAAGATATAACACCTAGCCCAATCCAACCCAACCGAACACCCTTTAAAAAATATGCTAACCGATTCCCGCCCGGAGAATCTTCACCTGCCGAACTCATCCACCCCCCAACCAATCCCTTCCCCAGGACGATGAGTGCCACCCAGCTGCCGAGTCAGGCGGAGAAGAAGGAGGCGAGGAGGGAGCCGCAACCCGTGGAGGCGGAGCAGCCGCTGGCCAAGCCGATCGACCAGCCGGAGGCGAAGATGAACCGACGGCCACGACACACCATCTCCACTGCGGAGCTGCGAGCGCTCCGAGCGCGATATCTGGAAGCGGAGACTCCACCCGGTGGATCGCCTCCTGCTCTGATTACTCCCAAGGCGAAGTCGCGGAGCCACCAGGCAGCGCTCCATCGGGAACTGGCCGCCGTGGCAGCCACAGCGCCGCGAAAGAAGCCCGTGTGGCAGACACAAGCTCAGGCGCAGGTCAAGTTCCAGGTGGAGGCGCAGGCGCAGGTCCAGGCGCTGCTCCAGACCCAGCTGCCCATTCTGGCCAAGTCCATGGCCGAGACCCCGCCACAGGAGTCGCCGCAGCAGGCCTCCAGGAGTCGATCCGTGCGGAAAGCCAACCAGGAAAAGAAGCCCAAGGAGAAGGCCAAGGCAGCGGAGGTGACCAGGACGTCGGGCAATCCCAACCAGCGAAGGGATAAATCGGGATCGACAGCCGAGAAGAGCAAGCAGGAGCTGCTGGAGTACAGGGAGCACCGGGAGAAGCTCGTCCAGCAGCAGCAGCAGCAGCGGGAGAAACTGTTGCAGCTGCAGCGGGAGCAGAAGGAGAAGCTGCTGCAGCGGGAGCAGAAGGAGCACAAGGACCGGAGGAGGCGGATGGCCGAGAACCACCGATTGATGGAGCTGGAGCGCATCCAGCTGGAGGAGATGGCCAACCAGAAGGCGACGGCCAAGGCCTTCAACCAGATTGCCAGGAAGGTGAAGAAGCTCACCGAGAAGAAGGACAAGGTGGAGGCGAAGGCGAAGGCCAAGGACAAAGACAAGGACAAGGCCAAGAAGAAGGGCAAGGAGCAGGAGGAGGAGGATCCCAACTCCGACTCGGATCTCTTCTACACCCCAAACAGCCTCGGACAGGGGGAGAACGCGTCCGGCACGAACATATGCTATCGCTCCAAGATCAGCTACCTGGAGGCGGAGATGGACAAGTGCAAGCGCCAGCTGGTGAACTTTGTCCAGGACAACCGGGAGCTGCTCACCCATCGCAAGTTGCGCTACCACTTCGAGAAGCTGCAGAACGAGAAGAAGAAGGAGGAGGAGGAGCAGAACCAGAGCCAGAACAACCACGAGCAGGATGGCAAGCCCCTGCCGGAGGGCAGTGGTGATCCGGGATCGCTGACCTACGACTGCTTTCGCCGGGAGCAGCGGCGGCAGAAGAGTCTGCAGCTCCAGGAGTTCCTCTCCCGCGACGACAAGCACGACTACGAGTTCCCGGAGCTCTTCGGATCGAAGACGTATCACGCCTTCGCGCCGGTGCCCAGTGGCTCCTCGCTCTCCTCCCCCGAGGAGGCCAGCGTGAGTCCGGATTCCGAATCGGAACACTCCCAGGAGCAGGACTATTCGCATCAGTATGCCAAGTACTTCCCATCGCTGGGACAGGAGGAGCCGCTCCGACTTCAGGAGCGGTTGCAGGAGCGCCTGGAGGAGCACCGGCGGCGCCACGAGGAGCTGCAGGCCCAGATGAGAGCCTGCAAGAAGCAGCACGAATCGCTGGGCCTCCACCACAAGGTGCACCACCATCACCACAATCCGGGCGCCAGTGGTCCGCGCTACGATCACATGCGACTGCGGCATGAGGACATCCAGGAGGCCAACTTCTTCTAGGCACTCCCTTGTTCCTTGTTCCAGTCTTCACCCAATATATTCGAGTGTGGATTAGCCAATTTCTGGTTTAAGTTCGGGTTGCCTTTTCTTCTTGGGGATTGTTACCTGTTTATTGGTAATTTGTAAATGCTCTCATAAATAGAACTGAGTTTCGTGATTTTAGACAAACAGATATATGTATTACTTATTGTTGAAAAAGACTCTTAAAAAAAAAAAGTAATAATTTTTAGGGATTTCATTTGTTAAAAAAACGTTCAAAAATCAAATTATTAGGGATTAATTGAGAAATCTTTTAGAATAATCTCTTTTAATCCTTCTCAGTTTCTTTATACCATACAGATACAAGCATTTTCAAGATTTTCCCCCAATACCTATGGAAATATAGTAGATAGTCGATTGATTTAGCAAGACTTTGATTGATTTATTGTTTAGCTTAGGATAGACGCACAATTAGACTTGTACACACATCAAGCGCAACCAATATTACTATGCTTTGATGTATATAACCAGCTTCTCCGTCGCTATAGCAAATTGAACACAATAAAGCTCTATATAGGATTTCCTGTATATAGATCAAAGACACGCGACTTTAAAACAGTTTCGAAATCATTCGTTCGTTAGTACAACATTGAATAGATTTTGATGTAAACAATGTGGGGATGGTGGGAACCGAAACGAATTGGGTTCCAAGTAGACCTCACTTGCGTCTGTCATAGATAGACTTTGTAGTTAGTTTAGTTAGATTCTAGAGTTACAGTTAGAGTTACGTACGTACAACATTAATATTATGAGAGCTGGAAGTGAAACAGGTCAGGTATTCCTAGCCATTTCCAAGTTCCGAGAATCTACATAAGAGCCTTTTTAAGCCCAAACCTAGATGCTAAGTGTATAATCGGAATTTTTATAAATACATGCACTTAACTATTACAAAGTTTAGTCAAATTTGCCTATCCGCCGATTGTTTGTGTATATATAAAAGAATTCAGTTTTGGTTACTCTTCGTTTTCGTAATAATCTGCTCCCCACTTCCTGGAGTTGGAAGACCCCAACGATTGTTTTGCATTTAGTTATTGATTGAAGCGGTTCGTTATTCACTGAATGTGGGATGCTATGGTTTCAGCTTCAGGTGCGCAAACAAATCACAGGCTATAATAAATAGCAAAAAAAGAATACAAAAATGTTACAAAAGTAAATGGTTTTTCTCATTGATAAATAATTTATAAAAGCTGGGAGATAGTTACGTTTATAAATTGAGTCTGACAGTGATTATACTGATCAACTTTAAAACTAATGTGATATCAATAGTTTAACTACCATTCAAGGACTATATACTTAATGCATGGCACTGAAATCAAATCCAGAATATTTGCTGTAACATCTTTTAGGATTGCAATCGCGATGTTGCAACTCGATGTTTAAACTCAAAATTAAAATGATTTGATCCTCAACGATTGGATGAAAACAATGCCAAGCTATTCTGCTTTCGGAACACATTCAAAGCTACATTCGTTGGCAATAAACCTATAATATAAATGCAGTTTAGTGTGATTTTTGGTAGCTTTTTTTGGAAGTTGTGCCATAGCAGATCCCGGGTAAAGATTCAGGCTTAGGTTTTCCGCTTCTGATCGAGCTGCTGCTGCGGCAGCTCCTCCTGCAGCTGAAGAATGTGCTCCAGCGGCTGCGGCCGCCCGTCCTTGTCGATCAGCGCCGGCTTGACGATGCCGCCCTGGTGCAGTTGCTCGATGAGATTGACCAGCTTCATGGCCTCGTACTCCTTCTGCTCCTCGCTCATTCCTTCCAGCGGATGCGGCTCCAAGTTCGGCTCCAAGCTACCGATTACCGGATTGATGCCCGGCTGCTGCTGCTTGTACTCCTCCGTGTCGCTGTCCTCGCTGTCGGAGGAGTAGTCGGTGCCCTCCACCCGCCGGCAGTCGAGTATGCCGCGCTTTGCGAACAGCCCGGCTGCATTTCCATAGCCCGTATACTTGATCATCCGTCCGACGTTCTCTTTGCACAGCACGAAGAGCAATTCGGCGGCCAGATCACGCAGGATCATGGCGGGCAGTGTGAGGAAGCGGCACAGGTGATTGCGCAGCTCGTCACCCACTTCAGGCCGCTGGCTCACGTCGCGCAGTGGCGGCAGAACCTCCTGGCGCAGATAGTGTCGCATCACCCGATCGCTGCGGGCGCACTTCACCAGCACTGTGAGAACGGGCGAGAGCAGTTCGTGCGAGGTGGCCTCCGTTTCCTTTTGTTGGAGCAACGATTGGCGCAGATAGCGAAGCACCACGTCCAGACTGCTAACGTTGCGCTTCTCGAAGCACAATGAGCAGCACTTGCGCGGCTTGGCACGAGCTCCGGCTTCCTTATCCTTCTCCTTCTCGTTGTCTTTATCCCGCTCCCGCTCTTTAAGGGACTCCACCTCGGCATTTGAGCAGCGCAGCGTGAGTTCGATCAGGCAGCTGTCCGAGATATTGGTCAGCAAATTGATGGCATGCGTGACCACGGCGCGCTTCTTTTCCGTGGCCATGTCGCCGAAGCGCAGGAGCAGCTCCCTTAGCACGCCCGTCAAGTGAAGGCTCTGGATCTCGTACTCGTTGGGACTCTTGTCCGGAGCACTGGTCACGTTGAACATCACCTTGAGCAGTTCGCAGATGATGTTTAGCTGCTCATCGTCGAACGTCTCCTCGCCCAACTTGTCATCCAGCCACTTGGTCATGTAGGTGAGCCCGTTCAGATCGATCTGGAGGCGGGAACGAGCCGCCGGCTCCAAAGCGGTGAGCAGAAAGAGCAGCTTCATGTCGTAGTACTCCAATGCACTTGGATGCCGCATCGAGGAGGCCACTCGCTTGAGGATTGCATCCAGGCAGTGCTGATGCAAACACTGCCGCCGGCAGTCGGAATTCTGGTAGACCAGGTTGCACAGGCACTTCAGCGCCTCAGCAATCACCTCCGATTGCGCCTGACTCGGTTCCAGTTGTGGTTCCTCGCACCGCTCCTGCTGCCTCAGCTCGTCCGGCGTGGCGGGCAGCTTAAGGGAACCAGCCTCGATCCGAGCCAGCCTCAGCAGGGTGTTGACCTCGTGCTCAATATAGTTCGTCTCCAAGCTGAACTCGTCGCGCGTGAGAATCCTCACCGCATTGAGGCATTGCGGATGCAGATGACTCAGCCGCTGGTCGTCCAGGATGCCGAAGATGGCCAGCCAGAGTTCGTGCCACTGGTTGTCAGTGCGGAAGCTATCAAAGGTCATCAAATCCGCGTACTGTCAGTGCAAAAAAAAAGAACAAAGGTGGCTTAGTCATACGGCATTCTGGTGAAGATAGGCAGCTCCCACCTTCGTGTTGAATTCGGTCAAGATGGCGGGGATCTGGTCCGCCTCCTTGGCCTCCAGTCGCTTCAGGTGCTCCGCTTCCATGTTGCCCGCAATGGCCTTTCGCAGCTGTCGCCAAAGATAACTTCTGAGGTCCTTTTGTTTAATTTAATTAATTTTTTTAATTTCCACTAGTGTGACCGCGTCTTGGCCGTTGGAATATACCGTGCCGCACTGCCAAACTGCCCAAGTATCGATATTTAACTATCGAAATAATGGTTAAATACGATAAGGTTTTCAAATATTTCAAACTAAAAATAACGAACATACTGTTCAATCAAAATAAACTCCTAAATAAATACAGTAAGTTGGTTTCCCATAAAGTAATAACTTGCAATTGAAAAATTGTTATTACTGTAAAACATATGTATATTATCAAGTTCCCATTACAATTTAAAATTTGAAAAGTTTCGTTGGCCGAATTTTGCAACTGCACAAAAGTTAACCATTTTATTTTATTTTTTTATTACAAAAAATACATATCCAGTGTATACATTTATGCAGTGTATGTTTTGTGTAAAAATATATATATGTGTAAATATAAAATAATACGTAATATTTGGATTCATTTTTTTTTTTTTTTTTTTTTTTTTATCTTCGTATGTTTTCTTGTGTTTTTTTCGTAGCTTGGCTTAAATGTTTATAGTTTGTTTTGTTTGTTGTCTTGTCTGTCTTGCATTTACATGTTATAGTAGTCGACAAACTCGACAGATCTGGGACGCCTATTATAGCAGATTGGATCCAATCTCACTGGCTTCCACTTCTTCTTTTTCTTTATTTTTTAAATGCAATCGAAAGGAAAAAGGGGAAAAGAAAGAAATAAAAACATAATAAACAATTAGAAATAAATGCTCGCTGAACGCACACACACATCTAGTATTTACTGGCTAATATCGGTACAAAATGAATGCAGAAGTTGAAATTTAATCATTCCATGGAATACGTAATTTACTAACTAAAACTAAGCATATGCAGCTGTCTTTTTTGATTGTTTTCGTTTAATTTTGAAATGGTCTCGCACACTTCACATGCAAAAATGAGCAATTCTTTTTTTGGGGGAGGATATAATTTTGGCTTGGCGCAGTCTTATCTAGGATATACATATGTATACACGATACATGGGATATAGAGAGTATCGATGGAATGTGGGCCCGTCACCGGTGCGATCGAGATGTCATGCAGTGTGTGAAGCGTACGACACCATATAAAGTGAGTGGGATGAAAAATGGTTACAATCTATAAGGATCGTATGGAATACGTTGGTTAATTACAGCTAAGGATCGTTTTTAGCTTGGAAGCCTCGCAGCATGCACTTCTTAAAATCTATGAGATTTCACTGGGTCTTTGTTATTTTCGTCTTTTTTCGTTTACTTATTAGATTTAGATAGGATAACAGCCGGGAAAAGTGGGGTTTACAGGAATACTGGGTGTGTGGAATGTTCGGTGAATTTTGGGTGTATGCCATACCAAGGGAACTATGTATGTCAGAACACAGACGAGGGCGAGGCGAGGCGAGGGTGAGCTGCATTTTCAAACTGGCCGGGTTAAGGAACACGAGCAACAACCACGAGCAGCTCACAGCAACAGTAACAACAACTACTATAGAATTGGGTGCAGTGTACTTTCGCTAAGTGCATCGCTTTCAGACTAAAATGCAGATAAATCTAAACATTATTTTCGTTGTGTTTTTCTCACTAAAAATACGGCAATAAAATGTTGTATAGTTTAAAATCATATTTTTAAATTTCTTGCAATGATTTTTTCCTGGCCATTGCATATAAAAATAATAATATGTATTTATAATAACATGCACAAAATAAAGTTCCTGCTTAGTGGAAATGTCTTTCATTCTAAACGTATCTTTGTTTTCATTCTCTAAAATAAAGTTAGATTTTATGAAATTTTTATGAAAATTAATTGTGCCATTTAAATTTAGAGTTCTATACAATTGTTAAAGGTTTAAAATTAGCTAACCAACTATCTTTCTGAATAACTGTGTTCAACTGCAGTCTAAAAACAAAGTTTGGCCTTGCAATAAATGCATTGGATTCTAAAATACCCCTAGCGATGCACTCAGCGTGCCTACACTGCAACCGAAAGTGGAGTGGGTTTAGACTAAACTGTAGCACTGGGCGGCGGCTGTTGGGCCGCGGGCGGTATGACATTCGGAATGGCCACCACACAGGCACCGGCCCTCGCAAAGGCCATTGGCGCCAGCTCGTTCCATCCATTGCGCACCGGATCGTACTCCTCGACGCTCTTCAGCGCATGATTGCCATCGTAGCCGCCGACGACGATCAGTCGATCGCCCAACAGGGCACATCCAATCGCATCCCGGCCCAAAGCCAGCGAACAGATCTGTAAAATTACATTGGGGTTACACCTGAAAACTATCTAGGAAATCAAGAGTCAATCCCAGCTCACCAATGTCCAGGTATCAGTGGCTGGATCGTAGCGCTCGACTGTTTCCGTGCGGCAGACCATCGGATTGCTGGCTGGACAGTCGTGGCCACCCAGAGCGTAAAGGAAACCATTGGCCACCGTGACCTGGTAAAAAAGATAATGAATACGCAAGACCACTGTGAAGTTTCCACAACCAACACCAAGAGTACTTACACCCACTCCACCACGCCTTCTGTTCATGGGCGCCAGAAGACTCCATTTGTTGGTGTGCGGATCGTAGCACTCTATGGAACGATGGCAGACGGAACCATCGCGTCCGCCCACCGCATATAGACGTCCGCCCAGGACAGCCACGCCGGCAGTAGATCGCATCGAGGACATAGGTGCAACATAGCTCCAAGTCCGGGCAATGGGATCCCATCTGGAAGAAAGTAAGCATTTACGCATTTCTTCGTGATAACGAATCCTTTTCCCACCTCTCCACTGTGTTCAGGTAGCTCCAGCCGTCGTGACCACCGACCGCATACAGAGGTCCCTCCAGCACCGCCACGCCCAGACCATGGCGGGGCGTGGCCATGGCATTCAGCGGCGCCCAGGCCATCGTGTTCAGGTCCAAACTCTCCACAGTGTTGAGGGTCTTCAGGCCATCGCGTCCGCCCACCAGGATGAGCTTGTCCTCCATGACAGCGGCGCCGAATTGCAAACGACGACCGGTCATGTGCTTCCACGGTGTCCACTTGTCCAGGCGCGGGCAGTAGCTCTCGATGCTGATGGCCCCCTTGTGGGCATCCATTCCCCCAACAGCCAGCAGGCGGCCCACCGTGGATTTGCGAGGCGTGGTCCGCTCGGTGGCTATCCGGGACCGTCGCTCGGGCATCAGGTGCCATTTGAAGGCCTCCATCACCAGCTGCTGGCACTCGTTGGCGTTGCACACGTTCTCCACGTGATCCATGATGAAGGCGGGCTGAAGCAGGGGCAGACGCACCAGGGCCAACAGCTCCGGGATGTGCTGTTCGCGGGCCGTGGAATCGTGGCGCACCCACGACATCAGACTGTGGAAGACATCCTGCTCGGAGGGCACATTGAGATCATCGCTGCACAGCAGCTTGCCCAACTGATCGGCGTTTAGCTGGAAGAACTCCTGGTTCTGGCACACCTGCATGAAGTACTGGCAGGTGTACGCCTGCGCCAAACGCAGCAGCGTCGTGCAGCTCTGCTGCTCCGCAAAGAAGGCGAATCCGAGGCAGTTCGAGGGATGCAGCTGGCGGGCCAGGAAGTTGCAACACGCGGTGACAACGGCGTTCAGCTGCAGCAGACAGGCGGTGGCCAGCAGCGTCTCCACGGTGTCCTCGCGCATCTCGATGAAGCCGGTGTAGCAATACTGGACCAGCAGGTGCAGTGCGTCCCCATGCACCTCGCCGAGGGTCACCTCCTGCTCCTTGGTCTCGCGCAGCGATCCCGTGAACATGGCCGAGAAGTAGGCGCTCGACGCCGATAGCACCAGTCGGTGGGCGGGCACTCTATAGGATTCAAATAGAATTATTTTTATTATAATAATAATTTGTCTTTATATTTCTTGTAAATATGTTTTAGTAACATTTTCCCGTTTTGCTAAGCCAAGTTATTAATGTGCTTCTATTTTTATGACCGCAACTGTTAGTTGGTGGGTTCTTTTCCCTTTGTTTACCATGGCACAGATCGACAGGTTTTCACGATCCAAAACCGGTTGAGTGCAGCGAGCGGGTGAAGAAATCAAATAAAGCTGCAACTGCACTCGGATCGCAAATCGTTATATCTATATCTTTACATGCTGCAGTTTTTGTTGTCTCTCTGTCTTCGTCTTTGTCTTGAGACGGATATATTTCCCCTCTCTGTTGCGTTGCATTGCCATTGTTCGGAGAACAAAAACAAATTCCAAATGGGGAAGGCTCTTTTTCTCTTTCTCCCCCCAGCCGCTCTTCTAAGCTCCAGATCTCTTCTGCTCTCTTATTCTGCACTGTTGCAGCAAGGCTTACAGCAGCGCTTGCAAAAATAGAATGTCAGTTGATCAAAAAAGTCCATTATAATTACTGTAAGATCATTTCAAACTATTCCTACTTTTATAACGGAGAAATTTAATGATTGAAGTAAAAAAGAGTTCATTAAACTTTAAAATACCTCTATCCAATTTGACATTATTATAAATGTGATAAATAAATAAGCTCTCTTATCGTAGCTACGAAATTGCAAATTGCTCTGACATTAACCGTAATGTAGCTTTTTATACTTATATTAAAAATGAATGGATAAGTCGTTGCTTTGATACAGGTATTTTGATACCAGCTGTGTTAACATTATCTCAGAGGTTTCAGGACACATGAGTGCTATTATTTTAACCGCAGGTGCATTTCCTGGATCTGCGTAGTGCTGTTGCCGTGCCCACTAATGTGTCCCCGTGTGTGTGCGTGTGTTTGCTGTTGTTGTTGGAATTGCGTTGGGGACAGCGTAGCAAAGAGAGCAGACAAAGAACCCAAGTGAAGGTCAGCTGGGGGAGCGGGACTGGGTAGGTGGAGGACAGGGGACGGGGTAGAGGCAGGGAATCGCTAATGAAATTTCCATTTTAAAATGCCATATTCCATTCCTTTGTCTCCGTGAAATCGGTAAAAAAAAAAAGAAAGGGAATGGAAAGAGGACTTCCACTTCCACGATCCAAAGGAATTGAAGACGGCAGTTTCATGTTTGGTTTTATTGATAAAAAAACCATAAAAGTTTGAGATCTAATCAAGAATCGGACTGGTACGATCGCTTTCATCAATTTGGGATCAGGGGAATAAAGTTAAGGAAATCGTATATCGAGCGAAACTCACCGCTTTCCATCGATTCCAGCGATGAGAACCACATCGCACAGCTGCTGGCTGTCCACGTAGAGCTGCATCCGCTTGAGGATGTTGTCTGCATGGTCGCGGCACCGGAAGAACTCGTCCTGGCTGCCGGCCGAATTGAGGCTGCCCAAGCTGTAGTCCCGCGAAAGCGACTCCAATGTGTTATCCGCCAACATCGAGATGTGTCCGGATGTGGACGCCGTGGAATCCCGACTGGGGCTTTCCTTTTGGTTGACCGCCGACATGGTTGTGAGCTCCTTTCCAGTCCCAGCGATTTGTTGATCTTTTCCTCAGCGAGACGTCTGCATCGGAGCACTGGCTGGAAACTAATGGCTGGTGGATCCACGATCGATCAGTGGCCCAATGGAATGGTTCGCGGAGGGGAGGGAAAGGGGGCCCCCAACGGTAATTTGCAACAAAGAACGCTGCAAGTTCGCTTGCGTGCGTGTGTTTTACTTGGTGTCGCCTCCGCTCTCGCGCTCTCCGCTCTTTGAAATAATTTCAATTGGCCGGGAATTGCGTGCTGGATCTGTAACTGTAAATCGCTTATCAAGCTGCCTGCTCGGATGATTGTGTGTGTTTAGTTTATGTGTTTATATACAAATTACACAGCTGTTGTGCTTAACTCTGGGCACACTGCTCTAGTTTATTTATTTTGACTCAGTGCAGTGTGCCCGTGACACAGCTCTCAAAAATATGCTTAAACATAATTTATTCTTCCTATCAGTATTTAATTTTGAATAATTTTAGGGGGATTTCCCGTTTCTATAAAAAAAATCAATGTTTTTATTGATTTTATCAATACAAATCACCCGTCGAATATAAAGTTTCTTAGATTTAATGTTTGAAGAAAATCCTCTAAATAAAAATAATAGATGATATTCCCAAATCAATTTCCAAATACTTTTATTTCGCAGAACGACATTTTACTCAACCAAATGAAAATAAGCTTCTACAGTACATGGTATGACTTCGATTTCTTTATTTTCGTTTTAATAATAATAATAGTTCAGTTGTTTTGCCTTGCGAACAAAGAGCCAATGGGAATACAGGGATATGGGAGGGAAAAGAAGATGGGGCTGGGATGCAGCAGCATCTAGTTGGGCGACGTATTTCGCTTTGGCGTCGACGGCGGCAGATCCATTGTTTTGCACACCCAGCCGGATATATCCACCTCCTCCACTTCCGCCTTGCGTATCCACGGGTGATTCTGCCAAAGAACAGAAAAGCAATGCTCAATATATATGCACATTTGCAGAAATTGCGACGTTCTGAAAGACTTACCAGCAGGGTCCTGAGATCGGCCCGTTCGTCGGGCTGTTTCTTCAAGCAGATGTCCACAAAGTCCTTGAACTCGGTCGAGAAGATCTTGTGCTCCAACTTCGGCGGCGGTTCGTTAACAATATAATCCAGCAGCTCGAAGATGGCCATTGCCCTTGGCTCGTCTGCCGGCTGGCCGCCCTCATCCGCGTTATCCGCGAATATTGACTCCAGGGTAGCGCTGTTTGGCGGCGGGATGGGGTACATGCCGATGGCCATCTCCACCAGCGACAGGCCCAGCGACCAGATGTCTGACTGCACCGAGTAATGGGTGCCCTGCAGTCGCTCCGGCTGCGAAAACAAAGGAGACATTAGCCGGTGATACAAATAGTTTATGGCTTGCAAGATGTGCACCAATATTCTTTGTTTACAAATCTTGGTGCATTGCTTCCATTTAAAACTATAGTGTTTCTGACCCCACCACTTAAAATTCCTCTGGAACTCAAGCCAGCGAAGTATTTACTGGTTAAGTAGAAGGCCCACGCTTTCTTCTGCTTTTAATTTAGCTTTTCAAACTGAAACGTAATTACCTATCTTTCTTATACTAGATAGATAGATAGAGTATCAGGTGTCCCAGGTAACTTACCGACATATAGCTGCGGGTGCCCACAAAGGAGTTGGCCATCGAGTCGATCAGTTGACCGGATACGCCGAAATCACAGATCTTGATCTCGCCGCTGCTGTTGACGAGTATATTGCTCGGCTTCACGTCCCTGTGGATGATGTTGTGCTTGTCGCGCAAGTAGCTGAGCCCCTTCAGGACCGCCAGCGTTATCCGGCCGAGTATGGACTCCGGTATTCGACCGGCCCGCTTGAGGATCAGATCCAGCGATCCCCCGTCCATGTACTCCATGCAGATGCTGATCTCGCCGTCGCTGTAGAAGGCTCCATAGAAGCCAACGATGTGCGGGAAGTTGCATTCGTGCAGGACTTTCAGTTCGCGCAGGATCTGTTTCTTGATCGCCGGCTTCACCTCCAGATGGATCAGTTTTCTGGCCATAATCAGGTGTGTGTGCGTGTGGCGGACCTTCATCACGACCCCGCCGTTGCCCGATCCCAGTTCGCCCAGCTTCTCCAGATCCTCGTCGGATAGCTCGCCAATTTTCTCCTTCTGGCTGAGAAACACCTTGATCCGCTTGCGTTCCGTGTCGTCCATGTCCAGACCCTCCAGCGTCTCCGTCAGCGCATCGATGCTCGTCTTCGGCTTCCCCAGCAAACTGTGTGTGCTTTAATTTAACCTCTTAATGAATTTTTGCGAACCAAAACGAAAATGTAAAATGTGCAGGCAGTGGAAAGGGAATGAAGAGTGAGAGCTGGGATAAAGCGTTAGGTTAACTGTCTCTAATGATACAATTAATTGATCTATAGTCTTGAATCACCAATTGGCAAACCTTTGGAAACCTGGAGAAATCATACATGAACTGGGAAGCCGTTTTTAAATTGAATAAGATTTGACAGAACTATTAGTGGAGTTTTGGGTAATTATTATTTAATGATTCCTCTGTAATTTAAAAAACCTAACATGATAAAATCGATGTCACGTCTACTAGTTACTTCCTCTGAATTTTTCTTGCTGTGCCTATTCTTGTGCCCGCCACTATCTGAAGTGTGTAGGTGTTTGTGCGTCACATTAAAGGAGCAACACCGGGGCCACAAAATAAGAGATTTCTCTCTTTCTCTCTCGCTTTCTTTTTCTTTCCCTTCCAAGGATATGGGTTTCTCGAATCAATCAATTTGCAGATATTAAATTACCACCTAACGCAAAAGAAGAACTTAACTTAAAGATACAATATGAAAACGAATAAGATGGAATGGGAGATGGAAAAGTAGGTGGGGCTAGGTGGGATTGCCAAAAAAAAAAAGACACTATCTAATAAAGGAGTCAAGTGTATCATATTTACTCTGTGCCCGAGGGGGTTTTAAACGGTGGCGTCGGCGCCACAGCGGCGGCGGCAACAGTTGCGTCCGTATTCACCGGCGGCAGCACCAAATTCAGCTTGTTCTTCGACATCACTGCTTAATTTATCGTTTGCTTTTTTAGTTACCGATAAATTATAGATTACAACAATAACAAAAACTATATATATATTAATATTTATATATATATATGAACAAAAAATAAGAGAGCAGTCCAGTGTTAAATTGGAACAACAACAAAATGCACGACAACCAACGGCGTCGGAGGAGGGGATAAGGGGCGAGGGACGTTGGCACGGGGAAGGGGGTGAGGAGAGGCCAAGTGCAAAAGTTCCGTTTTGTCTTCCTGCCACTTGTAAATTTTGCACTGCTTGTGTTTTTGTCTTTATGCACACACGAAAACGCTTGTAAATCGATCAAATCAGTAATGAACTTTAAGTTTATATTCTTTTTGAAGTTATTGCAGGCGGCTGCAAAAAAATTCGCCGACTTTTTGGCTTTCTCGTTTTTTTTTTCTTTTTCGCCGATACTGTGGTGTGGCCAGGTAATGCTCTGATTATGACGTTGAAAATAGTTCACTCCCAGTTTACTCCGAAATAAATGTTGACCAATTTATTAATAGTTATAAGCTGTTCCAAGTTAGTATGCGATTTTATTATATTTTTTAAAACAAATTGGTTCAGGCAAGTGAAATTTGTTGATAGGATGGTATTTGTCTCAACCAACAATGGTCACACTGCCACCCACATCTACGACTCGTCGATAGAAAAAAGAAAACAATAACATTTCCGGCGTTTTATCCGCGTTATCTGGCTAAAATGAGGATTCAAAGACAATGCATCGTGGTTAACATGCGATCAGCCATCGTCCTAATTATGATCTTCGTGCTGACGGGCATCAGAAACAGCGAGACAGCCAGCGGGGGTAACCAAATGGATTTGTCGGACACAAAAGGCGATCACAAGGACAACAGCAATGCGAGCAATGGCAATGGAAACGCTAACGAAAACGAGGTTTATGTGCCTCCTTTGGTCTCCAGCACAGTGGCCAAAAATGGTGGCTCAGGTGGTGGAGGAGGAACAAGCGGCCTCTTGGACAACATCACCGCCTACAGCAGCAGTAGCAGCAATGGCAACAACAACAATATGCTCTGTCCCTATGATAAGGACACGCCCTGCGATCGCCTGCAGTTCCCCTGCATACGGTGTAACTATAACTACGGGTGTTTGTATGGCCGAGACATAAATGTGACCTGCGAGATTATCGGCAACGTTCAGTGCCAAGGTGAACGGAGTTTCCAGCGACAAATGAGCTGTCGCTATTGCTACCAAACGGAAATGTGGCAACAAAGCTGCGGTCAGCGATCCAGTTGCAACTCGGCAACGGATAAACTATTCCGCACCAACTGTACCGTACACCACGATGTGCTCTGCCTGGGCAATCGATCCTTCACCCGCAACCTGCGCTGCAATTGGACCCAGGGCTATCGCTGGAGCACCGCCCTGCTTATTAGCCTCACGTTAGGCGGTTTCGGAGCCGATCGTTTCTACTTGGGCCACTGGCAGGAGGGAATCGGAAAGCTCTTCAGTTTTGGCGGTCTCGGCGTCTGGACCATCATAGATGTTCTGCTCATCTCAATGCATTATCTGGGGCCGGCGGACGGCTCGCTTTACATCTAGTTTAATACAAAAGGGGTTGGGGTTTGCAATTTAAAAAGACTTTAGGCCAAAAAAATATTTTGTAAGATAAAAGTTTCCATTGCCGTGTAAATATTTATATTCGCTTATATTTAATCGTTTGATACTCTAAAAACAAAAGATTTTTTTCCATTGGCGGGAAAGCATGGCATGTAAATAAATATGTATTTAGATAATGAATCCTATTAACTGTACTATATTAATCAGATGGAATGGCGCATTCTGTTGTTAGCAATTTAAATAGCTTTTTTAATGTCTTTGATCACATAAATAAAATAAATCAAATTAAAAAATGTTAAAAAAGGATACAATTTTAGAATAATCCTGACAAAATTAAAGATCAGATGATTTATAGCCATCTCTTTAATTTTCCTGCACAATTACACCGATCGGGGAAATAGATTAACAGTTTTTTTTTTTTTAACCGCAGAGTTTTTTTTAGGTTTCTGTGCATTCCCCTTTTAAAATTAAACTTGTTCATTGTGAAGTATTTTTATTACTAAATGTACTACTGCTTCTGTATTATGCTAGTTTTTACCAGCATACATAACATATTTGTTTTTCAAATTAAAAACAAAAAACATTTTTAAAAACCATAGGTTCATTTTAAGCAAATAGGTTCAGTCTCAGCCGACAGCTATCTCAGTCCATGGAAGCCGCCTGTACTTCATCATCACCATCATCGAACTTGATGTGCTTTGCCAGAAGTTTGGAGACCTTCTCACGACCGCGCTTCTGCTGCACGCGCACCTTTTTCGAGAGCTTCGCCTCGCGATCCTGCTCGATTTTGCGCCAGTAGAGCACTTCCTGCTGGCCGGATAACACCTTCAGCTGCCTCTCGGCACAGTTGACCTGCCGCACCAGTTCCTCAGCAGCGGCTGGAGTAGCTAAGCGCAGTTGAGCGACCTGATCACCCTCCTTAATGTCCACATACTTTATATCCGAATACTGGCGCATGTCAGCTTTAAACTCTTTGACATTGGTGCAAGGTTCGAGGAGAGCGCACTCGACAATCAGTCCGGGCTCGTACTTGAATAGGGGCGTCCGCTCCTGCGAGGGCTCCTCGGATTTCGTGGATTCCACACCGCCAGCGCCGTAGAAATTCATGTTCATCTTATGCACCGCTTTGCGCCGCTTGGCCGGCACAGGCACGGCATCTCCTGCTGCCTCGCCCCCATCGCTGAGGACTTCGGCTCCGGTTTCATCCTCCTTGGCGGCCTCTGGAAGCTGCGAAGGTTTTGGATGGTTTTGATGATGGCCATGCTGCTGATGATGATGATGGTGCTGCTGGTTTTGCGGGTGACTCTCCCGCCACAGCTTGCTTTTGGCCTCGCTGACCAGACGACGCTGTAGATTCAAGTACTTGTTGCGCAAACTGCTCCAACTCGTCTTGGGCAGCACTTTAAGCTCCAGAGCACTGGGCTCGATGTTCGGCTTGTCTACTATCGGCTTTTTCTTGCGCTTGCGACGACGCTTCTTGGCAGCAGCGTCGCCCTCGGTTGGCTCTTTATTTTCTTCCTGCTCGGAAGCTTCGGCTGTGACCTCCGCATCCGTTTCGCTGGACGTCTCCTCTGCTGTAGACGTCTCGCTGGGTTTGTCTTCTTCCAGCTTTACTCGTTTTACCTCGTTTCCATCATCGCGATCCTTGTCGGTAGCCTCCCTCTTGGGATTTCGCTTGGGCTGCTCAACCGGATCGTTCTCCACCTGCGGCTGTTCGGCTTTTTGTTGCAGCTGCTGCTGTTGCTGGAAGGAACGCACGCTGGCCAACTCGCCAGGATCTGTTTCCATCGATAAAACGCCCTGAATCTGGGCAAATGCCTTTACAGCCTTCTCCACGGAGCCGCTCTTCTCAAATTCGATAAAGGCGAACTCCTTGATTTTCTTCGATCCAGGATAATGAGGCAGTGAGACATAGGCCACAGGTCCATACCGACTGAACACCTCCTTAAGCCAATCGTGGCTGGCATTTGCGGGCAGAGCCTCCACATACAGCGTTTTATCGTTAACATCGCGCTGCTCCGGAAGCTGTGTCTTTCGCTTGACTTTAAGCTTGGTCTCATCCAGTTCTAGGAGTTGTGAGTTGCTCAGCGCTTTAGCTATCTGCTGCACATCCTGAGTGAGTGTCTTGATCTTGTTGAAAGTAAGAAAAATATCTAGTGGAACGTCTAAAAGAGTGATTCGTATTGTTAATGTTAAATTTGCGAAGGATGCAAGCAAGTAACTTACATGGATCCTGCTCAACATAGCGCCGCAGAAAGCGATCCTTGCTTAAGTTGGCGTCTCCGAAGTAGAACTCCATTTGGCCGCGAATGGAATTAAACAAATGCCGCTTTCTTTTACGACCTCCATCCTTTTTAGCCGGTGTTGTAGTTTCCTCTGCCGGTTCCTTGGTCTTTGACTCGGCGGGATCAGTGGATGCGACGGGATCTGGTTTTTCCACCGGGGTGGCAGGCTCCTGGCCATCGACCTTTTCCTTTTCTGTGCTTTTGGCAGCCATTTAAAGCCGGTAAGCCTTTAATTTTCGGAAACAACCAATTGGTTTTGTATTTTCTGCCAGCTGGCAACGCTACTTAGCTGTAAATTGTAGAGCTGTCAGGTATTTGCAACATCGATAATTTAAAATGCCTAAAGTATCGGAATATTTGCAATACTGCGGTATAAAATTTTTATTATATTATATTATTAAATTATATTATATTATTAAATTGATAGTATGTAGGAAAATTACATAATACAACAAAAAATTTACCTTTCGTAATAGAAATCACCTACTAGTTTTATACGTTATAGAAAGAAGTCTCTACCTGAGAGTGTAAATTTTCGAACAGTAAATAATAATGAAACATTTAATATAGATTTATGGTTTCGTTCTACTTAATTAATGCTTATTCTAGTTTCTATATTAATTTCCAGTTACATGTAATAACGCTCGATATTCACCCAAGCTGAAACAACGGTAAAATATCGATATTCAGGCGCTGCGGCAACCCTGTTGCGTTGTTTTGGCGGGCGGCAAAAAAAAAACACAGATGCTATGTTAACCTATGTGTGTTGTACAGTGCGCCGCTACAATCGGCAACAACAAAACGAAAATAGTCGGCAAATAGGCATAGGAATGTGTTTGTTTCCTAGCAAAATAACCCACAACTCCGATACTGACTAACTAGTGAGTGCTACACCCTGTGGCTTTGCGAAATCAGCTATTGAAATCGCGTCCATCGAAAAAAAGGAAAGGCGAAAAACGAGGAAGAGCGTCGTTTGTGTTCAATTTGCAGAGTTTTTGGTGATGCTTCGCTGACCTAGGAAGTCCTGCCATGGAGTCAATTGTCCTTCATTCCGATGTAGCTCGTTTGGTTCTAGGTAAGTTGTTGGTTTTCCCTGCCCTGCCGCTATATTCATGATTATTTTTCTCGCCAATTATATTGGTATAGGCTACTTGGTTAACCAGAATCTGGAAAAGGCCGCACACACTTTGTGTCGCACATCGCCGCACCTGCGCCACGAGTTCCTGGCCCTCAAGCAGGGCTTACAGACGCACAACTTCCTCAACGGCGGCCTAGAGGATATCATATGCGAGCACGTCAAGATCACAGGCTTGGGTAAGATCTACATCACTTTCTGCAGTTAAGTTGTCCTGACAAAAGCCCCTTCTTTTCAGTGGCCGGCGCTGTACAAAAGTTGCCGCTAGAAGCGCGTCAGCAGTTGCAGCAGCTAAAGTTGTCCGAACGGGTCAACGAACTGATAGCCAACGCTGACAGGAGCAGTTGCATCAATGAAAACAGCACTCCGAAAGAACCCAGGACCTCGCAGTCGCATCGCAAGAGGAGGCGCTTGTAATTATGGAATTCTCACATAACCGAAAACCTCTCTCACGTTTACCTTTTCCATTCCGCAGACGCACCCAATCCCCAGTGAACAGCCTCTCCTCACCCTCGTTTAGCAAGCGTCCGCGTCTGTTGCCGCCGCACTTCTACTGCAGCGTTAACCGCGAGAAGCTGAAGCTCAGTTTCCTAGCCGGTCAAGAGGATGACGATGCGAATCGAGAAGTGGAGGACGAGGAGGAGAGCACAACGGGCTCCGAAGATTTGGAAGAGGAGGAGCTGCTTCCGGAGAGTGGTCCTGGTCCGCGGAACAATTCCACTCCGCGCCAGGGACACGGAGAGGAGAATCCTCTTGTCCTAACGCCGCAAAGCATGCCTGTAAGTGTGATAATCTGTTTACTTGCTTCGTAGTTACTTAGATATTTGTTTTTTGTTTTTTTAGGAACTAGCTAGTGCGATAATTAAGAACCAGGACTTCCAGGCCACGCTGGTGAAGAACATAAACGTGGCGCTGCAGACGGTGACTGTGACCAATCCGACAGTTAGCTGTGACGACATGTTGGACGGTCTGGTCAAGAACATATTGGAGGCTACCGAGAAGGATCCCTCGTTCGATCGCATCATCCAGGAGGTGGTGATCGGGGATGACGTGCCGCTGAATGAGAACCTAGCCGGCTCGTCTGCTGCCACTGCAGCACCTCATGCTCCTGCTGTAACTTCTGCTCCCGCCATTCCCGCTGCCGTTGAGCAAATGCCTCCGGCAGAACTGTCCGTGCCCGCGGATCCCGTGCCACCGCAAACGCCGCTCATCATTCGCACTGCCGTAGCAGCCACCACAGGCACCAACGCGGACCCCAACTTCTCCATATCCAAGCTTATTGTACTGAACTCCAATGAAAGTGTCCAGAAAATGGTGGCCGGCATGGATACCTCGAATGTGAGCTTCACCAGCGACGGCTTGAATCTGAACTTTGCCGATCCGGCATCAATGCTCAGCGATGTAGAATCGGCGGCTGCCGGTCAGGTGTGTGTGGACGCCACCACCGGGCAGCTGACCTTTCCGATGTACCTCTCCAACGGCGGCCTGCTCTCGCACCTTCCATTCCTGGTGAACAACGAGTGGGTGGCCCAGCAACTCGGGCCGGATGCCTTCGCCAATGTGGATGACTCCCACATAGAGATCTCGCTGCCCGAGCCGATAATGCTGTCCGCCAACCAGCTGCCCCCCAATTCCATCATCATCAACAGTGCCCAGAAGCAGCCACCACCGCCGAGCGCAGAGCCTCCTGTTCAATTAGTAAAAGAGCTGACCAAATCGAAGGAGAACGCAAGCAAAGCGATTGGAGCAGCAGCAGCACCACCACAAAAGGAGCAATTGGAGGAGCATCTGCAGGAGGAGGAGCTGCGGAAGATGCCACCCGCCTCCCTGGACTCTTCGCGGCAGGTTTTCGAGCGGGTGACGCCCTCCACGGCAGGAATCGTCAATGTAAAGGCCTTCCGTAGCTTGTCCACTCCCCGAAAGAGAACCTCGCATGTACGAACTTTAACTTTCTCGCCCAAGGTTCCTGCGGCTGCCGTCCTGCATCCCAATACGCCACTGTCCACGAGGCGGCCTGGTTTGCTGGCCAGGAGCAAGGAGAAGCCGATCATCAACCATGTGGAGATCATCCAGGCGGCTTGCGATTTGAGCTCTAACGAGGGACTTGGCGGTGTGCCGCCACTGTTCGCCATGGAGGAGTGCAGCAACCAGACGGTTATCAAGGCCAACCCTCCGGCTGCCGCTCCTCCGCCAGCGGATGCGGCTCCGGTTCCTCCACTGGTTTCCACACCGAAGAGGAAACAGAAGCGGCAGGCGGCGGTCAAGGCCTGCAAGCGGATCATCTCGCAGGCGGAGTCGGAATCGAAGGCGGAACAGGATCAGGAGGGCAGCGTGCCCAAGAACACCTCCGCCTGCAGCGCATCCTCCTCCGCCCACGATGACAGCGCAGAGGCCAGCAAAGAGAACCTGCAGGAGGAGCAACCGATCAATAAGAAGGCGGAAAGGGGCACCTCCGCCACCAGGGAAACAGCTGCCGATGCCGACATGGCCGCCTGGCAGCGCCAGTTGCAAGGCTCCAATTCGGATCTGGAGAATCGTCTGCGCGAGATCAACTCCAAGCGCGAGGAGGTGAAGACCAGCGGCCGTGCGAGGCGTCCCAAGAAGAAGGAGACTCCCACTTCCAGAGCCCGAAAAGCCGCGGCGGCCAAGCCGAAAATGGAGCCCAAGAACCAGGTCAAGAAACCACTGCGCACTGGCGGTGAATCCGCGGAGAAGATTAACATTAAGATCGTCACGCCGCAGAAACCCAAGGCTCTGAAAAAGAAGAAGATACTTGACACCAAAGAGGATATCGTAGAGGAGCCTCAAGTGGAGGTGAAGGAAGGAGTAGTGGATAAGGTTGAGGATAAGAAAACTGAAGGGAAAACTGATACGAAAGAGGAGGAGGCTGGGGAGAACGGAAAGGAGCCTGAGAAGACTGGAGCGAAGGATCAGGAGCAGTTCAAGGCCCTGGCAGCTGAAATGGCGCCGGCCAACATGGCCATGCTGCTGGACACGCCCTTCAAGGCCTCGCCCATCGGAGCAGGAGCAAGTGGTGCACTTGGGGTGGCCACCGCATCGGAGCAAGCGGGCGGCACTGGAGCCGCCGCCATTCCACCGACTCCAGGAATGGCTATACCACCGATGGACACACCGTATGGCAAGCTGCCCAGCAGCAGCTTCCTCTTCGGTTCGGACACCAAGAGTATTATGGACACGCCCCAGCTGAGCGCCATTACGCCCGGCTTTCGCTTGACACCATTTGGCCAGCGACCTGGAACGCCGGTTGGCAGTGCTGCCAAGACTGAATACTCCTCAAGCAGCTCCTACTATCGTCCGGACGAAGCGGAGCACACGGATGCCAATGCGCAGTGCGCAATCCAGCAGTGGGAGGAGCTCCAGGAGAAGAAGCAGCCGAAGGCTCAGATTAATGTCGAGGAAAATATCATCGAGGTGCTGGAGGAGTTGGAAAGACTGGAGAAAGGGGAGGAGGAGGAGGAGGAGCATCCTGAAGACAATAAGGCGACACCTAAGAGATCGAAGGGGCAGAAAGAAGGGGATGATGGGCATTCTGAGGACAATAAAGAGACACCAAGGAGACCCGAAAAAACCATCGAAATTCAGTCGTCAGAGGAGGAAACAGAGAAGATCGCAGAGAGAACACCACAGACGGTGAAGCAAGCTGTCGTTCTGTCCTTGGAGCCCACTGTCCTGCGACGCGTGCGCTCCTTCGGCAGCGAGGCGGTGGACAGCGCGGAGTCCGCTGCAGCCGGATCCCATCCGTCGGATCAGCAACATCAGCAACTGCCGCACTACAAACTGCTGCCCGGTCTGCCGGAGGCCATCATCGAGGATTCGAGTAGTTCCAGCTCCTCGGCGACCTCGTCCTCATCCTCGTCCAGTTCGAGTTCCCGTTCCTCCAGTAGCTCATCCTCCAGTTCCTCATCCACGACGAGCTCGCACAGCGGCGATGGGGAAAGCGATCGCGAGGAGGCCAACGATGGCGAGGAGGAGGAGGAGGAGCGGGAGGGGGCCAAAAAGGCCGACCACTTGCTGCTCAACATAGACAACCTATCGAACATCAGCAGCACGGAGGACGAGGAGTGGCTGAAGACGGCCGCCGGTTCGCAGGACGCAGTGCTGCCCATGCTGGCCATTGACAGTCAGCCGGGTCAGCTGGTCAGCCAGGATGGCGAGGTGCGCTATCCCATCAGGAACTGGCTGACGCCGAGCAAGGAGCAGCAGGCCCAGGAGGCGGACACCAGTGGGGAGTCGCGAGCGTATCCCCCACTTCCTGCTCCGATGGCCAATCGATTGAGTGCTGAATATCTGCCAGCTGCTCCTCCACTTCCCGCCAATCCACCAGCTGCTCCGCCACCACCTCCGCCAGTTGATCTTCCACCGCCTCCGCCGCCAGTTGATCTTCCACCGCCACCTCCACCGGAAGACCTACCTACTTCGAATTCCATTCACCTCCAGGAGCAGCAGCAACGACAGCAGCTGGACGAGAAGCGCCAGCGCGTGATGGCCAAGTTCAAGGAGCAATCCCAGCCAGCCAGGGCGCAAAACAAGAAGACTGCAACCAAGAAGCTCACGGCCATGCGGGAGACGGCCAAGATGGCCAATCCCAGCAGCCAAAAGTCGCCCAAGAAGCGAGAGCACGTAGAGCCAATAAAAACCAAGGCGGCCAAAAAGGCAATCGAAGAAGTTGCGCCCACCAAAGATCCTGATCCTGATCCACCAAATGCGCCAACAGATCCACCGCCCAGCAAACTGGATCCCGCCCTGCTGAGTGCCCTCCATCTTTCGGCCATCAAGCAGGAACCATCGACGACGGCGGCGGCGGCGGTTAAACCCAAAGTGAACCGTACAGCGGTTGAGATTGCGGCACAACCTGCGCCGGGAAAACGTGGACGTCCCAAAAAGGTTGTCAACGGGGAGCCAGCCAAGATCTCCATGCGTCGTTCATCTCGCTTGATCGACAATAAAAGTAAGTACTCCAAATCCCAGAGATTTGGTTTTATAAACTAAAGTTCTACTTAATATTAGCTCCTGCTCCGGAGGAGCCCTCCAAAGTCGGTGGTGGCGACACGGCGAAATCGAATGCTAAAGCGAACACCAAGAAGCCGGTGAAGAAACGTACCGAAGCCAGGATGCCCACCTCCGCATTGCCCATGGTGGCGGAGGCGGAATCCACACAGGGATCACCAGAGCAGAAGCAACAGATAACGGCGATGCCACAAGCCAAGGCGAACCAACCACCTGAACCGGAATCGTGTCCAACCGATGAAAGCGATTACGAGCAGGATTTGAGTTTGAGTCGCAGCCAGGAGCTCTGCACCTTCAACTTTTCGTACGCGGACAACGGGCCCAAGTCCGGCAATCCGATGATCCGCCAGCCGGCCAGCTATTTCAAGAACTACCAGATGCGCATGATGACCGACGACGAGCAGCTGCACACGCTGCGCATCGCCAATGGCCAACTGCTGCATCTGGGGCAGCCGCTGGCCAGCGCCATTCGCAATATTCCCAAGAAGCGGATTCGCCGCTTGACCAGCAATAGTGGAGCAACTTCAACGGGAGTGAGTGCAAGTGCAAGTGGCGGAGATCATCCCTCGGCCACGTCAACGCCGCTGGTGGAGAAGCCGCTGTCGAGGAGCGAGCCGCAAGACGAAAACGACCTGGAGGTGGCCACCATGTAAGTAATGTCATTTGAAAGTAGTTTTCATTTCCTTCCTTTTTGCGAATTGAAGGAACCTTGCTTATTTATTTACGAGTGTGTCTTCAATGTCGTTCAAATTTGTTACCTATTGAGTCCTTGAAATAACTAAACACGTAAAGAAATGTATAAACAAGTCAACCATTCCCATAGAAACCAATAAAGTTCAAATCATAGTTAAGCCGCCTTAATGAAAACAAACTCGTTGTTAAATCTTTCTATGAAAACCAGTTCAACTACAATAATGCTATCCGTTCGTTCAAATAGAAACTCAGCCACGATGCCGGCGAGCAGCAGCAGTGTGGATGGAGGCGAGGACACCTCGGAGAGCTCGGCGCAGCAGAAGGATCCGCAGAACCAGAACCACAGCGTGGAGATCGAGGACATCGAGTCGATACTTTCGCATCTGCACGGCACCTGATTGCATCTCCGTTTGAACGTTATTATGTACACCTAAGACGCTCGTTGGCAATCACGGGAGTACTCCTCTCAGCTTTTTAAGCCTCCCATAGATAAGCGTAGTAGAGAAGAACAAGTTTTAAATTTGAATTATACCCTCATTCTTATGTTACCTTAGACTAAAAAAGGAATAACCAAGGACCGCTATTATTAAAATATCTTAATTATTTTCGACGTAAGTTGCGACGGAGCAGCACAACCTGCTCACACAACATTCACAAGGATATTTCAGATGAATCGCTAATTTATGTTTCATTATCCACATTCGCAATTATTTATAAATATATAGAGAAAAATATATATAACGCTGTATATTGATAGCCAGTTGATTTAATTGTTAAGATCCGTTTTTTTTTTGGTATTACTAAGGCCTTGCCCGAACAAAATTGTATGATTTGATTTCATTGTAATCTATCGGATAAACTGAATATATAGAAGTAACAATAACCAATCTCTCAAGTCTCTTGACTTCTTTTGGTAATGGAACGCTAGCTGTCATTTCCAGCTGCTGAAATATGCATATTGTCCATTGATGGACACCACACGCGAATTATAATTGGCATAATTGGGCGGAAATTGAGGCACTTGTCCCATGTCCACCATCGCCAGGACTTAAATCTCAGCAAGAACTCAGTGCAATCGGTTGGCCATGGAGCTCCCACTGCTATTCCTGCTCGCCTTCAGTTGTGCCAACGCGGAGACCCTCCAGATAAGTGGGTGTTCTCGGAAATTCGCCTCAGTCGGCAGTTAAATTTCTGATTACTCCTAACAGCCTTTTGGGTCGAGCCCGTTCAGCGGGCGGAATTCGATGCGGACATGGTGGTGGTTCTCAAGGAACTGGACGCCCTTAAGCTGGACGTTAAAGTGGCCGACACGTCCTTGACTTTGACCCGTTCGGAAGATGGCTTGGACATGCAGCGATGTAAGTAATATAGGCGAAACAAACTTTTTGTATTCCTTTAACTTAAAAATTGAAAAGTAAAAAAAATAGTTTTCAACACTGGTATCCAGTTTGTTAAAAGGTCAATAACCAATGACAAAAGTGTCTTTCCCATTGAAATCAAATAATTTTTGTCTGTTTTACAGAAGTTATACTTAAAAATTAAAAAAAAAACGTAGTTTAGAAAGATGTGAACCATTTTTTATATCATTGAACCTAACAATTGATTTCCTGCAGTCTGCGAGATCCTTTCAACTGCCGGAACCAGCGCTGTGATCGACCTCACCTACCGCCACTGGGAGGAGGGCTACGAGCTGGTGCGCTCCCTGGGAATTGGCTATGTGCGTCTGGAGAGGATCATGCGGCCCTTTTTGGACATGTTCGGGGACTTCATGCGCCAGAAGCGGGCGAACAACGTGGCCATGGTGTTCATGAATGCTCGGGATGCCGCCGAGGCGATGGAGCAGATGCTGATTGGGTATCCCTTCCGCACACTGATCCTGGACGCCAGCCAGACCGATCCTGGGCAGAGCTTCCTCGAGCGCATCCGAGCACTGCGTCCGGCGCCCACATATGTGGCACTCTTTGCCCGTGCGGCCGCCATGAATGGACTTTTCGATAAGGTGAATAAAACAATAAAAAATCTTTTTGAAATTTAATAATCTCATAAAAACCCATGTTCTATAGTAATTTTCGTTCTAAATTGCAATATTTTTTCTTTCTTTATTTTCAGGTGCAAAAAGCTGGACTGTTTCAGCGCCCCTTGGAGTGGCACTTTGTGTTCCTGGACACCAGGGATCGGGTTTTTAAGTACAGGCGCCAGGCGGAGTTGTGCACCCGCTTTACATTGAGTCCCCGGGCGATATGCCGATCGATGCCGATGCCGGATCTATATTGCGGCAGTGGATTCACGGTGAGTTGATACATCCAATATCAAAAATGGCGAAAGATTATTTATAGAATTTAAAAACTCCTTGTCCCTTCCGTTACTTATTCTAAATTTTAAAAAAATTCTTCAAAATTATTTAAGAACATTTCAAATCATAAGATATCTTACATGAATTTTTCACTTTAAAGAGGTTTTTTTAAATTTGAAAAATACATACATCTATACATTAAACTTCTTAAATTGCGTAAAAATTAGGTTAATATTTGTGTGTATAATATATTATATATCCATTTGCTGGCTAATCCTTTTACCATCCAAAATCCCGCAGATGCAGCGAGCCATGCTGCTGAATGTTCTGCGCAGCCTGATAAACGCGGCGCAGGTGACTCCCGTCTACCCGATGGCCATCTACCACGACTGCAATGGCACCTTCTCCTCCTCGGAGGTCCCGGGGGATCCCGTGGAGGACGAGCACAACTGGCTGGACATGGTGCACTGGAGCAACTTCCTTGCGTACGCCTCGCCGCCTGCTCGGGTGCAGGATCCCTCCCAGAGTCCGGTGGCGGGATTGACCTTTGCAGTGAACATATCCGCCGGATACTACAGCTCTGAGCACGAGGCCAAAACCGATCTGGCCGCCTGGTCGTCGGTGGGTGAGATGCGGCTCCTGAACGAGACGATCAGTCCGGCCCGCCGGTTCTTCCGGATCGGCACCGCCGAGAGCATTCCGTGGAGCTACCTCCGCCGGAACGAGCGAACCGGGGAGCTCCTGCGCGACCGCAGTGGTTCGCCCATTTGGGAGGGCTACTGCATCGACTTCATCATCCGGCTCTCCCAGAAACTAAACTTCGAGTACGAGATCGTGGCCCCGGAAGTGGGTCACATGGGCGAGCTGAACGAGCGGGGCGAGTGGGACGGCGTGGTGGGCGATCTGGTCCGTGGTGAGACGGACTTCGCCATTGCTGCACTGAAAATGTACTCGGAACGCGAGGAGGTGATCGATTTCCTGCCACCGTACTACGAACAGACGGGCATATCGATTGCCATCCGGAAACCGGTGCGCCGGACATCGCTGTTCAAGTTCATGACCGTGCTCCGCCTGGAGGTGTGGCTGAGCATTGTGGCCGCCTTGGTGGGCACGGCCATCATGATTTGGTTCATGGACAAGTACTCGCCGTACAGTTCACGGAACAATCGACAGGCGTATCCGTATGCCTGCCGGGAGTTCACGCTGCGGGAGAGCTTCTGGTTCGCCCTCACCTCGTTCACTCCGCAAGGTGGAGGCGAAGCACCGAAAGCGATTTCCGGCAGGATGCTGGTGGCCGCCTATTGGCTCTTTGTGGTCCTCATGCTAGCCACTTTCACCGCCAATCTGGCCGCCTTTCTCACCGTGGAGAGGATGCAGACGCCGGTTCAGTCGCTGGAGCAGCTGGCCCGCCAGTCGAGGATCAACTACACCGTGGTCAAGGACTCGGATACGCACCAGTACTTCGTGAACATGAAGTTCGCCGAGGACACGCTGTACAGGATGTGGAAGGAGCTGGCGCTGAATGCCAGCAAGGACTTCAAGAAGTTCCGCATCTGGGACTATCCCATCAAGGAGCAGTACGGACACATCCTGCTGGCCATCAATAGTTCGCAGCCGGTCGCGGATGCCAGGGAGGGATTCGCGAATGTGGATGCCCATGAGAATGCCGACTACGCCTTCATCCACGACTCGGCGGAGATCAAGTACGAGATCACGAGGAACTGCAATCTCACCGAAGTGGGCGAGGTGTTCGCGGAGCAACCTTATGCCGTGGCCGTCCAGCAAGGGAGCCACTTGGGCGACGAGCTGAGCTACGCTATCCTGGAGCTGCAGAAGGATCGCTTCTTCGAGGAGCTGAAGGCCAAGTACTGGAACCAATCGAACCTGAGGAACTGCCCGCTCTCGGAGGATCAGGAGGGCATTACCCTCGAGAGTTTGGGCGGAGTGTTCATCGCCACCCTCTTCGGCCTCGTCCTGGCCATGATGACCCTCGGCATGGAGGTGCTGTACTACAAGAAGAAGCAAAACAAGCTCGAGATCACCCAGGTTCGTCCGGTGGATGATTCCTCGGGAGGGGATTCCTCGACGGCTCCGCCAACGGCCACCAGCACCACGAAGCAGGCGTGGCACATCCCCGTTCCGCTGGAAACGGAGCCGGAGAAGCCGGTGAACGTGTCGCCACCGCCCTCCTTCGAGGCGGCCACATTCCGGGGCAAGAAGCTCCCGGCCAGGATCACGCTGGGCGATGGCAAATTCAAGCCGCGACAGGGACTCTACTCGAGGAGGAACCTCGGCGCCTCCGACTCCCAAGGAGGCTACATGGAATAAGGAGAACCTATTTCGAACGATGCTTCAAAACCTTTTTCTCTAGTGCACCTAGTCCGTAGCGAATTTCTTTTGGAAATGTAATGAAGTCGAAAACCCGCAATTTTTATCAAAAAGTTAAACTTTTTTTTATAACACAATGTACAACAATGTTAAGTAACAATGCAATTAATAATTTATATCACAATCAAATAGTTTACTATATTATTCACAAAATATTAAAATGAGAATATTTAAAATCCACGGGTCTGGAATTTTATCAATTTTAAAAATGCAGTTTGTTGTATGGGAAACATCTTAAAATATTACGCTTATTTTTTTTTGTGATGTTTTCAAAAACCGTTACATTTGATGGTGCTTAAACAAGTAAAATTATGTTGCCTAGCGCTTATCAGTATATTTTCTAGTATTTTTATAGTACCCGGCAAGACGGTTGGTATTTCCAAACATCTAGCCCACTGTCATACTGGCTCCTCCAATTTGTTCTCAACCTTTTTTTTCCCCCGAGAAAAAGGAAAAGTTTTTGGGTGTTTTGTCAAGGTGAGGTGTGAATAATAGGAACTGTGACGGCGGTCGCAGCAAATCGATTGCCGCATTTTCGATCGCACCAAGTGCGGAAGTCTGTGCCCAGAGATTTCGCCGGAATCCAACGGCAAAAGTGCCACGAGACGTCACCGAAGAGGAGCGGAAACCCCGGAAAATTCGGAAAATGCGTGCTCCCGGCGGGGATGTTAAATCAATAGTGGTGCTGGCGGCACTACTGGGGCTACTGCTCGCCCCCCTGCAGATTCTTGCCCGAAAGCATCACCTGGAAGTTCGCGTAAGTTGGCGGAGGCATATCAATTGCAAAGTAGAGCACCTGACCCACGGCTAACTAAAACCCTGTTTATCTGCAGAATGACAGGCGTCAGTACATCGCACTCAGCACCTTTGGATTCTATATGAATGGTCATTTGGACGTGCAGCTCAGCAAGTTGACGATTGACTCGGAACAGCCCACGGACTTGGTGGGTAATCCATTTACCCACTAGTTTTCCATATGAATAACCTCCTTCCTTTGCAGTTGGGCTTATCGCTGGACAAGACCACCATTGACCAACTGAATCCTTACCTGGACTCGCATCAAAACAAATGCATACTGGAGGAACAACCAAATAAGCAAAACAGCGGACCCATTCTTTTCTTTGTGCTCGATCTTGTAGAGCTGAAGTATGTTTATTCTATTTTTATGTCAGACTACCGCTCATTTAATTCTCCTTTGGCTGCAGAGTCCGTGTGAAGTGCTCTCCTGAGTGGGCCAACATGCACATCTACAACCAAATCTCTTCAAGAATCAAGCGCAACTCGCGCATGGCCAAGATCAGCGATTCCGTATTGTTCCGCCAGACTCGTGATGTGCCAGCGTACTCGGCTGAGGGCCCCGATGACTCCATGGAGGATCCACTCGAACAGGAACCGGCTGACCTCAAGTCTTCCTCGCCCGCTGCAGTTGCGGGTAAAATTGAGCCGCCCAAGGAGGAGGCTGCCCCTGCCCCTGCCCAGAATGTGGAGGCTTCCAAGGAGGACGCTGCACCGAAGCCAGAAGTGGCTTCCAATCTGAATGATTCCGTCAAGCAGGAAGTGCCTCCCCAGTCAAATGTGGCCCCCAAAGCTAGCGAAGCCAATGCTAAGGATAATTCTGTCGCTCAGAAGGAGGAAGCTCCCGTTAAAGAAGAGGAGGCCCCAGCGAAGCCAGTCGTCGCAGAAGCTCCTAAAGCTGCTGCTCCACAGTTGCCGGCAAATCCGCCACCAGCTGCTCCGGCTCAAGTCGAACCGCAAGTAAACAAGAAATCCGAAGAATCCGATTCGGATGCAGCTCCCGCAAATCCCTTTCCACACGATGACGACCCGGCGGCGGTAGATTTATATGGATCCGGGACGTTCCCGCAATCGCAGGAGAACCTCTGCAAGGATTCGACCATGCCGTTGGTCAAGGAGACCATCGACAACGTCAACTACTACAGCTTCAACTTCTCCATGCTGGTGGCCACGCCCCGCGACGAGGGCCTCTACAACCTGTACTTCCACGCCTGTCCCAACTATCACAGCGCCAAGATAATGTCCTTCAATGTGAGTTACTCAGCGACTCTGTTAAAAACAAGCTAATGAGTAACCCGTTTCAGGTGGACATTGAGGAGAACAACAATGGCAACTACTTGTCGGCTGGAGAGATGCCCTTGCCCGCCTTGTACTTCATGATGAGTCTGCTCTTCTTCCTTTCCGGTCTCTTTTGGGTGTTCATCTTGAAAAAGAGCAAGTGAGTTCGGTTCGGTAAACTCTAAAGATTGTTAAAACAAATTTGTTTTTTGTGACAGGCACACTGTGTACAAAATCCACTATTTGATGGCCGTGCTGGTGTTCCTCAAGTCGCTCTCGCTGATGTTCCATTCGATCAACTACCACTTCATCGAGAAGCGAGGCGAGCATGTGGAGACCTGGGCTATTCTCTACTATATTGCGCATTTGCTCAAGGGTGCCGTGCTCTTTATCACTATTGTGTTGATCGGCACTGGCTGGACTTTTATCAAACACATTCTCTCCGACAAAGATAAGAAGATCTTCATGATTGTGATACCGTTGCAAGTGAGTTTTCTTGTATTTAAATATCTTTGTTGTTGTTGTCGTTTTTCGAATCTTGCAATTATTGGGAATTTGCATCGATCCTAATGCACTCCTTTTGCCCTGCAGGTCCTGGCCAACGTGGCCCAGATCATCACAGACGAGTCGGATCAGAGCGACGCCGAGTTCCGCACCTGGCACAACATCTTCTTCTTCGTGGATCTGCTGTGCTGCGGTGCCATTCTGTTCCCGATTGTCTGGTCCATCCGCCATCTGCACGAGGCGTCCGCAACGGACGGCAAGGCGGCGATCAATCTGCGCAAGCTGAAGCTCTTCCGTCAGTTCTATATTATGATCGTGTGCTATATCTACTTTACGCGGATCATCGTGGACCTGCTGCAGATGACGGTGGTGTTCCAGTACGCCTGGCTGGACGAGATGTTCCGCGAGATGGCCACCTACGTGTTCTTCGTGCTGACGGGCTACAAATTCCGTCCGGTGTCCTCGCATCCGTACTTCACCGTGCCGGACGAAGACGAGGACGACGACGAGGTGGAAGTGCTCACCGAATCCGGACTGACGGAGACGGTGCATCGGGTGAAGTCGCTCAATCGCAATCACGGCAGCAGCTCCGGCGGAATCACCATCATCGAGGGCAACGACGATGAGCGCGAGAATCTGATTGCGAAACGGGAGTCAAGCCATGAGTACGATTAAGCCCAGCGCATCGGAACTCAAACTCGATCTGCATCACCCATATTCCCTGCATTAGTCCGTAGTCTGTAGTCCCTCGTGGTCTTATGTGTGACTCAAATACTGAGCCAGAAGCTAGTACTTTACCTTTACTTTAATGCGTATGTTTTATGTTCGAAGTTTATTACCGAAAATCAAAAGAAAATGATAAGAAATATGCGATGGCAATGGAGGGGATAATCTCACGTCGTGAACTTGTTTAGGGCAACGCGTCGGCCTAACGTTTGGTGGGCACCCCACTGCTCCTCCACCTTCACCTCACCCCCTTCTCCTTTAGAGCCCGTCCAGCCGGCCGCCCATGGAGCCCCTGTAAATAACTAATTGATAGACCCGCTTAACGGACTACTGTACGCTCGTGACACCCAGGCCCTTTCCTTGGTTTAAGATATACATATATAATAAATACCCTTATGTAATTACGTATAATTTTATGAATATAACAAAGCTTTAATATTTAAACTCAAGATTCACTTAGATTTGGCTTCTGGCTGAAACTTCTACAGATGAAAGGGTTTTGAGAACAACAAACTGTGTAAATATCTCGTCTATAAATACTGATTGTCACTCAATTTCGGTATGAATTGAATGGTGTAGATCATGTAAGTGCCCACCGAACAGGCGATCTGCAAAGAGGATGGATGGTAATAATGTTGTTGATAATAATGCCATAAACCCACCCGAGTAAGCAGACTGCAATCCAATATGGTTAAGCCCATGCAATCGATTCTAACCGGCTGATGCAGAAGTTGAAGCGAGAAGTTTTGAATCTGCAAGGAAACTCAGTGAAAGGGAGATTAACTTAAGGGATTCCATGGAAGTCCACCTGCAGGGAGAGATCGGGGGAACTGCAGCAGCCGGAATCGGTGACTATACTGTGCAGTTGGTAGGCGATCCTGGGCACAATAACCATGCAGCTTTGCGACGCGTAGATGAAGGCGGGAATCTCCAGCAAGGCGGGCAATATTAAGTAGTAATCTGCAAAAGAGGACAGCCATTTATTACGAAATATTTACCCGAAATCCAACCCACCGAAATTAAGTATATTATTGTAGATGGTGTAGTACATGAAGTAGCAATCGACGGCTATCCGAATGTTTATGGTGAGCAGAACGGCGAGAATGGAGAACTTGAAGGCCTCCTGGAAACATGTGAACATGTCGTATATTTCGCTGTAGAGTCGCTGCTTCTGAAGCAATCTCCGGCGCAGGAAAGTCTCGAATCCGGAAAAACTCCTTCCCGTTTCGCTGGCGAACCGCGAATACTCCGCCAGGAGACCCAGCTCCCGTTCCAGGGCAGCCAGCTGCTCCCTCAGGAGCTCCATGTGCAGGACGAACTGAACGTTTCGCATGTAGGTGAGGCACACGAGCGGCTCATAGGTGACCCAAAAGAGGAATATGTGGCGGGTCATTGACTGGTATAGCCACAAGCCCAAGTGGAACAGCAGTTCGCACAGAATCATTCCGTACAAGGAGATCAGATAGTGGCGATACTGCTGCATTTCCCTCCGCAAACTCATCGCACCCACTTTGTGGCTCAGCTGCGAGTGGAGCCACCAGAAGTTGGCCAATTGCCGCTGGCTGCCGATCGTTTCCACATAGATGGCCACCACGGCCAACTGGGCGAACACGTATTTCAGGCCATCGTTGACGCCACCAAAGGTGTCGCCGCGATAGAGGAACTCCTCGTCGCTGAACAGGCACGTCACTATCAGGCCACTCAGCGCGGTGAGCAGGAAGATGGCCCAGGCAATCAGCTGCTTCCGGATCCTGGCCGGATTCGCGTCGCCCGGCAGCGGAAGTCCATGGAGACCGAGCCACTGGTAGAGCCGCAGGTGGAACTGCAGGACCCGATCCAAACGACCGCTCATCGTGGACTGTTCGGCAGTGGGTTTTCCCTTCAGAACGTCCTTATCCCCACATTATATCTCCCTCTAAATGGAGGCTAACTGAATTCAATTAGTCTAAGTGAAAAATAATATCACAAAACCAATATTGAACATTTCGAAATAAGTATGCGCACCGTTGGCATTGAAATAACTTATTTGTTTAAATATATTATTTAAAAATTTGAAAAAATCCCCTTGATATGTGCTCTTAACAAAAAATGCTGTAGAGCATTAGTTTTATAGCCAGCTTTTGATTATTGCTCTCAGCCTAAACCTAATTACGAAAAGTTGTAAATCACATACATAATACTAAGTGGACCGGTATTTAACGTATTTTCAACAACATAAAAGTGGTAATCATTTATACTTCTAATGTGCTTAAACTAGTTTAATAATTATGCAAATTCAAATTTTCCAAAACCAATTGGACATTCTCTTTTTTGCCTACGATTTGTCATAAATGAAAACGTCTACAGTTTAATTTTAAAGCGTGTTATATGTATTTATTTAACTTAAACCACTCGAATTTAATAAATAAATAAAAACAATTTAAGAAAATACTATATATGTATGTATTCCCTAAAAAATCAGAGACTAGGGGGAAAATAAGAAAGCTATCCCACGTTTACTTTCTGCACTTTACTTTCGTTTCGTTTATCCCCCGCTTTTCTTTCTTACTATACATACATACATATGTAGTAATATATGCACTTTTTTTGTTTTCCTAATCCAGTTTAAGTGGCGGCACGTGGCAAACAATGAAAATTCTAGCTAGAGGGAAATATTCGGGAATTAGAGTGCATTTAACTTTCGGGAACTTTCCGATAAAAATATTCTACCAATTTAGTGAAATTAAATCTTTGCTTTCATAAGTTCAACATTTTATAACGGGTTTACAAAATTAAAAAGATAACATTGTAATAACTTCCGTTTTTTGTGGGTATATTAAATTAAAGATTTGCTTATAATAATAATTAATTTAATATTTACTTTCAAGAAGGGGAGATTTTAGTTTCCGGGGCGCCAAGATTTGAGGACATATTTTGGGTAATTGGCCCAAAATAAACACTTTTCAAACACTCGATTTCTCGCACCGTTTACGAGATATTGAGCCTTAAATGTCTGCACAATATTTATTCTTAAATTATTTTAATTCATTTCTTAACGGAAATTTATGTTTTCCTTAACTGTTTAAAGGTTGTAGTCTTTGCTTATAAGGGTTGGGTAAGGCTGCCAGAACGTCATAATTGGATTAGTAGCTTAAAAGTGATGCCCATCAAACGCCCAATTTTAAAAATTGACCTTTTTCATTTTAAAAGTAGATACACATCGTCTTCTATATATGTATATTTACAATCAAACTGAAATGTAAATTATTGATCTGCATCAATTTCTTTTGATTTTGTCTTTCAAAATTGTCAAATGATGGCAACGCCATTTAACCGATATTTGAGCGGTTTCTTTTCGTCATCGATATTTATATAGATTCGATTGGCACCGCACCGGCTGGAATTAAAAATCAGCAACTACAATACGCTATATATCGCCGATTCCGACCAAAACATGAACGATTTGAACCTGCGCGTGGCCGCCCTGAAGCTCTGTGCTCATCCCAAGCGATTTGCTGAGCTGCGCGATGCACTGGTTCCTTTGCCCGCGAAATGGATTTCCAGTAAGTTTTTGATAACTTTGGTGCCACATGTTTTTGTTTATTTTGAATGATCTATGGTTTATTTAATTGATCTTAGCCAACTATGAATTTGTGCAGCCTTTTAAGGAGGCCAAAACAAGTGCCGAGCAAGTGCAGGTGGTCAAGGACATATTCTACAAGGATCAGGAAAAAGATAATGAGAAAGTGCTCCGTTTTCTGGCCGATCTTCTGTTTAGCAGTCCATTAAAACACGCTGTGCGCAATCAGCTGACCAAGTACAGTGAGCCCTCCACAACGAACAACCTTAACGAACATTCTTCAATCGGGTGAATCATCCTTTTTAGACTCTTTTCGGAAAATGCGCTGGCAAAACAAGATAAGGCAAGGAAGGAAGGACATGCGAAGGATTCGCTGCTGGATGCACTGCAGCAATCCCTCGGCGGAATGGCCAAAAGCCTGGAGGCAATCAACTCTCCACCTGCCGTAAGCCACGATCGCTGCAATGATATTTTTGTGTCGGCAAACGCCTGCCTGCAAAACTTTCCTTTCGGAAGGGAAGCCCTCAAAAAGCAAGTTCATCTTTTTGTTCCTCTGCTGCCAATCGCTTCGGAGCAATATTGGAAGGACATCAGGTGGGTTTCCGACACCTGAAGATGGTCTACCTCTTTGAATTTGTGAATTCACTTTCTAACTTTCTGCAATTTGTTATCTATATATGCTATACATTTATAACCCGAAACTAATGAATCTCTTTCCCAAAATAGTGATCCCTCGCTGGAACTTTCGCCAACGCGTCGGAATGAGCTCTATTTGTATGTGCAGAATGCGCTGCGATTCCTGGTGAGCCTTCTGTCCGAATGGAGCGATCAACTGCAGTTGGCGGATGGGAAAAGGCTGCTCAGCAAAGCGGATTTGGTGGCCAGAAAAGTGGCTCGTTATGTGGACACTCCGTGGGATGTTCGTTCCATTGCAGGATTGCTGATTGGTCACTTGGCGCGTTTTTCCGGAGGATTTGCCGAGTACATTGAAGAATGCTCGATGCAGCAAGCGGAACAGGACCTTCCTGTTCAAACGGCTGCTCTTCTTGTCCTGCGACGCAGCGATTATACGGATTACGCTCCTCAGGCTTTGGATATTCTAAAAATGATTGTGGCCGTTGGCGAGCGGGAAAGTAGCGTTAGCAACCTGCTCGTCTTCCTGTCCAAACATCTGTTCATCTACTCCAAATCGCTGGGCGAAATGAAGGCTTTTCTATCCGAGGATCAGCGGATTGTTTACCAACAAATCCTTGCCGAGTTGCAGAAGTTTGCAATACAAAACGTTTCCAACTCCACGGATTCGGTGCGCCACATGAGCAGCGCTCTCCTTCGCCAGGTTTTGCAGCACGGGTTGGAAAGTAATCACGAGGAGCTCTTCCAGGTTGTCTATCGCCAGTTTGAGGGGCGTTCTGCTCCCTTGAGTGCCAGTTGCTTGGCCATGGAGCAGTTGGTTGCCGTTGCGGGAGTTGAAATGGCGATTAGGAACTGCCCCTCGCTTTTTGGAGTCATCTTTCCACGGTTTCTGGGCTGCGAGGACAGCGTGGATGCCTTGTTCAAAGGTGGGTATTGTTTACTATGAAATAAAGAAAAATAAAGGGTACGCAATCCGTTGAAAAAGTACATAAAACTTTAAAATATCCGAAAGTATATAATAATTAGAAAGTTACTTTATTTAATTGCTTACACAATTAGTAAAACTTTTTTTGGAAATTGTTTGTAATTTTTAAACATAACCTTAGTTCTTGTAAATATTTCCTCGTACATTTTCTGCTCGATTTTAAGTACAAATTTTTCTTGTTTTTTGTTACCAAAACTGTTTTAATATTAATGTATCGGTATCCTATACCTTTTTAGCCATGATGGTTTCGGCGCACAAAACACAAACTTTTACGGAGTGGCACAACCTGTGGTTTAACCAGCTTATGGAGGCCACCAAAGCAGCCGAAAAACGAAGATCGGTGATCGAACAACTGCTCACCCAAGCGGTGCAACTGGAGCCCAAAACACTGGCCCACTTGCTCCTCGAGGACTCCCGATTGCCACTCAGCAGCAAGCTCTCTGCGATTCTCAGCGTTCGGCAACTGAGTGATAAGAGGCAGGAGTTACTAAGGGATCTCAAGCGGGAAGTGGAGCAGGCTCTGCTGGGATTGGACGACCATACGCGTCTTTTGGCTCTGCGATTTGTGGTTGAGACTCCGCGTCCGAGTGATCCCCTAACTTTGGCAGAAGCGGAGGCCATTCGCTTATATCTACGCCACAATGCCAACAATCCAAGTGCTCATCTTCGCCAGTTGGGCTATGGTCTGCTCCAGAAAGCGCTAAAAAGGATTCGTCTTGGATTGGCTGAACACCAAAAGCGACCAACGAAGAAGGGAGAAGAAATGCTTGGACTGTTGAATCAATTAACTGCAGATCTTTTAAGGAATCTTTTTCCCACTGCGAACTATGGAAGACGTTGGCTGTCACTGCATTTACTCAGGGATTGCCTGGATTTGCACAGCACATTGCAGCTGAAAGTTAAGGAGGATTTGCTACCCAAAGAAGCTTTAAGTAATTTGGAGCACTGCCTTTCCGATAGTTACGAACATAACAAAGTTCTGGCTGCCAAACTGTTGGAAAATCTAAAAACCCGCTGTCGCTTTCAACCGGAGGAGATCATGGAATTGCTGCTCTCGTTGAGGCCACCAGATTCGGCCACCGGAGCCTTCCAGCTGCAGGTTTACTGTCGAGCCAAGGAAGTGGAAAAGGAGCTACCCAAAGTAACAAACAAGGAAGTTATTTGCGAACAGAGAACCTTCAATGCCTTGCAATGGTGTTTGGAGCACTTGCGCGAGGGTTTGCACCTGGCTGAAAGTGACTTGGCGGAGGCAGCTAAGCTAAATCCCTTGTACGGATTACTCTTCGCCAGCAGGCATCTCCTCCAGCAACTCAAACTCAAGGAGCTGGCAAAGGAGACCGTTTGGAGGGAATATTTCGAGGAGTTGGTCGCCATTTGCTTGGCTGTGAGTCGCGTGGTTATGCCGGTGGTCAGCAGTGCCTCACCGGAGGGCCATTTGCCAGCCACTCGGGATCAGGAGACGGACCAACCGCTCAAGAATGTCCTCAGTCGCCGCTTGCCCAGCGAGGCACTGCAGCAGTTGCGAACCACACCGCAGATGGTTTTACTCTGCGCCTGGCGGAGCATCAAGGAGGTGTGCCTGATCCTGGGCGAACTGGTGGACAGAGCTCCCCTGGAGGATGAACTGCAAGCGGAGTTCCTGCTGAGCAGCCAGCAAGTGGAGGTGATTGGCGAGCAGTTCCTCTATCTGCTGGCAGAAACCAAGCATCGCGGAGCTTTCGAGCAAGCGTACGTGGGATTCACGATGCTGTGCCGTCGCTTTTGGCACAGCGATGCAGTGCATCTGAACCAGCTGCCCAACCAGTGGGTCGGCGAGGCCATGGCGATGGTTAGTGGCGAGGCGATATCCAAAGGAGTGCGTCTCTGCTCCACGAGAAGGAGTGCTGGGATGCCGTTCATGTTGCAGGCCTTAATCTGCACGGAACTCAAGTTGGGCACGCATGCCACCTTGCATCGTTGCATGGAGCGTCTGCTGGGAGTTTGTGAGCGAAGGACTCCAGGAGCAGCTGGCATCACGGCCAGGAGTCATGCCCTGAACATCCTGAGAGCTCTCTTCCGATGCAGCGAGCTTGCGGAATTGGTAACCGAATTTATGGCGAGGGGGATCCAATGTGCTTTGGATGGCTTGCTGCTCGCGGAGGAATGGGCAGAAAGGAATTGCGCCACCCTCCTGCTGGCTGCCTTGATTGTGAGGGTCTTTGGAGTGGAACGAGCTCGCTTGGAGAGCGGTGAACTGCATGTGCGCAACCGAATGACGGGCAGGATCTTCTTCACAAGATATCCACAGTTGTTTGATTATTTCCATGCCGCCTTGCAAAGGGAAGCGGATCGAATGGATGCCAAGGATACTGGAAGTGACAATCCAAATGGAAAACGGAGACAGGCAGTTCAACTGGAGGCCATGTTGCTCATGCTCAGCAGACTGTATCCTTCTTCGTTGGAGGGAGCAGAATCCACATTGAATGTGCGTCATTTGTAACCAGTTTTTATATGAGTTTTAATTTATATTTGTTTTTTTTTGTTTGCAGCTCAGTGAATTTGTGCCTTTCTTGATAAAGATTTGCCGTTCGCACGACTTGATGACGCGCGAAAGAGCCGCTTTGGTGGTGGCCAACTTTGTGAGCCAGGAACAGGCGCTGGCGGAGATCAGGAGGATTCTAGTGGAGCTCAAGGCTTTAGAACTTAAATTAAAGGTGAGTTAAATGAATGCTTTTGCTGCTTCTCAAATAATCATCCCAAAATCTTGGCAGGCGGAAGAGGAACCAACTCACCTGGACATGAATCTCCTGCATGGACAAATGCTGCTGCTGCTCCATCTGCATCGCCTGGTTCGTTGGACGCGTCCTTCGTTGGCCAGGTGGCAAGTGCACATCCTCGCTGGATTGGCGCTTCCCATTCTCAGACGAGATGTTTGTGTATTTGGAGCACTGGTGGATGTTTTGGTGGCTGCCTTGGAGGATTGCCACGATCCCAAGTTGATAAACTCCCAGCTGCTGGACGAGATTGAAGCTCTTTATTTGGTGGATCACAGACTAGTCTACGATGGCTGCCAGAGGCAGGGAATCTCCGTGCGTTTCTATCAGATCTTCGCTTTGCATTTGCATCGATTGCGCGGAATCTCGCAGGGAATTGTGCTGCACATTGTCGAGGATCTGGCCGAGCCTCACTGGGCTCTCGACGAGCTGAGAGTCGAACTCTGGCTCTACATTCTGCTGCAGAAATTTCTGGAAGAGAAGAGCTCGCTGGTCAGCGAACTGGACATCGAGCACTTTCAGTTCTCCAACGAAATTCGACGTTATTATAAATCTTTGAGCAGCGAACAGCAGGTGGAAATCTCCAGGGAACTCTATCAATCCAAGGCTGTGCGTTCCTGCGTTTTCCATATGATCAACACATCGGTTAAGCGCTCTTGGAGTCTCCAACTCGCTGGTCGTTTGGCTGCCCTGAAACCACTGCTCCAGGATTCCGGATTGGAATTGAGTAACCTGATTCGAAAGTGTTCGATGGAGCATCGCAGTCACCAGGAGGCGGCGGGCTTGGTGTTGGGCTTAAAGCGATTGATTGGTGAGAGGAAAATCCTGGAGCGGGAACACTGGCTGCCCTTGCTAACCTACACTTTGCATTTGGTGGAACCCATTCAGCCGGTTTACCTTCGTCATCAGGCAGCGGAATTGTGTGATTTACTCGCTCGAATTCACTTAAAGTGTCAAATGGAAAACGTGGATGTGGAGGTGATTGGTCGCTTTATAAGATTGGTGTTGCTACTGCTGCTCGATGAAGCCGAGTGGGTGAGAAATAGAGCTGCTGATTTCGTGTGCAATGCTGGTTTAAGAAGCCAAGAAGATCAGGAAGGGAAATCCAGAGACATTTTACCAAATGCTCTCACTCCACAATTCCTGAAAGTTGTCTTAACGAAACTGGAGAAGCAGGCAAATAATTCGGAGTTTCTTTTGCAATTATTTAATCTTATTGCCGAACCTTTTCTCGCTTCGGAAGCCAAGGATTCCGAGCCGAACATCGATGAGGATGGCGATGTGGATGTTTTTGATAAGCAGGAGATCAATCTCTACTGCGAACCTCTGCTCGTTTTATGTGAACTATCCACAGCCTTTCGATCGCAGTTTGGAAAATGCCAGCAACTAGTGACCACAATTGATGCATTGAATCTGCCCTCGGATTTAGTTTTAAATTAATTCGTAGAGTGTAATTAAGAAGCATTTGATGTGTACAACTTCCTTAACCTTAAAGTTCAAATCAACTAACTTTTAAGCAAGAAAAGTTGTTTTTACATAAGGAAAGTTTGCTTGCTTTACAAGTTTGTTTAATTTTTTTAGGGAGTTTTTTTTTAATAAAACTTGTAAATTAAAGTTTTAATAAGTAGCTAGATATGTAAATTTAAACCATGCGGAATACAAAAAATGCATGTAAAATACTTTGTCTTTTATTTATGAATGAACTGTCTTGAAAGGGAATTAATGATCTTAAAATCTTGAAACCTTTAAACGGGGATTGGAAACCCACTTTGCATCGAAACATAAATGTTGACTGAAATAGAAAGAGACAGAAATACACAAAATAATAGGGAATTTGTTAAGCAATCCATTGGCTTTATATTCATATTCATAATAGCCTTTAATTTTCAGCTTTTCTTTATGTGGGTGTTGTTGTTTTCATTTCCAAAAATATAACAAGTTTTAAAACAGAAAGAAAGAAGAGAGATGAACAGATGGAGAGGTGTTCCTCCGCTAGATTCAAAACCTTCCACTCGAAACATAATGTTATGTACAATCAACACATTTATTATATGTATTTAAAACCTAAGACGGAACGCAGCTGCCTACGAAACGAAGGTGGAACTGTCACCATTCGCGGTGACCGGGGCAAACTGAACGAGTGCCTTGATCCTCCGCAGAAGCGAGGCATTGAAGCCCTTGCACTTGGCCGCATAATCCTCGCTAGCGGTGATCAGTTGGGTGCAGAAGGTCTCGTTGAAGGTGGAGATGAGCAGCTGCTTCAGCTGCAGGATCTCGTCCTGCGAGGCATTCAACACGGACGCATTGTTCCCATTGTCCAGCAAATTGCTCTCGTTGATGGCATTACGATTCTCGTTGGCATAAACGACGGCGTTGCGCAGATAGAAGTCCAGATGGATCCACAGCAGGTAAAGATTCTGCTCGGCAATGAAGACAGCTTGCATCAGTTCGCTGCGCTTCTCTTTGTGCCGCTGACTCAAGTCCATGTAGCTCTGCTTGCCTGGGGATTGAATAAATTAAGTAGTTATTGTATTGGATAAAGAAGTGTTCAACGGTTTACCCACCATTTGGACCAAAGCTGATATTCGGCAGGGAGGCGCGCTGCTGCAGAAGATTGTCTGCTATGGATTTCTGGGAGAGGTAGTAGCCAATGGAACCCTTCAGCTGATTGAGGATGGTGTGCATGATGGCCGTCAGCTTCTTGCTGTCCATTTTGCCAGTTCTTTGAAGGGGAAAGAAGGATTGCAATTAATATAAGGTATAGATTAACAAAGATCTAAAAGGTTTACATTTACATTTAATAATGGTTCATAATATTCTATTTAATTGTATAAAAACTAGAAATCTTCGATAACCTTTTAACTACTTAGGAAAGTTCTTTAGAAAAAGTATAGAAAAATATTCTAATAGATTAAAAAATCTTATAAAGGTTTCTTTGTATTAATAATCTTAAAGGACATAACATGAAATTATATTCAATTCTATTCCTTAAAACTTAAGCGTCTAAGATAATCTTTGAACTTCTTAGGACATATGAAATAATTTAAAGATTTAAAAGCATATGTTAAAATATAAAAGTTTTTAATAGCTTCTAAAGGTTATCTAAACCTTGGAACTTCTTGGAATATATGTATTGAAACCCTTTTAAGATTTAAATACATATGCTATAGTACTTTTTCAAATAGGATTCCCAACTCACAGTGGCGTGACATCGTTGATCATGGTGGTGAGGAGGTACTTGGAGGTCATGCTGTCCTTGGCATGGCTGGTGACCGCATTGCGGCAGTAGAGCGACAGATTGGCGGCGATGTCGAGGAAGTACTTCACCCTCAGAGTCTTGGAACCCTCCGCCTGGCCACCACCACCATTGTCATCGTCATGTTCATCCTCATCCTGCTGCAGCATCCTGCGAATGGTGGCTTCGCTCACGGAAAACCTCCCAAAGACCACGATCATCAGCTGCTGCAGGCGACCCAAGCGGTTGCGCAGCTCCAGATCGTTCTCCACATCGAGGCTGTCCTCCAGAGCGGTCACCTCGTGCGTTGTGGTCCGCGCAAACAGATTGGTGATCACCGCCAGCTGCTGCAGGTGGCCCAAATCCATGAATGGCGTCGCCGTTCGCAGCATCGCCTCCACCATGTCGATGTGGGCGAACAGGAAGTTCAGCACCTGCAAGGAGGCCGAGTTGTTCCGCGATCCCAAGGAGTTAACGATGGCATCGCAGAGCGACAAGGCTGGCAGGAGAATCGCCCGGAAGCGATCATCGATGGCGGGCAGGAAGGCCTGCGGCTCATCCCGCCTCAATTCGCTGGCCTTAAGATCGGGTTGCAGGTCATAGACCCTCATGTTCGAGAGCACTCCAAGTGCCCGTTCGGCGAGGAGCAGCTGGGCACCCACATTTGTGTTCGCCAGACGAGTGAGGAACGCCATTCGCGATTCGTAGACGTAGAGGGAACGCAGATGATCGGGAACCGGCTGCAGAATCCCGCACAGATCCTCGCTCGACTTCTCCAGACTGTCCAGCATCAGCTTGAGGTAGCCCCGAGTGGCCACAAAGTGGCTCAGAGTGCTCACCGCCTGCAGTTCGGAGATCATGTCCAAGCAGGCCAGCGCCAGCATGCGACACACATCGTGACCGGTGACTGCGTCATGGCAAATGGTATCGATCAGCTTCTCGCCGAAGGTTCCAATCACATCCGCCGCCATTTCCCTCAGCCGCTGGCGGTCATCGCTGCGCAGCTCAATGCTGCTCATTCGGGAGTTATCCTGGCGGGAAATCACTCTGGAATGGGATGAAATAGTAGAGGATTAAATAGTTTTTCTCGGGGTTTAGAGGTGGTTAATTCATTCGATTTGAAACGGGGTTTAACAGGTTCAAATAGAAATATATAAATGCATTAAAAAGGAAATCAAATTTAAATACTTAATTCATGATTAATTCAATTCAATGGATTAATGTTATTTATATTAAATAGTGATTATCGGAGGTTAACAGGTGGTTAAATTCATTCGATTTGAAACGGAGTTTAACAGGTTTAAATAGAATGCATTTATATATGCATTAAAAAGGAAATCAAATTGAAATACTTAATTCATGATTATTTTACTTTAATTCAATGGATAAAATGATAGTTATATTAAAAAGTGATGACTGAAAGATGAGGGTTGGTTAAACTCATAATTTATTAATTGATTTAAAGGCTTTAACTAGTGGAATTCAAATACATTAAAAGGAATTTAAATTTGAATGCATGATTATTTGAATTCAAATTCAATGGACATTTGCTAGCTAGAGATTCTTTGACTTACGTTTCCTGGTACTCCAGCTGCTCATCCGTCCGCAGTCTCTTCGCAATCCGCAAACAATTCAGCAGAGCACTGTACAGATTAATGCGCAACTTCTGCGACTTGACCTCGCTGATCATGATCCACTCGACGAGGCTCTTGAGGATGAAGCGCAGGTTGCTGCTGTTGGCACCACCACCGATTTCCCCTCGAACGCCACTAAGATTGCCATTTCCATTCTCCGCCGAAGCCACTTTCTTCTGCCCCAAACTCAGTTTGTTTGCCTGGGAATCGCCATTGCCGTTCGTTAGGGAGTCATCGCTGCTCTGATCCTCCACCCGCTGGTCCTCCACTTGGTAGCAGCAGTAGCGCAGATTGGCCAGCAGAAGCAGCACCGTTTCGCTCACCTGGATGGAGATCTCGATGATGGGCTGAATGGGCTGCACCTTGATGAGGATCTTCTCGATGATATCCACGATGTGCTGGCGACGCAGGGCGGTCGGGAGAACGGCCTCCGGCATGCTGCTGAAGAGCACCTGGACCAACTGACCCCAGGCCTCCATGAAGGCCAAGGTGGCGCACCTTTGCGTTCTCACGCGATTCAAATTGACAGCGTATTTGAGCAGGAGCGTGATCTCCGTGGAGATGGCCTTCCGCTGGCCACTGGCAATGGTGCTCTGCACCATCCGCAATTCATCGTGCAGGATATCATGCAACTTGCGTACATTTATCAAACTGGTCGAGGTATTGCTGCCCGCTTCGGTGGAGGACTCGCAATCCTTGAGCAGTTGCGTGGTCAGCTGCGCATCGAAGAACTCCAGCTGCGGTTGCGTCAGGATGTCCACCTCCAGAACCAGACAGTCCAGCAATCGATTGGCGTGCAGTCCCTGCGAAGTTTCCTGCAACAGAGGTTGCTTCAGAGCACCATTGTTGCCAGTGGCTCCCGTGGAAACGGAACCACTATTCGAACCGCCGCCGGGATGCAGATCCATGGTGAAGAAGGGCGCCGACTGGTTGATCATACTGTGTCCCAGTTCCGTCGCCAAGCCGCCGAGCGCCGATCTCTGTGCCTCCGATCCATTGCTCATCAGCAGGATGTCGCACAACTGATTGTATCTCGTGGTTTGGCCCAGCGATGCCGCCAGTTTCACATCGATGGAAACACAATTCAGAAGGTGGCTCATCGCGTGCAGCACATGATCCTGGCGATGCTGCCGAAAAGGCAAGGAGTTCAAGTGCCTCAGTAGGAAGTCATTGCAAGTCAAACGGAAGTAGCGAAGGATTGTCTCCGTGGTTCTTCGGTTGGCGCACAATCCATGGAACAAATGGTAGATCCGCTCCACAATATTTGAAGTGTGATCGCAGTATTCGTCACTGTGCCGCTGTTGCTGTTCAAATAAAAGGGGAATTGGAATTAACAGAGTATTAAGTATGAAGATAACCCACTGAAACTAACCTCCAAATACTTTTCCAATAGCAAGACCAGGGAATTCACACACGAACAATGCCTTTCGATGCCCAAATGCTGCTTCTCGTTGGCCATAAAATCCCGGAGCACATCCACGCCGAGCAGAAAGTAGACGAAATTGGGCAGCTGCTGGCTGAGATTCATCTCGAATAGCTGGACAATGGCCTCCTTGAGCTGCAGTTCGATGCGCGCCGGCTTGCGCTCCAGTGCGCCCTCCTCCAGATTCACCTCCACCTGGGTGACCACGCCGGAATCCTCCCTCTGCTCGCGATTCCTTTCCCTCTCCTTGTCGCCGCCATCCTCGCCGAAGCCCAAGAAGGGCACGTGATCGTTGAGGGACAGCTGGTCGAGCAACTCATCGCTGTGCTTCACAACCACACCCACATCCATCTCCAGGCACTCCACGAATCCCTGGCGAATCTCCAGCTTCTCGTTGCTGCCCTGTGCATACATGCTGAGTATTTGGGCGGAGACGTTCGGCAGTTGGGTCACCGCACTCAGGATCTTCACGGCGGCCAGCGAGTGGCGAGGCAACCAACTGTTGTACGTGACAAACTTGACGATATTCAAGACGTGATCGGGTTTCCTGGTGCGCGGATTCAAATCCAACAGCATGCGATTCAAGCCGGACAACATTATGGGGCAATTGGCAGCCGAATGGGTTTCGAAGAAGACATTCTGCTTGGCAAGAGCCGCTTCCAGCAAGAGTAGGGCGTACAGTGAGCACTCCTCGAGCAGCTCCTTGCCATGGAAACGATTGTAGTCGTCCAAACGCTCGCGCGCCTCCTCCACAATCCGCAGCAACAAGTGCAGCACATCCGACTTCACCTGCAGCTGCATCATGACGTGGTAACCCGGATACGGATGCTCGTGCCGCGACTCCTGGAAGTCGGACACCCGGGGACGATAGGTGGCCAGCAGATAGTAGAGCAACTTGAGGCACTGCGAGCCCACTTGCCACTTTTCAGCGGGATCTTTGTACGCGCGATTGTAGAACTTCAGCAGCACGGATTCGAGTACAAAGTTCAGATAGGCATCGTAGCCAGGTCTCCTCGGTCCAACGCCCAGATTCTTGGGCATGTTCTCGGTCATGAGAGTATAAAGCAGCTGGAGGATACCCCTCGTTAGCTTGTACTGCTCCAAGCGGCACTCGTTCTGCTCGATTTCCTCCGCCAAACTGCACTGGGCAAAGTTCCTCGAGACGGGAATGGTGGGAATGATCTGCGAGTCCTCCAGATGCGACCATATCGCACGCGATGTCTCCTTGGACTTCGCCAGGGCGGCCAGCGTGAAGAGGATCTCCGCTTTCAGTGGCAACGGCGTGGAACAGGCCACCAAACCGAGCAGAACTTGCGGTGGCTGCCAGTTGGCTTGTTCGCAAATCATAATGCGCGAAATCTCGTCGTGCTCTGCGACAGCTTGGATCAGCTGCATCACGGCCACCAGATGCTCCGATTCGCGTTGCGTTATGTTCCTCGGGGTCGAACGATTGCGGTAGATCATTTCGCCACCGCTGCTGATGCTCGTATTGAAATCGTTGCGCATTAAACTGCAGGAAATAGAGATATTTAGAGTGTTAAATACCAAAAGGGAATCTTTACCCACTTGTAATAATTAGCCAGCGTGTGGAAGAAGTGATCCCAACTGACTGCATAAGTGCCAGTCGTAACCTGCGATAGTTTCAGCATATTAAAGGCACAGCGCGCTGAGAACTCCGTGCGCGTGAGGCCCGCAATCATCTTTACATAGGACTTAAACAGCGTTTGCGGCAGCAATTCGCTGGCCAAACTGATAAACTTGAACAGCGAAACCGAACGCGAGGTATTCTTGAATGCGTTGGGCAATGCAACGCCAAATGAGCCGCCAGATGGATCACTGGGTCCCCAGTATTCGTTGCACAGCTTGATTGTTACACGAGGATCTCCATAAAGTTTGGCCACGCACAGCATGAGTTGCTCAAAGTTTGAATCCAGATTCGGCGGAGGTTCGAGGCCTTCGTTCAGGAAACTAATGATCGTGCGCGCTGATTCATCCGCTCGTCCACGCAGCTCCGAAACCTTGGCGTGCATAAAGTCTATGAAGTCGGTGATGAGCAAATGCACTCGGCGGTAAATGAATTCGGTGCTAGAAATAGGTGGAGAAATAAAAGAAGTTTAGGTGGTAACTAAGCTGATTTTATTAAGGAAGCATAGAAGCATTCACACTCACCTGTAAACCAGATCCTTTTCGAGCAGCAGGCGATAGAAGAATCCAAATACCTGGGCACCCAACGCCTCATCAATCAGTATTTCATCGCGATTGATGGCCGAAAGAGCCGCCGCCTGCAATTGCGCCGGTGCATGGCGCAAACTGGCCAGCGTTAGGCCAAAACTATAGGTAATAATCGCATCGAGTCGCGGCTCTTGCCAGCTACTCTGCGCGTAGAGACCCTCCAGGAAACTCTTGGCGAACTCCGGATCGCTGAGGATCGGCAGGCGGGCTGTGTGCGGATTACTGTACTCGGGAACCAGCAAAACGGAGGTGTCGTAGGCGTATAGAAGTGCCATCAACATGATTAAGGTAACATCATCGATGTTGCCATCCGCATCGTTGGTTTTCCGGCTGGCCAACTGCTGCAGCAATCGAATGGCAATGGGTCGCGGCAATCCGCGTTGCGCCGACCAATGGAACAAGGCCATCGCGAGAGCCTTTTGGATGTCCTCGTACAAGCCGAGCACCTGGTTCTGATGCTTCTTGGAGCCAAATGCGCGGTTTTTCGTAAGCAGTATGCTCTGAAAATGATTGTAAAATGTTAATATAATATACAACTTTAATGAAGACCAATTCCAAATCCAATTAAATCGGATTCTTTTTGAACATCATTTCGTTAAATGTTTCTTCACCTCTTTGTCCACATCCATCTCCTCGAGAAGCTCCAGCAGACGACCCAAAATATTCGAGTCCTCCACTAAACTCTGTGCATAATTGGTGACCAGGGAGGTGACTTCCCTGGGCAACTCCGTGCTCCAGGAGACGCCGCTGACCGCTTGGAACATGTCGCGCAGGGCACAACTGATGGCTTTGCGTCCATCGTAGTAAAGGAGCACCGCCACCAGTCCTCTGGGCAAGCCAGGATGATGGAGCTGTTGCCTTTGGGCGGTGCAGAGTAATTCAACGGCGAAAACCTCATCCAGATCGAACATATCGGAGAGGATAATGGCCTCATCTACCAGATCCTGTGAGAGCTTGACCTTCCTCGACTGTCCTGGCAGTGGGACGCCCTCGTTTAGTGCATTCCTCAGGTGACTCCGGCTCTTTTCACTTTTGGCCTGATGGAAAGTCCAAGGATTATTATAAATCTAATTAATCCCATAGGATGTTAAGTACATACCGGATTGCGCAGGAAGTTGGTGAAGCTGTGCTTGTACTTCTTGAGACAGAGCTCCAGATCGGAGGTGACGCCATCGGGATTGGACACCGCCGACTGGAAAACACTATAGAGATGCTTGTACGGCGTCCACATGTCCTCGATCACACCTGCAAATGGCGGGAAAACGAGTGTGAGGTTTTTAATCCAGATTAACGGGGAATAAGGCATCAACGGAGCACCACGTACCATCCATTTTGCTTTGGTTTACGGTTCTCGTGCCAGCGGAAAAACAATAAGGCGGCTAAAACGCGGTAAACTTGCTTCGATTTCGCCAAGGCGCCGGCTTTCGAGATGACACTTCGGTCGATATCAATACAATGTTATCGAACAGTTAACAGTGCTGGTAAGCGCCAGTGTTGAATAGCTTGGCCAAGCACTGTTGCTCAGAGCAAAGAAGTAATGAAATGATTTTGGATTATGTGATAATTTAAAACCAATTTAAAATAAGTAAAACAAAGTCATGAAAACGTCAATCACAGATTCTGGGTGCTTTTTGCTCTATAAAAACTTTTAAATAACAAACAATTCTACCAAAGGGTAGCTCTGTTAAAAAAATATTTCCTTGAATATTTTACAATAAGAAAACTATAAACTATGAAAACGTCAATCCCCGATTCTGTGTGATTATTGCTTTATAAAATCCTTTAATCCTTTTTTCTTAAGCAGCAATTAAGTGTGTCATCTTAAATATATAATTGAAAAGTAACGCTCTTTTACATATTCTCTAATAATTCTGGTACAACTTGAACGAATCGAGTTGGCAGCTCAGCAATTCACAGCATTTGCCGCCGAAGCAACTACGGTCACACCACACACAGTTCAGTGCGGCGCGGGCGGGGCGTTTTTCGTGAAAATCTACGCACGGACTTTTCGTAGTTTCCCGATAGTAAACCATCCGTTTGTTTTGTTCCGCTAATTTCCGTTTTTTTTCTGTTCGCCACACTTTTTTGTTGGGGATTCGAACGCAGTGCCCCAAAAAGTGTCCAATTGGAATTGTGAGTGAATCACCGATGGCCGCGGTCGGGGGAAACTCCTCCTTTGTGGGATGCTGTTGGCTGCAAATGCAAATGCACTCGGCGCAGCGCAACTTCAACAAATCAGCCAAATAACAGTATTCAAACCAGGAAACCAATTCATAAAGGACAATTAATAGTAATTGAAAATCGAATACGAATCATTCGAATTGGAATATTAAATTATAACTGGAGTTGGAGTTGGAAAGAGGGAGAGGCAGTAAGTGCAAGTGTGTGGGGGTAGCAGTCACACCGACACAAGCACACACACAAATACACTTACTTCATAGTGCATAAAACTCCAAATTGCGTTCGTTTGACTTCGGCTCTCTTCGTTTTGTTTGCTCTCTCCCATTTCCCGTTCGTTCGCCCACGCAACAGAGAGAAAGAGAGAGACAGAAAAAGAGTGGCAAAGGGAGTAAGAGAGCAAGGAAGTGGTTTTCCACCGAAATATATCGACAAAGGCAAACTGCAGAGTTAGCTAAAAAAATAAGGAGGCAAACGAGAGACACAAACAGAAAAAGAAATAGCGGTTAACTCGGGCTCCCTTGCTGCGAATCGTTGAAATTCAAGACGGATCGCTATCGCATTTCTTCAATTATGTATGTTTCGCTTTTCATTCCGCTGCAATAAGCGATCGCAAGAAAAAGAGAGAGAAACAGGAGACAGAGGGGAGAGCGCTCTCAATTGAAGACTCCCACTCCAAACGCCCCCTCACACACACACACACGCTCACACAACCCCCCTCTCCCCCATAATTACTATGGATTGTGGTGGTATTGCGGCACATCAACAACAACAACTTCAACAGCAACAACTGCACTTACTCCAGCAACAAATACAACAACAACATCAGCAGCAACAACAAAACCTCGAGGAAGCAGCAACAATAACAAATGTAAGTATCTCCCAAGTTCCTTCGAATGTTTATGTGTTTGTGTTTCTCAGTTATTTCCTCTGTACTTCATAATTCGCTCCCCCACAACAACAACAAAAATTACAAGGAATACAACTACACTGGGGATAAATAATATAACAGTTTTTTAAGAAGAGATGGATCTTGAGTACTTACTTCCATTCAAAGATTTTTTTGTTCATTTAAAATATTCTACAGGAATTCTAATGCCATATTGGTTAATTTCGAAATTAAAATATTAACGAATTCTGAAGCGCAGTCTTAAAACAAAACTTCTTAACTTTTTAGTTAAAGCCCAGATTGATGAACAATAGTTTTACTCACTTAATTATTAACAGATGTCTAATACATTACTTAACTAAATCAAAGGCGAAAATGTTTTTTCTTGCGTAATTATACATTAATGCTCTTTAAATGGCCCAAAAAAAAAAACTTAACCAAGTCAAAATGCGTCGAGTAGGATGATTAATCTTTGGGCCAGATGGGGAAAAACCAACAAAAACTCAACACTTTTAAAGCCCAACAAAGTGCCGACACATAAATTGCTGTACTAACTTTTTGCTCTTTCTTTCGCTTCTTTCTCCGTTCTTGCCCCATTACTTTCACCGTGCATAAATTCTGGAAAGAGTTCCCGATCGTTGATGTTCTGAAGTTTTTTTTTTTTTTTTTGGGGTTTTGTTTATACGAGAGCGGCAAACGAAACGTAGGAGAAAAAACCCGATTCCCGATGAAAGACGATGTGCGATATACTGCAAGTTTTGTTGTTTTTGTTGCTGCCCCCTCTTTGTTTTTGCCGCAACAGCGGGCGATGCTTCGCCCCCTTTTACGTCTTTACTTTACATCAGTTTGTGGCATACCGCCGGCTAGGAAAGTCGATTAGTTTTTAAATCAGGATGGTAGTAAGTCCATAAAACTCTTAAATATTATTATTATAATCATTATGATTGCATTGTGGTCTCAACTATATTTTTAGTTAAGTTATCATTTTCTTAAAAAAGTGTACACTTTTTGGAAGGCATTTAGATAGATATGTACATTTAGTAGGCCGTTTGAATATTTCCGCTGCAGTGCGAGGATTCCACGACGTGACTGCGTGCACCTCAAGGACTCGCAGCAGGACATTCGCCACTCGGTGCGTGTCAAATTTGTTAAATTGCGTCCATAGGTCAGCAAAATTCGACAAAACTGCCTTTACCTTCCCATTTCTGCTCGTTTAGCACGCACAAATAAAATTATATTATCCCAAAAGTAAATATAAACACGTCAGCATAAAGGTACTCTTGATGTTGTGTTGTGTGACAACAATATTACTTTACAGCAAACTGGGATTAGGGAATAGGTTAATTTGAAAGTGTTTTGTTATTGGTTATTTTGGTTGATATTGCAATTATACAATGATATAACAATAATACATTTTAGAAATTTTTTAAGGTAAATATATATACATATATATCATATAAAAATATGTAATTATCCAAAAAGCATGTTATATTTTGTTGACCAAAAAATAACTGCAAAAATGTATGTAGATAAATACATAACAGACAAAAATGTTATTTTAACATTCCCCATCCAAGAATAAATATTTGACATTGCCTCTTATTTTTTTAAGTGCACGCACTTGCATTTTCCGCGTGCCAAAAAATAACTGCAAAAATGTATGTAAATAAATACATAACAGACAAAATTGTTATTTTAACATCCCCCATCCAAGAATAAATATTTGACATTGCCTCTTATTTTTTTAAGTGCACGCACTTGCATTTTCCGCGTGGCCCTGCCAACTCTCTGTCATATGCAGCCCAGTTGGCAGCTTCGTCCGCTCTGAGGCATTTGTTGTTGTGTTTGTTTCGCTCGCTGGCTGTTCGTCGCTGCGTTTGTGCGTTTGAGTGCGCATTTGAGTTTCGACCGACGCGCGCAGGAGACGTGACTTCGCGGAGCGTGAGACGAAGCAGGCTGCGAAGGCGAACACGAAAACAACGAACAGCACGACCGAACGAACGACACAAACAGTGAATAAATCGGAACGGCGGATGCGAGAGTGATTGGAAAAAAGAGCGCGCGCGGAATTCGAAGTGCACAATTATTCAATTTTATTTTTGTGTTATTCTTTTTTTGACTTTGCGTTCCGTTTCGGTCCAAATACGTCGCCTTATTTTTTTTTGTCTTGTTCGGTGCGTTTATTAAGTTCCTTTAAAGTGCCTGATCCATTGTGTGGTTGTGATTGCCGCTTTTTATATACACAAACATCGGACGAAGACGAAGGAGCATTCCGCGGGGTAAATGAAGCAATAATTAAAAGTGCCTTTTGTTAATTGGGAAACGGGGACGAAAAAAAAGATGGAAAAAGAGACGGGGAAAGACAAAGGCAGGAATTGTCGTTTGCTTTTGGCCGTTGCGTTTTTGATTTTCCCAGTTTGAAAGCCTGAGCAACTTGGTTAAACAAAGTCTTGATTCAATTGTTCACATTGCGGGAATGACATTTTCAATAATGCTAAGAACTAAGCAATTCTGTGTTGTTTGTTGCTTTTGACTTTATCTTCTTACCGATAACCTAATTTTACTGTGGCATGTCTATTTCAACATAAAATTCAACTAAAAGGCGGCGCGTTTGTTGTTTAGAGAAACTGATGGTCTTTTCCATTATTATTTAATATTTTAAAATATTTTTCCGCTCCTATTTGCAAGGAAATGATTGTCAGTGTATTCAAACAAATGATAGAAATCAATTATTAAAAGGGGTAGCTCTCCATTATTTTTTATTATTGTTTACTTGGTCTTCAATTTGTTGCGCCCTCTAAAACGGAAACAAAGGTGGCAACCCTGTCACAATTACTCTCCCTTGTGATTTTTGCCGGGTTTTTGCTTTTGTCATATGTGCGTCATTCCACCCCCTCCACTTTCCCCTTTCTCCACACCCCCCGTTGAGAGTCACCCGTATGTCGACTCCTTTTTGGCCACTCTCTCTTTTCGCCCACTCCTTTTTACCGCTCCTTCGCTAAATTGCTTCTGCACGTTCGTCAAATATTTGCTCAACTCTTTTTAATTACATTACACACACTCACGCAAATTTACCCCTTTTACCTCGCACGCACAAACACTCCAAGAACAGATTGTAATTGCAGATCTTTCGCCAATTTAACGGGAAACAGGGGGACCAACCAAAAAAAAGAGAGCTGCATTTGGAAAAGTGTGACTCACAATTCGTGGAAATGCTGTGATTGATTTTATAGATTTCAAGCGAGAAAAGAGCACTAGACCAGTTTTCCGTCCCCATAACATGCCCATTAATTACACATGTACAGGCATACATATGTAGATATATCTGTCTCTTGGGTCTTTTTCGTTTGTCATATAAAACAGGGGTGTTCCTCGCTTTTGGACAAGATCCAACCGCATTTGTATTAAATTTTTTTTTACAATTCTATTGGAATTTCAATTTCTAAGAGTACCTATGTAACTTTTTTTTACCACGATTTTTTTTTAAAACGAATGCGTACTGTAAATTCTCCTTTCAAGTCAAGCCATAAGATCTGAATTCAAGAGGATATGATTTTGAGGACTACAGTAATTCTAAAAAAGTATACCTGATTTCTGAGAAAAGATGATTGTACAATATGAATGATCCGCACTACAATGCTCATATTTGGTAATGGTCCACTTGACTGAGTAATGGAAATGTACTGAGGATTGCGATTGCATTAGCCCTTATTTTTGAAATGTTTTTTTTTTTTGTCTCCCAGCCTCCCACACATGTTAATTTCGTAAATCCATGCACACACGCAATCGTAACCATGAAATGGGATTTTCGCCCACAACAATATCTATCCCCAAAATCTTTTAAATTTTCGGAATGTAGAAAAACAATGGCATTTATTTGGAAAGCATTATGTGATCAATACAAATTAAACAAATTAAAACCAATAAATAAATAAAGAATAAAACAGAGGAATAAAAAAAAAATGTCGAGCGATCCAAAAAAAATTGAACACCCTTTACATAGAGAGTACCATAAACATTTTGATTACCTCAAATTATGGCTGAGTAAAATGCTTTCCACACTTTGGGTGCATATTCTTGTGTTTTGATTCCTTTTCGTGGGCCCCAAACATTTTATTATGCTCTTGTTACACGCCCTGCTGCCTTTGATTTGCTTTTGCTTTGGTTTTTGCTTTTTGCTTTTCCCTTTTGGATTTTTGCTTTTACATGCGCGTTGCCGGCTGCGACATCGTTTGAATTTTTATGCGGCGAATGCGACGCTGTTCATTTGTTGTTGCTGTTGTCGTTGTAAAAATTTTATTATCGCTTGTTTCCGTTTAGGAACCAAAAATGGGGAAAATAATGTACCGCACACGCAAATACACACACTCAAGCGTTTTCCCCCCAAAGCATTTTCCATGATGGAAGACACTATTTTCTAAGGTTTGGGAGTGGAAAATGATGGTCCGCGTATAAAGTAAACCGAAAGAAAGTATCTTGAAGGTGCCACTTTAAAGTTACACCTTGGCAAAAGGAAATTTTACAGCCATTAAGACGATAGGAGGAAAGGAAAAGGCTCATAATTTTAGCAAAATAGGAAATATTTAACACCGTTCAGCATTAAAAGATAATACATCAGGTATTTAATTCTAGTAATTTGGTGAAAACAGAATATCAGTAAACATATACTTGGTAATTAGCTCCATCTAGCGGAAGTTTTAAGGAGTTTATTTGACTGTTTATTATGATGAAAGGTATATTTATGCTTATTGTATTGATTTATACTCTTTTGGCTTTTCTAAATGCTAAAAAGAAAATTATTCTGTCGCCATGTTCATTGCGAAATTATGTACTCTGCCCCCTTTGTGTTAAATTTATGTGGCAGCTTTCTGAATGTTGTGCCATTTCGTTCCGTTGCCTCTTAAACTGTTACATATTCTGAGTATCTGAGTATCTGCATTTCCCAATCGGACCTTGAGGCATTGGGTCAGGGGAGCCCAGCT